ACAACAAACTCCGCCTGGCCGTTCCCAAGCCCGGGTGCAAGAGGAGAAGGGTTGGCGTAAAAACCAATTGCTACAGAAACGTCAGCAAGAAAAAACAACAACAAATTTCAGCCCTAAGAAGAGAGGACTCTTATTCTTCAAGTAGAACTATGAAGCCTTGTGGCCAAACCCAGGCTATACTGGAAGCCTCAATGCCGAAGACACTCGTTTCTAAGGAAACAAACATTGGCACTTGGAACGTCAGAACCATGTAAGAAAAAAGTAATAGCAGCACAGGTGGCGGCAGAAATGAGAACTTAAAAACTTACACTCCTTGGCCAAAGAATGCATGGAGACGCGAGTTAGAGGCAGACACGCAAAATATGGGATACACTTGGATGCAACTGGAAAGGAAAGCCCAGGACCGTGATGAATGGAAAATTCTTATGGACGGCCTATGTCCCAGACGGGGTAAAAAGGCATAAGAAGAAGACTGGACAACTAGCCCTTATTTCACAAGCTATTTCGTGACACACGAACAATTTTATTGTCATAGAAACATTTATTTACATTGTTTCTTGGTATACATCTGGCTTGCGTCTGATGTAAGGAAGACAAATTATTTACATATTTAAATATGTATTTATTTGTGATAGTTTTTATGCTCTTGTGAATGCATAATTGTTAATATAACGGGACCAGTGCTGGATCCAAAGGGTGTGCAATTTTATGATTATTATCCACGTCGCCACTCAAAGAACTATTCACCTACTGAATTCTGGGGGTAAGACTTCGCTTTATCAAACTAAAATAATGTTGCGTTGGAAATTTTTTCTAATTTCACGATATCAAAATTGATGTCAATTTTGTCAATCCTCCTTAAAGAAGTACGGCTTAGTCAGAGATTTCAAATGGAGCTCGGAGTTGGACTGGAGCTCAGAGCTCTGGATCAGGGTCACTTTTCCCGGAGCTGGAGCTGGTAAAATTTCTTACTGCTGCGAGCTCAAAATGTGTAAATTAATAATATAATTTTTAACATATATATTTCAATTTTTTAATCAATTTATTAAAATTGATTGCCTACTCTTCTATCAGGCATGCTGCCCCACTCTTCTACGGTTATCGTGCCCCATTTTTCTACATCGATGTTGTCCCACTATTTTACCAGCTATCTCGCCATATTCTTCTACTTGCTATATTACTTCTGGTACATGCATTTCTAATGCCTAGATCATAAGATGGGTAAGTGACTATAATAAACACATTTCTTTAAACACTTAGCACAAGTAGCATAGGAAGAGGGGACAAGGAGGGGGTGGCATTTTTTGGTCTTATGGGGGGGGGGGGGGGCATTTTTTATACCAACCGCAGGGTCTTTTTTCGTTTCCCCCCGGAGTGTGCTCTAACCCTATTTCACCAACCCTTCACAAACCCTTAACTTAGCACAAGTAGCATAGGAAGAGGGGACAAGGAGGGGGTGGCATTTTTTGGTCTTATGGGGGGGGGGGCGGCATTTTTTATACCAACCGCAGGGTCTTTTCTCGTCTCACCCCGGAGTGTGCACTAACCCTATTTACGCATCCCTTAACAAACCCTTGATCGAAAGTCGGAGTGGAGCGGAGCTGACAAAGAATTTTCCGGAGCAGAGCTCGGCCAAAAAAAGTCTGCTCCAAATCCCTGGCTATAATAGAGATAGATCCAAATCCCTGATTATGTTAGAGATAGATCCAAATCCCTGGTTATGTTAGAGATTGATCCAAATCCCTGGTTATATTAGAGATTGATCCAAATACCTGGCTATAATAAGGATAGATCCAAATACCTGATTATGTTAGAGATAGATCCAAATCCCTGGTTATGTTAGAGATAGATCCAAATCCCTGGTTATGTTAGAGATTGATCCAAATCCCTGGTTATGTTAGAGATTGATCCAAATCCCTGGGGTTATTAGAGAATGATCAAAATCCCTGGTTATATTAGAGATAGATCCAAATCCCTGGTTATATTAGAGATTGATCCAAATCCCTGGTTAAATTAGCGATAGATCCAAATCCCTGGTTATATTAGAGATTGATCCAAAGGCCTTGTTATATTAGAGATTGATCCAAATCCCTGGGGTTATTAGAGAATGATCAAAATCACTGGTTATATTAGAGATAGATCCAAATCCCTGGTTATATTAGAGATTGATCCAAATCCCTGGTTAAATTAGCGATAGATCCAAATCACTGGTTAAATTAGCGATAGATCCAAATCCCTGGTTATATTAGAGATAGATCCAAATCCCTGGTTATATTAGAGATTGATCCAAATCCCTGGTTATATTAGCGATAGATCCAAATACCTTGTTATAATAGAGATAGATCCAAATACCTTGTTATATTAGAGATAGATCCAAATACCTTGTTATATTAGAGATAGATCCAAATACCTTGTTATATTAGAGATAGATCCAAATACCTTGTTATAATAGAGATAGATCCAAATACCTTGTTATAATAGAGATAGATCCAAATACCTTGTTATATTAGAGATAGATCCAAATACCTTGTTATATTAGAGATAGATCCAAATACCTTGTTATATTAGAGATAGATCCAAATACATTGTTATATTAGAGATAGACCCAAATACCTAGCTATAATAGATCCAAATCCGTCTGAAAACTTCAGTTAGTGTTAACTCAAGGGATATTACTCCAGTATCGTTTGAGACTTGAGACTCATTTTTGAACATTACTCATTCATTTCCCTTTCACACTCTTCCGTTCACGACACATTGAAAGTGTATTAATTAAAACATTATTTTTGTTTAAACAAACATTTAAGATTCATCTCCATTCAATTTACATATTTTCGCTACTTATAGTGTTCAAATACATTTCTGTGTAGTCTTTCTTTGCGTAATTGGGGTAGATAGAATTCAAGGACAGTCCGGTCCGGGGTGTCTGGGGTACAAACTCTTCCTGCGACTCTAGCATCTCCATTGTATTCTGTGCTGTTTTGTTAACGACTCAGCTCTGTGTGACCTTATTTTGGAGCTATGCCCTTAAGACAGACGACACACTCGCGTTGATGAAGGGACCATTTAATTTTTAAAAAAATGCTAAATAGGGCGTTCCTCCCGCACAACCCCCACCCATGCACACAAGCACAAACACCTACACATACGCACACACACACCCACGCACACGCACACCGCACACATATAACCCACGCACCAACGCTCATACACACGTACACATTCATACACACACACACGACGAGTCGTAGAACTTGCAGGTCTTGAGCTCATCTTGCCTTGATGATAGATGTCTCCTTACTTGGGTATTATCTTCCACTTCATACCACGGGTCAGTGTAAGTGATAACAACTGATACCAACACACCAAACACCAACCGGTTTGCTGGACGTTATAAGTTTATTCACCAACAATTCCTTAAACCATTGTTGTTATATAATTTACGACTGATAGTCCAGCAACACACCAAGCAACACACAAGTCCAAACAGTCAATATCGTACAACGGCCATCAATCCACCATAACAACAACAAAACTAAAGCATCATTTCTCCTTACCCAAATACGTCACAATAATCTCACGTAATAGACACAGCCACAGACATAATCTCTACACTAAACATCTGTTACATAACAAACATAACAAAAATGATTCTTATATCCTTGACAACACACTCACACACAAACACCCCCCACACACACACCTCCCATTAAAAAAGTATCGTACTACCAATATTTATATTCTTTCTTTTGAAATTCACCCGCTGATACACTTAACCGTAGGTTTTAATGTTATCCAAAAGAAATATTAAAATTAATATTTAGCATTAACCTTTCCTTTAAAACAGGCCTGCACAGCATGCGGCCTGCCTTCACCCACTTTGCGGCCCGCGAAGTAACGAACTATTCGTTGTTATTATTACTTTCCCCACGTCCCATTTTATTTTCGACCCCTGCAAGATTTTCATAAAGTATTACGTCCCGCTTCACATTTTGAGTTATGCTGGCCTGCTTTAAAATATGCTTCTAATGACCCTTGTGATGAAGACTCTGGCTGGGCCCGGAGTTCCCTTGATATGATTGTGTGAACTTGATACAATGGTAACAGCATCATGTCATGACGTGACCGCGTTTTCTTTTCTCGGTTCAGGTGCTGTTTTTAGTGTGTATGGGGGGGGGGGTTAAAAACTGTTTCTTTTAAATGAAGTAATGTCCATGCAATCATTTCTTTGCATTACAGTAGGCCTATTCAGTAGCTCTCAAACATCATCAACATCAAAGACCTCAAGCCCGTTACATACAAGAGCAGGTTGATGAAAATATCGAAGGGAAAAAGTGGAAGGTGAATATGACACACACTGCGTAGACCCCCAGGTGCACGAGGCAATCTATATTGTTATGTATGACACTTTTTCCCGTGCGTGAACTTGGCTTGACCCATATTAGATTCCTAGCACACGCTACGTTCATATGTGGGCGTGGCTTATCTCTTTGATGTAGCGTGTTTACTACCGACTTCTATTTAAACATGGTTAGTATGTCTACTAGTTTCTTATGGAATGTTCTCGATTGTATTAAAAAAAGTAAGGGTATTTCTAGACGCGTTGGAAGACCCACATATATAAGGGATTGACAGGCACAGGGAAGGACGGAGATTGATAGATATTTTTAACTTCACGAGACGTGTATTATTCTTTGTGTACTTATATGTGTCTATTAGCATTTCATCATTCATCATTATTAATTGGCACATTGTACTTATTGTGTACCGGTACAAGATTTTTCCCATACTCTGTAAGTTGATGATTTTTAATTATATTTTCTTTTGTTTTGTAATTACTTAAATAAATCTTATTAATTGTAATTGGTACTGTTTAGGTGTCGAATTTTGTTACTGTATTTCTCTATGGTATCGTCCTTTGCTAGGCACTGTTTGAACGAGCCATAAAATTAAAATAGGAGATTAATTTCTCACAATAGAAGGCAGTGCGTAACACTCTCATGGCACCAACAGAGAAAACCCGAAGAATGGAGAGATGAATAACAAAGAATTCCCGGAGACATGAGCTGGGATGATATAATATAAACCAAGGAAACAATGGAAAAGGAAAGCATGAGATAAATGGAGATCGTTTGAAGACAGCATATTGCCAGGCAGTATAACAAGCGTTATCTCTTTTATGTACATATTTCTCTTCTGGAGCATCCCGCTTACTCTTCAACTTCCCCCCCCCTTTTTTTTTTCCAGCTCCATATGTTTTATATTAATAGTACTAAGTGGTTAAAAAAAGGCAGTCACCCAGCGAGCTCCATGCATTATGTTTGAATTCTGTTTAATATTTTAATTTTTGCTTTTCTTTAGAAATGATCTTTATTGACGTCACTGTTTTTCACATCATTTTTTCCTGGGGATACAGTCGGATACACACCACACAGAACTGGGTCATGTTAAGCCATTTCACTTCGGGGGAATGTGTGCGCCTGTCAGTCCTTTCCGTAGCATGGTACAGGAGAGTATTGCTATTTTCGTTATGCTGCGACTGTTTTTTTCCTAAGTTTTCGTTATAAAATAAACGACAGTATCTGCTCTGTTGTCGGGTTTTTGTACAACGCCATCTCTATGACAGGATCAGGCAAATGCCTGTTCTTCTCAGTCGGTTATGTCTTGATACAAACGGTTGACGAAGGCAATGCACTCTCAAAACGACATAGGACAGTAGATTTCGTTGCATATTGAGAAAATGAGAGGTGCTTGGACCTATCAAGTATATTCTCAAAATGACCGGATCCTGTGTAATAAAACTGCACCCGGTTAATCCCTTGACAAGTATTAACTCTGTGGATGCTGCGTTTTATCCGCGTGAAAGAGTTACCTCACTTAGGAGAGCTAATTCCTTCTCTAATTATCTCCACATTGTCTTTTATTCCTTTGCGGAAGAATACATTCGGTCGCAACTAAGGTTTCTATTATCCTGCGGTCCCGCGTGATTTTTAGTAAACAAAGACTTGCAGGGAAATTTCCTGATCCGAGAAATTCCGGGTCCTCACTTTTAAATTTTTTTTTTCTTAAAAAAAAAAAAAAGAAAAACAGTATGTCACAGATTGTCATAAATTGTCGCTCTTGCCCAAGACTTTAAAATTATAGTTTACTGCGCTACTTTACTAAGCTAAGTCTCTCTACTACATAGATTCCCAAGCGTTTACGAGTCAGAACCACATTCATATAGAAACAAAGTGACGCTTACCACGATAAATTGGGAAAATAGCTTTTAAATAGAGGAAATTCTTGGAAAAGAAAGCCTAATTAAAACTTAATTTTCAAATATAGTGTTGTTGTCGGCAGTGGCGTAGCTAGGGGTGGTGTCACCCGGTGAGGTAAAATCATGGTGTCACCCCCCCCCTCCCTCCGACTTCCACGATGGATTTCTTCTTGTTAAAATAAGTTCACAGTATAACAATGACAATAACAAAAGCAAAATAATTGAAGGCCAGGAGGTAAATGTATATTACAACTGGAACAATGTTAAGTTTTAGTTATTTTTACATTAAATTTACTTTATTTAAAATTTCCCTTTCCTGGTTTTCAAAGCTGAAAACCTGTCAATCACTTGATCAAAATCAATATCCTTCACCGTATCACCTTTAATTGATATTAGAGCCAGATCAAAAAGCCTTGACAGTCACATTATGGATCGTAAATAGTTCTTGATAAGCTTAATTTTGAAAAGCTCCGCTCACATGAAGACACAGATCAAAAGAAATGATTAAAGGCTAAGCGAGAACTTTGGAAGTGAATTTATGATATCCTATTTAGATAGGAATATCAAAATATCAAATACTGACTAGTCCATGATTTTGTGAAATTCAATACTAGCTGCCTTTTTATGTCTTCTAAGCCTTGGTATTTCTTTTTAATAAAAGTTCATCTTCTGATAACTCATCATAGAAAGAGCTTATTTTTGGAACGGACATTAATAACACTTCTTCACTTGCTGATAGTAGACTCTTGGGTTGAACACCCCCAAACGTATCTTCTACTTCCTTGATCGCTGATGAACTGATCTGGGATTCAAAATGAAAGCCATCAATACACTCCAGCATCTCCTTACTCTTTCTTCTCGGAGAGAGAGTCAGCATCTATTAATTGTTCTCATGCCATTCTCTTCTTATACATTCCGATTTGTCTGATTTTAAAACTCCCATTTCAAAAGCATCAAGTGACAAAGCTTCTCGTGTAGAAAGAATCTTAAGACCTCTAGGTTGTTCACCCCTTTGTCAAGAGTAAAGTCTTTAGCCAGCAGATAATGATGTGTAAGATTAACTTCATCAAGTAGATCAGCCCAAAGGTAAAGGAATCAGATAAACCTGATATCACAGACAGTATAAAAAAATCTTGTGCTGTATCACGATGGTGCTCAAATGTTAAGGGGCGGTGCTAGTGAAGAATATGGGTTTCAATATATTTGGTTTTAAAAAACTTTTTTAATTTCCATTTTTAAAATAAATGTATATGAATTAATAAAAGATATTAAAAAAAAAATTAATATTATTTTGTTAACCCTACAAAGGGGTAAAAAGTCATTTTAAAATACTTTTAATTTGTACCGATTAGATTCATATATTTAGAATCACCCAACCACATCTTATTTGTTATCAATTGAAAGCATTATTTCTCAGAAAATTTAGATACATATAGCTTACGAAAGTTACCGTTGAATCATAGTCAAATCGGAGTTTTCTGGCCTAATTATAGGGTGACCTCATTTCTAATGCATCCACCCTGATCTTTTAATAAAGCACACGTTTGGACTAGGTAAATGTGTGGAAAACGTACGTGTGGTCGGTTAGCCTTTTATGAAATTCGGTTAGACCAAACAGTGTGTGCTCTGTAAATGTATCTTTTTGGGGCCATCCCTGAGATGGTATCTACCGGTGCGGTCCGCCCCCCCCCCCAGCATCCCTTAGCCTACGCCACTGGTTGGCAACACATTTAATGTCAATATTTAAATTGTAACTCAAACTTTAAGACACAAAGTAAAACAGAAAACTATTTAAAAATCACTACTTCTCTTAGTCTATTGTTTCAGCCGGCGACCCCACGTAAATCCCCCGCAACCCCCATTTGAGGTCACCTTGCATGGGCTGAAAACCTGGGCTCTAGTAACTTGAGTATCCCAAGAATTCATGTGTCAAACTATCTTTTAAATTCTTTATATTAACTTCGGTTTTTTTCAAGGCTGGCTTGATACACTTCCCGTCAACATAAGGAGCTGAAATTTGGCACATAGACTTTGCCGATGACAACACATTCTTTCAAATTTTCAGCTCCACCCCCAACCCCAACATCAGTTTTTTCTGTTTTTCAAGGGGAAGATGAGTGCATTAAAATGATGACGGTGGTTTCATGGAATAAAATTACCAAAGACTGCGCTAAATGAGATTCTTTAAATAAAATAAAAAATATCGCAGGTGCGCTTGGTGCGAAATACTTTCTGTTATTTTCTGAAATAGTTGGTGAAATAAATCTGCTGTTTAAAAGTGGGTGGGACATTAGAGTACTGATATTAAATAAAATAATAAAAAGTGAATGTTAAGGACCTATACAAAAAAACTTTTTTTAGGTGTTATTTAAATATTATTTTTTTTTAAAGTTTCTCGTTTCAGGGTTTCAACAAACGTGATTTATAAATTACCATATATAATAACTATATAACCCGTGTCAACATCCAAATATTGCTAAAAAAAAATCAGGGCTGTGTCGTGGAAAATCGGGCGAAGCCTGGAAATGGCACCAACCAATAACTATAACAAAATTTCCGTCCGGGTAAGAAACGATTTAGGCACCGCCTGTCTTTGTGAAATACATGACATGCAATGATTTACTCCAATGTAAAGAAAGTTCAATAGGCTGGGGGCGTCCATTAATTACGTCAACAAAATAGGGGGGAGGGGGGTTTGGAAATGTTTGACAGTTGGTGACAAGGGGAGGGGGGGTTAGATGAGTTGACGTAAACAATAATGATTTTCTATTACAATTTTAATCCTCAAAATTGACTGGTTATTACATTATTTTAAACAATTTAATGAATGTAAATAGACATATATGTTTAGGCTTTTAACAATATAAAAATAAGAGTTATTTAATAAGTGTCTGTCTTTGCACTGCAAATGGCTGGTCAGAATGTTAGCACACTGTGTTAGTGCAAGAGAAGTCATAAGTTGGCATCTCTTCACCTGTCATTTTTCTCTTAATCCACTCCCTAGAATGATTAACACGTCATTGTACACGGTGTTTAATTAAAAAAACAACAACCCAACTCCTCTGTGTTCAACAACAACTATACCAACTCAAAGACAGAGAGAGCTTATGGCAATTATTGCTCACACCGACAGTAATTCTATTTTAAGTGCTGAATGGTTAGATGAGGATGATGCTGACTTGTCTGGTATATCAGTTCCGCAAAATGAAAATGATAAATCATCTACTATAGACTATGCCCATCAGCGGCGTCATTTCAGGTTAGGTTTTTTTTTCAGAGGAAGGTAGAGTGGGGGGGGGGGGCAAAACCAAAACTTGGTCGGCTTGTTAAGTTGTTTATTACTGGAGGCGCCAAAGTACTTAGCAACTTAAATAAAACCAGCAAAATCAGGGCGTTGGGGCAAATGCACCAACACGATACAGCAACACCTGGGTACTTCATGGGAAGACTGACAATAATCATATTTATACTTCCACAATGATATTAAGTCCTTGACAACCTTTTAATTGATTCAGCATTATAAAATTTAATGTAAAAACTTTTTAACTTGTTGATTAATAAGCTAAACATGTAATAAAATGTTTTCCCTACAATTTTATGGGTCATTTAAATAGATCAGCAGAAGGTAAAATGTATTTATAAATTTATCTAAATTATAATTAATATTTTATTTTATTTGATTTTATTTTATTTTTTTTTTTGGGGGGGGGGGGGATAAAATNTTTAATTGGCCCATGGTTGTTGATCTTTTCAGTATGTAATTAGAAAGATGTCCAAATATAGGGATCTTCTCTTACGGAAAGGAATGGTCCCTAGATTGCTGGAAATAAAAATGTTGGTAAATTACCGTTTTTGAACGATTTCAAGCATAAAATCTCACAAATCCTATCTTAATTTGACAGTCTTGTACAGGTTTGGGGGAGGGGAGGGGAAGGGGGGACTTGGACCCTTCCAGGTCTTTAAGCGCGGACATTTGAATGAATTCACATTGTTGCCATATATATATATATATATATATATATATATATATATATATATATATATATATATATATATATATATATATAATCATTTCGATTTCATCTTTTATCATGTATGTTTAATTGTTCAATTCTTATTTATAATGTCATATTTCTGTAAATTCAGATGTTTCTACTAATTAGTATTGCCTTTTACCTTACTTTTTGAACTTTGAACCATGGCCTAGTTTCGAACAGTTCGGAGTTCGTGTATTAAAAGGTGTTGAGACTGTTTATCACCTTTTCAAGGCTGCAAAACTCGAAAGCTTATCTTCCTTAAACGCTGTAAGTACTTTTATAAGCATAATCATTAAGTCATAAAAAGTGAAAGTGTAGTCTTGATTACTTTAATTTTAAAACCAGTGTTATATTAACATTTACGCCAAGACCACGCACATTCTGCTAATTAAGTTAATACGGTAACAAAAAGCTTAGAAATAGAATACACTTATACAAAATGGACAGATTATCATAACTCATAACTTAATAGTATTTAATTTATAGTTTATAATTTATAGTATCAATCTAAGTAGGCCCCCGATAGCCCAATACTAATAGACCACTAATGTAATTCTTGTAATAGTGCAGAAGGACCATTTCAATTTCTATCATCCAAATATTGCTGGAGCAAATTCTATATATATTATATATATATATATAATAATTATAATATATCCCTATTTTGGCTGATTCAGATTTAGCTGCCCACACGACTTTGTTTTGTATAAATCTCTGATGTCATTGATGTCTAACTAAATTAAATGTCCATCAATATGGCTGTTTTAAAAGAGGCTTTTTTTAAAATCTGGATATTCATATTCAATTCATGCATTGATAAAAGGCAGTGTCTACACGTCCGGCGCGCCGGACGTCTATCGCCCGCACTATGTGTCCGGCGACCAAGTCACATGACCGCCGTAACAAAGTCGCGAGAGATATCGTGTCGGTCAGCCTTGTCACGTGACTGCGAATAATTCAAAACTATTGTTAATTTTAAAATCTATTTCTCTACCAAGTAATGTACTGAGTATCTTGAATGCAAATAATAGAAAAAGAAACTTAAGTGAAAGTGGCTTGTAAACATTTTTGTTTAGTTTTTTTTATTTTTTGTGTACCAGTAATCCATAAAATAAATTAGGGGCCAGTGTGGCAACCAAAAAAAGTTAAAGATTTCATTTTAAATTATTTCAATTGCTACAAAATATTTAAAAACTTCTCATGAAACTACTGTTGCTGAGGAACATGATAATATAAATATATACAAAATATTTTAATTAAAATGGGAAAGATTTCATTTTAAATTATTTCAATTGCTACAAAATATTTAAAAACTTCTCATGAAACTACTGTTGCTGAGGAACATGATAATATAAATATATACAAAATATTTTAATTAAAATGGGAAGAAAAAAAACAACCCTATCCCCGGTATAGATCCTCAAACATTCCTATCGTCAAGCAACCACTCTACCACAAGACCAGACAAGATGTACTAAATCGCACTTTGTTTGGAATTATAAAAACTACTAGCCGTCCGGCCATGTCCGGCGGTCACGTGACAAGTCACCGGACGTGTATCTTGCGCACTACACGTCCGGCGCGCGGCCGGACGTGTAGACACTTCGTTGATAAAATGTTTATGTAGTTAGTTTCTCAACTGTGAACTTCAAAAAAAAAACATCCATAGTTTTAAGTCAAAGTCAACTTGTTTTCTAGTTGAAACTGAAAGTAACAATTAGACATTTATTTAAATTTAAGAAAAACTTTAAGTGGCCAAGATAAATGGGTCAGATTGTCTGTATAAACTTTATAGATCCCCCTGACTGAATAATTGATTTTACCTTTTGTGGGCTCTGTTTGTTTACATTACAGATATTTAATAGGCAAACATGTCAAAGTTTCTACAATGTTTGAGGCCAAAGTCAATCTCCTCAGCTTTAGGCCTGATAAGCCCTGTACAAGCCAGGGCAATGTCAGCCACACCCAAGCCTGTCATTAAACCTGAGATTAAATATGCCAAGGTAGGAGCTTTGATGCATAATTTGAAATATAAAAAAATGTGATACTTTTGCAAAACTTTCTTAAAAGCAAAGGCATAATAACTTGTTAGTAACTGTTTCTTGATTAATTAAGGCTGTAATTACTGTAATTTTGTATTTATAGACCTACTGGACACCTCAGCATTTCTCACTATTTATCATATTTAGGTTTTTAATCATATGATATTTCAACAGGTATATGGTTGGGTTTTATTTTTTAAGAACATATATCAATCCTATATTTAAGTACTCTATAAACACAAAAGAATTAATTAAATTGTTTATTCTCTAAAATTGGATGTAGCTGCAACTTTTTTATTTCCAAAATGTGTATTTTTCTCCAATATGTGACACATTTACAATGTATATCTGTTTTTATGTGGAGAAAATTTAAGCTTTTAAATTTGCTTTCAGTGATTCTGTAAGAGGCATAGATGTTAGTGAGGTTAACAACTAACAAGGTTAGATAATGCCTCTGCAAGTATTTTCATTATAAGTTTTACTCTCCTTGTTAATTTTTTTAATTTCCTCTTCAAGGTTTATTTTAATTAGAAGCAAGAACAGAAATCTCTATTTCTATACATTTTCTCTCTGTGGTCATAATGGTCAAAAAAGAGATTTTAAAAATTACATTAGCATGCTATTTGGCTTGTAATTTCATTTTTATTTTAGTTTTTCAATGTGCCTTTTTTAAAAAATTATTATCAATCTTTTTATAAATATACTTTAAAAAGATTTATCCTAAACTAACTTTTCTTCCATGCATTATTCTCATAGAATAGCACTTACCTTTTTTTTAGTTTTATTAGACAATTGTAAAATAATATATTTTAAATTTCTAATTACTTTAGTTTAGATATAAAAACATACATTTAAAATTTCATGACTTGAAAAAAATATTTGTCATGTCTCAGTCCATAAATGACCTCACACTATTCTGGCCAAATTTTACGGCTACACCTCCCCCCACACACATTGTCACAAAATGAAAGTAACATAGAGCAGTGCTCCATAATCTTTATTAAACAACTGCACACCTAGATCCTTCCCAGATTTCTGCAGCTCACAAAAATTTAAACATGGAAAAAAAAAAAACTCAACGGATTAATTGTTGTTTACACTTGCCAACATTTTAAATGGTTCTCTTATTTATTAACACGAGCAAGTAGATCATTTTTACCTAGTGATAAGATAACTTAAATAGTTTTTCACTATCTAAGTGCTCAAATGAATATGAGTAGAACAGAAACATATAGAAATTACATGTGATGAACAATCTTTCTGTGCCCTCAAACGATGGAATTTTCTCCCACTACACATCTGCAATATATTGACCATCCAGGCCTTCAAAACTGCACTCAAGACACATCTCTTCATACTCTACTATCTCTACTGATTCCCACCCCCCTCTGACTGATAAACGATGCTGCTGGCTGCCGTCCATGGCTTAACATGTAAATAGTTCTGGGGTTGACAGGATGAATATTTGTTTTTTGTTTTTATACACATAAAAAGATTTAAACTTAACAATAAATATTGAGAAGTTTAATATTGAATAATATTGTTTTGCTGAACGTAATTGTTTTATATTTGGCTCAATTTCTAATGCACTCGTATCATTTTGTATTAAAACAAGAGTAGAAAAACTTTGTTAACTTTTTAAGGGGTTGAAAATTTTAGCTGAAATTTTCGGATATTCTTCATTCCCTAAAACCCAGAAAATGTTGTATTGAACTTCGGTGAACTTAAGCACTTTTGTTATAATTATGTTCATTATGTTGAAACATTTTTTCCTCTTTTGCAATAGTTAATCTGAAAAATTCTTGCCCATCAAAGCCTTTTGATGCAACAATGTGTAATTTGTATTGTTGGATTTTGTCTTCTTACACATGAAACTTATATTTTTCTTTTTACTCATCCTTGCTGCAGCACCATTCTTGCAAACAAGGACACAATTAGTCTATTGAATTCCCTGCATTTTGAAGAAATCATCTGTTACTTGAAAAATGTTCTCACCAGTCATACACACTTAAAGCTCTTTACAAAACAAATGATCTTATATGTCATCCTCATCAACAAAACTTACCATACTTATGATCTTTGCTTTCTTTTTAATATTCTACTCAATTGTTTCTTGCGTTAGAAATTCTTTTGGGTTAATGTTCTTTATCAAGTGAAAAGGACTCATCGGTTGCCATACGTTGGAATGGGGACTTGTCAGGTGACCCACTAAATTTAAACATGCAGATGTGCTGTGTTATTTGACTTCAATCCTTTGACAGCTATTTACTTAGCTGATCATTTTCCCTTTTGTCTCTGGAGGTTTATATCTTCTTTGTGTGTTTCATCCTCCATCAGCAATTTTGCTGAGGCACACCTGTTTTGAAGCTGCAAAGTAGAGCATGAAAAACTTGAAAACTCTCAGCTGTAGAAATTCCTTAAATGGCTGACAAAAAATTTAAAAGTACTGAAAGGCATGCTTGAGTGAACATACACTCTCCAGGCCGATTCCAAAGCACTGCGTTTATTTTATTTTATTTTTTAAATACAGGAAAATCAAGATATATTATCAGAATAATAATATTTTGGCACATAGGCATGCTGTTACTGCTTTTCACAGAATTATGTTAAATTAACAACACCCCACACAGTATTGCTGATATCAGACATTTATTTCTTCTCTTTATAGATCTTTATCAACAATGAATTTGTGGATGCTGTCAGTGGCAAAACTTTTGCAACAGTTAACCCAACTACTGAGGAGGTAATTTGTCAGGTGGCTGAAGGGGATAAGGTAACTTGTTATTGTTTTTTTACATATATAATTTTTGTGTGGGGAAAATAATTATCAGATAGCCTTATAAAAAGTATAAATTTCACTGAATTTTATTTTCAACCAACATAGTGTTATTTTTATCTATGGTCATTCCGTTTTTTTAATCAGTACTCAATTTGCGTCACATAGAGTAGACTTCAACATCATTCTCATTAACATTCCCATACCTTGTTACCATTTTTGATAAGTCAATAGGGGTATGCTATATTTACAGGCTGATGTTGACAAGGCTGTCAAAGCAGCAAGGGAAGCCTTCAGATTGGGCTCTCCATGGCGCACAATGGATGCCTCTGGCAGGCAGAATCTCCTGCTTAAACTTGCAGATCTTATTGAGAGAGACAGAAATTACATTGCTGTAAGTCATAGGTATTTTATTCTAAATATCCTTGGCTCTTTTTTTAAGTTTTACATGTTCTTGTGACATCTTTAACAATTTCAGCTATACAATTATCAGTTGCAGATGTCAGTGTTAGTTTGATCTGTCTTAAAATCTGCCTGATAAATTCAGGTTACTTAGTATGCTGGTCACATGATGAATATATAAGCAGCATGCCATCATCCTCAAATCAAAACATGCAGAGGGAAACTACAATTGAGAAATCATGTCTGACCAGTTTCTAAAGATATTAACATGTTAGCCTCTCACTGAGACAAACACCTGGTTAGTCTTTCCTCTGAGAAAACTTGCCAAGATAGATCATTATGAGCAGGTACTGAGAATACCTTGGCCCACGACTGACAAGTCTGTGGTGGCTTGTCCATTAGGAGGCGTCGGCCACCGACCCCCTCGACGTTACCCGGGGAACACAACTACTGGGCGCATCCTTGGTGGGCAGACAAGGGATGTCCTCGGTACCTGCCATACATAAAACAGCTCCTACAGGGCTGCCAGTTGTGATACTTCCCAACTGGAAGAATATGCAGAGACAGGGTAGGGATCATGATTACAAGTTGCCGTTAATGGATATGAGGCGAGAGGGGAAGGCGGTAACCTCTGGCCGATGATTCTTACTATGCAGCCCTGAGAAGCTGTTCCAAGGCAACTATTTCGTCCCAGCTACATCACGAATTAGTTGCATTGTGAAAACCCACTGTAGAATCCCTCTTATAGGCCGTCTAAAGCTTCCCCGGGATGGGTGGGGGAAGATATTAAAACGTAAATATTTCCATCCCGACTCCTGAGAAAGTCGATCCTGTGCACTGTGCAAACACAGTGTCGGACCGACCGGCTGTCTTTGGGTTAGGACGGTCCCCGGCGGAGTCCCTGGTCGAGCAGACTCGGGTGGGGGCTGTCCTGACAAAGGGACATCCCCGACGTGCCGCTCCGCGGCCCGATACCGGGTTCGGGAGGGGTTTATGGGGAGGGCATAAAGAGCGCAAGCTTGACGGCCCGCTGACTCCATTTCTTAATATGATATTTCAGAGGGCCTCGGAGGACATGCCTCCAGGTGTCATTTCGTGGTCAACTGTTGCATATGGTCTGGGGGGCAGGCATCGTTCAAGCCAAATACCTGTTTTAAAAACTTCAAAATGATTTCTAACACGCTCTACTTTAAACTAATATACTCTGAATACAGTAAGAGGCACTGTGATATATTTACGCTTTTATATTTTCAGTCTCTAGAAACTCTGGACAATGGGAAGCCATTCAGTGCATCATTTGCTGTAGATCTCGACTTAACCATCAAATGTTACAGGTAACCAAATAAAACAAAACATGTGAATTCTCTAAATGTTGAGAGAAAATTCAAATCCCTTTAGACTGATGGGCTGCTATACTTTTATAAATAAATAATTATTCATATTCACTCTAATAGTTAATAAATCAATAATGAGTAATTCTTCATTGCCTTATTTGCTCTAATGCTTTAATAAGGCAATAATTAATTTGTTGTTTTTTTTACTTAATTGCTTCTTGTGATGCAATAGCAATTAACAAACACTTTCCATTTACATCTGTTCTAGACTGTTTTTTTCTTGCTCATTTCACTTCTTGCTGTTTCTCTCACTGTCATGGTCTCTTCAGTGTGCTCCAGAATGCAATCAAGATGCCTGAATATTGTTTAAATCAATACATTTTATAATAGTATTGCCTGCCATCTTAATAAATGTCATTTGAGTTAACACTGTAATATTTATTTTTTCTAGGTATCATGCAGGCTGGACCAACAAACATGGAGGAAAAGTTGTTCCCATGGGTAATGTGATTAAATGATTTTTTGACCAAGTTTAACAGTGTTTAGGAATATGATGTACCTAATTAATGACAGTGGGATTTTTACCAGGTCGTTGTTGCATTATTGGTGACAACTTTTTTTTTCAGATGGCAACTTCTTTTCATACGTCCGTCATGAACCTGTTGGTGTGTGTGGTCAGATCATTCCTGTAAGTCAATGTTGTGTGTGGTCAGATCATTCCTGTAAGTCATTGTTGTGTGTGGTCAGATCATCCCTGTAAGTCAATGGTGTGTGTGGTCAGATCATTCCTGTAAGTCAATGGTGTGTGTGGTCAGATCATTCCTGTAAGTCAATAAATTATTTTATTAATAGTTCAGACTCTGCAGTTTCCCCATTCACTACTTCTTTCTTCCTTAAGTAGATTTCCTGTAAAGCACAAAAATTATTCAGCAATTCAGAGCAAAATTACGCTACAGACTAATGCTTGTATATGTTTTTTTCCCTCGGTTTGACATATCTATTTAATTGATTTCAGTGGAATTTCCCTCTACTTATGCAAGCATGGAAATTAGGCCCTGCTCTGGCTATGGGGAATACAGTGGTGATGAAGCCAGCAGAGCAAACACCTCTAACTGCTTTATACATAGCCCAACTTGCAGCTGAGGTATGTAGTAAGCACATGAACTGAATTACCAAAGTAACATATTTTTATTGAGTCAGTCAACAGGGTTGGCAAGTGTCTACACTGTACTTAGCAGGTCCAGGTGAACATTTTTAATGAAATATTATTTTAGTGTAACAGGTGTTTGCGATCTCAAGCATTTTGTTCCTGTAAATAGGTGTGTTTGATTATGAAATCAATTAGGTTGGTGAAATATATCGGTTGTAAGACCGGTGAGCTGAATGGGATACCATTAGTGCATCCTCATCTATTTTTAAATATGTGTAGAGAAAATTTTTTTGTTTTTTTAAACTTAAAATTTTTGTTGTTTGTTATTGTATCAACGACCTGATTCTGCTTCACAGCAAACTAGTTTTGCTGCAAATTAACAGTGAAATATTACCTTTATGATATTAATTGTAGGAAATCTCAGAACATTCATTTCATAAAAAGACGGTCACCAAATGGGATAATGATTTCTCAAGTTCAATTACGCAACAACAAAATTGGCTTAAAGATTATAAAAAGTAAACCTCTGACATCATCAAGTAATGAGTTAGTGAGTGTCAGCATGTGGCAATGGCTAAACATTAGCCAGTTTGTGGATCAGACTATGTCATGTACATTTTCAACTACAATTTTTGTCAGGCCGGCTTTCCACCGGGCGTCATTAACATTGTGCCAGGGTATGGGCCAACAGCTGGGGCAGCCATCGCTGAACACATGGATGTTGACAAAGTGGCTTTCACGGGATCTACAGAAGTAAAATTTCCTTCTTTTCTTAAATGCTGTTTTTTGTTTATGTTTTTAGTGTTGTGGATGAAACAAAATTTAAATGAGTGGTCTACTTATTTAAGTATGCAATTCAATTAATCATTGGGAATAATGTAGAAAATCCAAAGTGCCATTGGAAGTTTTTATTTAGTTAACCAATGGCTTTTTAATTGAAAGATTAGTCCCATTTAATTAACTTTTAGGAATCTATAAGTTAGAATTCAAAGTGCTATTTGGTTTGACTAATTACTTTTTTTATTGTCAGATTGGTCAGCTCATTCCCCAAATGGCAGCACGTTCTAATCTAAAGAGAGTAACCTTGGAGCTCGGGGGCAAGAGTCCCCAGATTATTTACTCAGACAGCAACAGTAATTTACTTTTGATTAACCATTTAACGTTTCTTCCAAATTTTGTTTTTGATAATTCATATGTTTATTGACCAGATTTGTGTGTGTTTCATCGTGTGTTTGGTAAATTCAGTCAAACTGATAATCTAATAGACTCCCTACACTAACAAGATGCTTATTTTATCTTTAATCTTCAGTTGAAAATGCTGTAAACTTCACACACCTTGGGTTGTTCTTCAACCAGGGCCAATGTTGTACTGCTGGGTCTCGAGTTTTTGTTGAAGAAAAAATATACAAAGACTTTGTGGAACTTGCCACAGAGAAAGCAAAAAAGAGGACAGTAGGGAACCCATTTACAGATGTAGACCAGGGACCACAGGTAAAGCTCACAGAGCCATAAAAATCATCAAAATTAGTTTGTCTTCTGGTCTAGAACATTATAGGGATATAATGTAGTAACTTTTTATAAATAACTTTACTCATATTTAAGCAAAATATGGGGAGGACTGAGTTCAGGTTGAAGCAATAAGAAATATACACAGGGTAGAGGAAAACCAGAAGAAAGACAATACTTTTGTATTCTTCAGGTTTGCCTTTACCCTGTGTATATTTCATATTTAAGCAGAGCTTGGAAACATGGAAGAAATTTTTTAAAACTCTCATGCATGTTTGTTTGCCAAGGTTGACGGTGACCAGATGGGCAAGATTCTTGAGCTGATTAACAGTGGTAAGAAGGAAGGGGCTAAGATGACAGTTGGGGGAAATCGCGTTGGTGACAAAGGATTCTTTATTGCGCCAACAATCTTTGCTGACGTGCAGGACAACATGAGGATAGCTAAAGAGGAGGTGAGATTTTAAATCAATTTTTAGTTTTTAATTATTTATTGTTTTTTTTTAAAAACCATTTGAAATTTTATTTTGATTTTCAACAGTCTACATAAAGTAGTAATATAACACAAGCTATTTATTCTTCACTTGAACTATTTTTAGAAAAATGCTGCTGTAAAACTAAAAAAAATTTGGTTCATACATCCCACCCACTTCATCTCAGATACTTAAGATCAGCTCAATGAGGACGCACTCTTTCTCTTAAAGTTAGAACGAAAGATCTAAAAATCATTTGTTCCCCAGTCTGTACAAATTTACAAGTGTGCTCCCCCAGTGGTTAGCAAATCTAAATGATCACTAATTAAGTCATTATTGTCTGAAAATGAGTTCATTGATTGCTGATTTCTACGTTAGAGAAATACTTACGATGTTTCGTGTTTAAATTGCTATAATTTTAAAATGGTGTCTTGGTTTCAATATGTATTTAAAAACTCAATATGTACTATGTAATCAAAAAACATTTCCATTTATTTGGATCAGTAAAGAATCTTATCTTATTATATGCACTTTTTCTTTACATACATTGTTACTGTTGCTTAAGATTTTATTTTGATGCTTATGATTATGTTACAAAAGTTATGAGTGTAAATAATTGTTGATACAGATTTTTGGCCCAGTGATGCAAATCATGAAGTTTAAGACTGACGAAGAGCTGATAGAACGAGCACATAACACAATTTATGGTTTGGCTGCATCAGTTTACACACAAGACATTGACAAAGCCATCTACCTCTCTAACAGCTTGAGGGCTGGCACAGTCTGGTGAGTTTAAAGTGTTCTAAATTGTTCTTTCCAAGGGATATATTGAACAGTTAGTAACAGAATTTGTTGGGAGTTAATACGAAATCTTTAAAAGCTGATCTGAAAACTCATGTTGATTCTTCTAAAATGAATGTAATAATGGCTAACAAAGAGGTCTTTAACATTCATTGATCCCTAATTAATCTTATATCAACTCTGGTGGATTTTATCAACTTCCATAACATCATCATCAGTGGCGCTACAACCCATTAAGTCCTTCTCTACATCGTTGATCCATCTCAGTGTTGGTCGACTGGTGAACCATACGCACCTAGGTTTCTGCCTGTAGATCACTTTTGCTGCTCTACAATCCGGCATCCTCATAATGTATATTATCCTCTCCCATGTATAGAGCAGGTTCTCTGCTTTTCTGGTAAGGGACAACTGGTCTTTGTTCCCCTTGAGAGGTTTTTGCTTCCCAGAGCTTTTTTAGGCTGAAATAAGAACGGTTGCCTGCTTTTATCCTTTCTTTCGCCTCCTACATTATGTCATTGTGCTCATGTATAGTCGCCCCTCTAGATTTGAAAGCATTCATTAGTATGTCATCAGTGTGGGAGTTTCGTGACATTATCATATATTTTGCCTTCGCTTCGTTTACCTTAAGACCAGCTTTGACCCTAGGCATCTTCAAGTTCCCTGAACTGTATGCTTTAATTATATCATTGCTGTTTCTGCCCAGTAGTTCTATACCATCCACATATGCCAGGTACCCGGTACTGCAATGGTTAGCTGTATAAAGTTCCTGGTGGTTATTGTTCTGTTAAACCTCTCTGGAAGTAGTTTGGGATGGTTTTACAGGTGCTCACATGTATGTTTTTCATAACTTTTTCTAAGTAGATTTTGAACAGGATACATGATAGTGAATCTCCTGGTCTGAGGCCCTGATTAATTCAGAACTCTCTCCAACTTCCATTACAGTAAACTCAAAGATATATTTCTTTTGACATTTTATTCCTAACAAGGTAGTCTTTCATGTTCTTAATATAGTAGGGTTTACTTCTCAACTTTTTTGTAATGCAAAAGTGATGGAATTTAGTCTCTAAAATAAAATGTCACAATTTTGTCTACTAACTAGGATAAACTGCCACAATGTTTTTGATGCTGCAATGCCATTTGGAGGCTATAAAATGTCTGGCCAGGGCAGAGAGCTTGGAGAGTATGGTATTGAGGCCTATACAGAAGTCAAATCTGTAAGTGTTTCTTGCTTTTGAAATATTTTTGGGTTAATGTCCTTAATCATTTAAATATCAGATTTTTTTTTTTTTTTTAAAAAAAAAAAAAAATTATTTATTTTTCTTGTAGTTTTTTTTTTTTAACAACTTTTGTAACAAGCACCTGTACATCTATTTAGAGATAGTAAAAAAGTTTTTATTTCATAGTTGGTCCATTTTTTTAAATTGCAATTTTTAGGAAATATAAAACTTAGACTTCCAATAAAACAAAATAATTAATTTTTAAAGATTGTTTAAACAAAATTTAATTCAACAAATGAAAAGTGCATTCAAAAATATTTGTATATTACATGAAAATTATTTCATCTAACTTAAAGCTATGTGTTAAGAAATGGGCCTGCTTTAGATTCCCCTCTTAAATCATTAGCAATTAAAAATAAAAATCATGGCTATAAGATTACTGACAAAGACTCATTAGCAGAAAGATAATGCTAAAAGCTTTTTTGTAGATGTAAACAATGTAGCAACCTTATTTTTGGTTTTTGTATATAATCTAATAAATTCATTATGATGATTTTATTTATGAATAGACCAATCAATTTAGTTCATCTCTTTGTTCTGTCATATTTTAAATACAACCTTTTTTCCCCTGAATTTGATCAGGTGATTATGAAGATTCCACAAAAGAACTCATAAGAGAAATCAACCTGGGATCATGTTGACTGCACATGGAGCAAGTTATGCCAATCTGTGTTATAAGACATTTAAAATTCATATTGTTAAGAATTTCATTTCAAAGTTTGTTCAAGTGTAACTTTACTGAGATTTGCACAACTCTCTGGGATGATTAAAAATATCTTTACTAAACATCCAAATTATGCAGCTCAAATTGCTTTTTGTAACACATTGTTTATATTTAGCCCAGAACTTTCACTGTCACTGCTAAAATGTATTCTCAAACTATTCTGTGTTACAAATGTAAAAGATTCTTTCATGAAACTTTGGCTTCACATCACTTAAGGTGATGCAATTTATTATATTCCTTTATCTCAGTTAACTCCCTTGTCACAAAACAAAAAGAGATTATTTACTATTTTTTTAAATCTTCCTTTTGCTAAAAACAAGTATATCATAATATGACATAATATTTGTAGTAATATGCATAGTAGTAATGTGTAATTTATTTGTTACACACACAAACAGCTTATATTTTCTGTTTTATAAGATGTTGGAAAGCATATCTGTAATTGCTGTGTTTTCTCCCACAGCTGCAACAATAAAGGGTTCATGTTACTGCCTTTTTTGTCTCATTGAAAGCTGTTTTGCTTTTGAGTATTTAATCAATGCGCACAATATCAAGCTACTTTTGCAAATTTGTCTGTTTTGTATATAATGTTTATTAAAGTATAAGATATTAAAATTTATTTTCTTCATTGATTTTATTACTCAGTGTACTTATGGACGTGAGACTGTTTGCGACAAAATCAAATTGCCTCTCTCACATTTTCTACATTTTTTTTTTTTGACCAAAATTATTATGTGGCAGCATAGTTTTGTTCTGAACTGCGAAAACCAAAAAATTTTTTTTTTGAAGTAGTTCATTTAAACTAATTAATATTTTCAATTAAGTGGTAAAGTATCATATTGCAATACTAATATTATGATATTTACATAAGACAATCGGATATAGATGAAACTAAAGGTATAGGTATGATTTTATAGAATCTCTCTTGATTAAAGTATGAGATGAGTCAGATATTTGTTGCTTTACAAACATAAATCAGATCTTAATAATTTCTTTTAAAAAATAGGCCAATGAGATGAGTTCCTACGCTAACAATTTGTTGCTTCGATATTTAAATAAGCATTTTTATCAGAAAAATGTTCATGTGATACCAGATTTTCACTTGGATCCTAAACTCAACATTTTGGGGCTGCTCCAAGCATCAGCAAATGTTTAACTTTTAGAATAAAAAAATGACAAACAAGTATTAAGTAAATGCTTTTTTTTGATGTTTGAATATCTGAGAAAATTCTATGTATTTTTCTGATTTTCATTCATTTTTTCCCCTAAAAATTGTACATCATTAATCCAGTCTCTCAAGGAGTTTTGCTTAAAAAAAAAAGATAATTGTTAATGAAAGCTTTTAAAGATTCAATGGCCGCTGAATGTTAAAATTTCATCAAATGAAAATATCACATTTAATCAAGTTTCCTACCAAATTTCATCTTCTTTTATCATGTGTGTTTTATATTTTTAAAAAAATATATTTTTAACTCACTAACAATAATATAAGTAATTTCGGAGTAAAACCATGGATTCCATTCATGTGACAATGGTAGAAAAGCACCATTCCATTCATGTGACAATGGTAGAAAAGCACCAATGTGAAGAACTTACATCAGCAGCAGGCATTTGAATTTTTCAAACATAAATGTCCAGAGCTCCAAAAATAATAAGAGCAGAGAGGGAATGGGGCAATAAAAAATTTTAAAAATAGGCCATTTACAAAAGTGTGGGCAATGCAGTCAAATTAATTGACAACTTTGAAAAAACATTAATTTTATAAATATTTTTCTAAAATGTGAAAATGAAATGTAATAAGTGTACAGATAATTTTTTAATTTAGTACTTTCTGATAGGGTTATGTACCTTTACTCTTAAATGATTCTGGAAAAAAAATTCAGTGCCAGAAGTAGAAATTATTTAGTTTTTGTTGTTTTCTCAAAAAAATGTGTCATTGCTACTTAGTAGTACAATCAATTAACTGAGAGATTTGCTTTTCTACTCAATGCCACAAAAATACCATTTAACATTATTTTAAATTCTAGGAAGTTCACATTTTCCTTACATCAAGGGTATTGAGATGGATCAACATATGGATAAACCATAGAAAACTTTCAGTTCTCATGTCAGTGTCACAAATCAATATCAGCTTACTTCAAATAATGTAATCACCCATTGAATTAAACTGTAACATGTGTGAGTCAGCCAGGAGTCTTAATAAATTCCAACAACAGCTGTTGCACACACACACACACACAGGGTGGGGCATGAAACTCAAACATTGAAATGTTTCCATAATTCACAGCAACTGTTTCATGTGTAACAGTTGCTGGAGAGTTCAATATGCTCAGAACTCAAACATAAAAATATATAGATGGAGTGGGTCTGGTTACCTTGTAATGACAAAAGTGTGTGGGCTTGTGTACTGAATGTTTCATGTGAATCTTTTCAGTTTTAAAACTTACAGCAACTGATTTTTATTATATGGTGGTTTTTTTCTAAAGTGACTTTTTTTTAATATAGAGATAAACTTTGTTTATTGATTTCACTTTAAAGGCTATTTATGTACATGTAAATAAATAAATATATATATTTATTTATTTATAAATATGTTATATAAATTAAATAAATATATATATAAATTAAATAAATAAATATATTTATATATATATATATATATATATATTTTATATATTTAAATGTCTCTCTCTCTATATATATATGTAAGAAAACTGCTTTTGGCTAATTAATTGACATTAAAGTAACAGGCGTGGCTACTAGACGCTGAATTGTGATAAGAGGTGAAGGAAATTTTACTGTATGCAGCTGGATTAATATATGCTGAAAGATTATATAGGCTTGTTTTTACCCCACGATGGATCAACTTCAAAGGTTCGATCTTCAACATATCTTCAAGAAATGGAACCTTCTAGCCTTTGTGTTTCTTATGTGTTCTCATCCTGTGGCCTTGGTCCCTGTGAATGTGGCGCTCAACAAGAAAGTGACTGCGTTCTATACGTGCGGTGTTTTCGGTAGGGAGGCCTACACCACTGTTACCGATGCCTATGGTTCTGTCTCAACAAGACCCAGTAGAAGCTGCGTGGACTTGCGCGCAAGCAACCAGTCACTGGCGGCAAAGCCCACTTATCCACCCGAGGCCATGGTGGATGGGTCAGTGGATACTTGGTGGCAGAGTACCTCGCGTTCTCGTACTTATTACTATGGCAAGGATCTGGCTGTTGAGGTTACCAAAGAATTGGAAGCAATGATAGATTTTGATTTACTTCAGGTAAGTTATAGTTTGGACCATTATTTAATGTTGCATGTTCCTACTATTTGCTTTAGTATATTTCTACTCCTCAATGTCATTCATAAGAAAAATTAATATAAAGCATATTTTTAATGCCACTTTAATTCTATTGAGCAACCGTATTTTGACTTTCATTTGTTTTACTACAATCTAGAACACACTTGGGTCAACATAATTTCAATTTCAAACCCTGGATGTAATTATAGTCTATTTATAGTTGCATAGATAATTCATTATTACAAAAGTAAAACATTTCAATATCTTTGTGTTAACACTGCTACTAAACCAATAATACTAAATCACCAATACTAAAAACCAATACGAGAACAAAAAATTGTCATTTTAAAAGGCAACAAAAAGCATCAGGTTATCCTACACATTTTTTTGTTCACTTGGGCAATTAGTTAAGTCTTATTACAAAGCTGGTGATGTCTGCAGGAATACTAAAACTCCAATAATAAATCACCGATACTAAAATACCAATACTAACTCACCAATACTTATTCACCAATAATGAAACACCAATAGTAAATCACATAATGAGTTTGAAGATGTTTCAACCAGTGCATTACAGTGTTGCTTATTATTTGATTGCTAATCGTACCTTTCAAATTTCCCTACATTCATGATCATATATTTGTTAAGCTTAATTTTTTATTTAAAGTGTCAGATCCAGAAATAAAATAATGACATTAAAACACAAAAAACTAACCTGATGTCCCATTTTAATTTCAGTAAGGTTATGAAATTCCATTAATCAAAAGATAAAATTTCTTTTTTTTTTAAATTTGTAATTTTAAATGCAACTAAAAGCATATGTGATCCTACTTGGGCAATTAGGTAAGTCTTATTACAAAGCTGGTGATGTCTGTGGTTGATGTTTACCTTCTGCAGGAATTCTTGGTAGAGAGTATCAAAATCCAGCTGGGTGATGCCCTGACTCCACAAAAAGCTTCCATCTTAAAGTCACTGGACGGAAAAACATTTACCCCGTGGATATTTGCAGTTTCAAATAGTGACTGGTGTGAGTCTTTCTTTTCATCTACATACAAAACTGTACCAGAGACCACAACAGACACAATATGTGTCACTTACGAAGCAGATGATAAGCCGCCTGGGGATGGAGTAAGCATTCTTGAATACTTGAATGTAAAATAGTTGCATAATATCTTAGGGTTTTAATAAGTAATTGTCAGCTGGTTGCTTTTTTCATCAACGAAATTTGCAACTGGTGGGCTAAATTAAATTTAAAATATAGTTAAATTATATGACTCTTTTTATGTCAAAATGTATATGTTGAATGACATGAATTATAAAATTATCTCTTTTAAAATTGGATTTTTGGAAGCATAGTTTATTATTTTTAAACAATATACCCGTATCTATTAATAATTTAGTGATTGCTAAAATTTTGTATGCATTTATATGTATTCTAGTAATGCTGCCACTGCTGGGTTTACAGACTGACTTTCAATTTACTTTAAATTTAATTGAAACAATCCTTGTTAAATATTGTCTTATGTGAATTTGAATTTTTATATATTGTCTTATGTGAATTTTTTTGCATACTGTGTATAATCTGTTTTTGGTTATTTATATTTCAGATTAATTTAGGTTTAAGCCAAGTACCAGATGCACTAAAGGTTTGTTAAATATTTTTTTACAGAAACTGAGTTTTGATTAGTTTTTTGTAGAAACCTTTGCTCACATTGAACTATTGGTCTACCTCATTCCATTGATTTAACTCTAAACTTAAAATAAACATAATAATGTCATATAATAATATATTGTTTTTTTGTTTGCGTGATGTCATTGATGTAATTGAGGGAAACTCCACCTGTAGTGTTTAACTGTTTTCTGTATGGGTTCACTCAAAAGCAATTAAAACCTTCTACTATTCTTATATTTCATGGGCAAATACTTTTGTCTGAAGGCTTATCCTGCTGGAGTTACTTAAAGACTGAGAGCTTAGAGATCCTTTCGGAGATCAATAAAGAATACACACCAAAGAAAAATTGGAAGAGATTTGTTCAGTGAACTGGAAAACAAACAAAACCACTAACATCGACATTTGTATATTCAATTTTAAAACACATATTTTTAAGAATTTGAAATTAATATTTAAATACATTATTTGACCATATCTTTTAATGAAAATATTTTGGACATTACAGGAATGGACACGGGCTAGATATGTAAAAGTCAAGTTTTACGACATGATGTTTGTTTACCCTTTTAACTCTCTGGCAGACAGTTATGTAAGTAGAAATAGCTTTTTATTGAACTATTCTTTTCAAGCATTGGTTTACGTAACAGTTCTAACAAACTAACTTTAAAATAGTTTAAAATAACAACACACTTCCATTACTCTTTTTTTATTAAGTGTAAAAATTAAAATTGGTAATCATTAAAAACTGAATACCAAGTTGTACCAGATGTTTATAATGAGCTTTGAATATAAGCAGCCATTTTGTAATGCTATGTGTTTTTGCATTTTGCCATCATGAAATCAATATTTGAGCACTGGGGCATATATTTGTGTTAGGTCTTATATTTCAACATAACTTATGATATCAGTGGATCAATTCATGCGCAGTAGTAATATGAGTTATGTGGCAATCAATAAAATGTTCGAATGAATCAGCTTTTCTGTATCAAACAAATTATAGTACTTGTAAAATATTTCATATGTACTTTTGTATATTTTTTTTAATTAAAATTTATTTAAAAAGGTTATATTTATTGAATATCCAATGACATAATTACATAATTAACTCATTTTCAGGCTTATTAGTCAATACAATTTTAAGCTGTTCACTGGACGTAGTTGTCAATGATTGCAATAAACAACTTAATTAACCCCATTTGTGTGGTCAAAGACAACTGCAAAATGTATTTTAATGCTCTTGTTATTTCATAATTCTTACTTGGTAAAAAAAAAAACCTTTCCCCCCCCCCCCCCCCCCCAAAGAACCACTACTCTGTGTCTGAACTGACAATACTGGCCGAGTGCCCTTGCAACGGTCAACAAAGTGCTTGTAATATCAGCTCAACTTCAGGAATGTATGAGTGCGTCTGTGGGGGTAACACCAGAGGAAGGTTCTGTGAATCTTGTCTTCCTCTGTTTAACCAGCTTCCCTTTGAGTATGGAAAGCCTTGTGTGGGTAAATATAATTTCTTCCTTGAAAGTTAAATGTGATTATCTCCCTTCTAATCATAAGTATTGACTTTAAACCCACAAAACATTAAAAATATTTATAATTAACTGCTTAAAATATATATTTTATTTATTTCTAAATTAATTCTTCTTTATCAACAATCACTTAAGTATTGAGATTATAAACTAGCCATATAATAATTTTTTAGCATTCCTGTATATATAAAATAAAGGCTGCTGAATAACGAAAATGCTTTTGACAAAGGAGGTTTTTTTTAAAAACTTGACAGAGGAAAAATTTCTATTGATGCTATTAAGGAGTTAGTGAAATCGTCCCCTAAGCCATTTGTTTTTCTCCAGAATGTAACTGCTTTGGTCATGCCACTGTATGCTTCTACAAAGAATCTGTCGCCCTTGAGAAACAGTCTCTTGACAAGCAGGGCAACAGAACTGGGGGTGGTGTCTGCTCTGACTGCCAAAATAACACAGCAGGTAATTCACAGCTGTTAAACACTTTAAAAAAAGAGTTTTTGTTTTATAAAATGAACAACTCCTGAGATTTTGAATCCGTCTGGCTAAGGAACAGTGAAAACATTATTATCTAGCTATTCATGGTTAAAGCTTGCTTAACATAGAGAATAGAAATCAGACTTAATAGAATACCATTCAAATGGTTAATTTATTTATTATAGAATAATTCAAATGATTTGGGGGGGGGGGGGGCGACCATAAATTAAACCTTGTCTTACATCAACACAGACAAATGTTCTTTTAGGCACCTTCCTGTGGTTTGAGGGTTAAGGAATAAATTATGCAAGAATCATAGTTGCCTTGTTTAAAAACAGACTGAAAAAAAAAATGGAAGCCAGATACTTGGAGCTACCATCAAAAAGAAAGCTTTGTTATCTTGATTCATTATTGTAACAAGCATCTTCCAGAATTCCTTAATTACCTGCACCAACATGACCCATTTGTGTAGTCACTTGGGATTAAATGAGTTTAAAGTAGAATTTGATTTCTTTTGGTCCATTTCAATTTTAGTAAATTTTATTGTTTCAGGTGTAAATTGTGAAAAGTGTGTGGACCTTCACTACAGACCCTTAGGTGTGCTCCAGACAGCGGAAAATCCCTGCATCCCATGTCTGTGCAATATCTCAGGTTCTACAGTGAACCCAAATACAAATTTGGTGGACTGTGTAATGAATAGTGACACCAACCTTCCTGATGGCAAGGTAGTTGCAAAACTGTAATTCTTTCTTTATAGCTAACTGTTTCTTCTAAATTTAAACCATTTCAGCTTAAGTTAAGTAAGACCTAAACAACAGAAAATTTTTATTAAATTTAGGGCTTAGTTTTAGATAAATTATATATTAAAATGGCATCTGTTTATGATTAATAAAGTGGAGAGACTCTAATCAGGTTAACAAAGTAGGAAATGATTAAAACAAAGTAAGGTCATACCTGAAAAAAGGAATGCAACAAAACAACGGACTTGTCAGCAGGAAGCCTTTGTCAGCGATTATAAGCACTGCAACATAGTGCAGTATAAAAAATCATTCTTCCCATGCACAATAATCCCTTGGAACCACCTGGACAATGCCACCGAGGACTCGACATCAGTCCAAAGCTTCAAGGCTGTCCTGGCATCTGCTAGGAGCTGTTAGAATAGCAACATCTCTTCCCCAATCATTGCACATATGCCACAGTATGTGGATGTAGCAACGAACACTACCAGAACCAAAGAACAAACAACAGAGTTTATGAGTTTGAATTTAAAAGCCTTAAAATAAGTTCTTTATTTTATGAACTAAAATATTTCATTTGATTAATTTTTTTTTATAAAGGAAAAGAATCTTTGAGCCAATAGTACAATTTCAACATTCAAAAACAATATTTTAAAATATCTGAGGAAAAACTCTAAAAAATTTTTTACTTAAATTAGTAGCCAAATTTATGTTATAGTAGAATTTCATCTCCACACCTTTATGGCCATGTTGCTCAGTGGTTAAGTAATTGAATTCAGATCATCGTTTGAATGTTCATAATCAAATATATGTGCAGACCATAAGTTTGAATGTTCATATATATTCAGCAGCTGCTCTTCTGCAATGTGAAAAACTTAAGTCCCATGATGAAAGTCAGCAGCTCATTCTGCATGCAATAAAACTGCCTGTCTATAGTTTCCCGATAATATGACCATAATTCATCATTAATCAGTGTTTAAAATGGCCTGCTAACATTTTTGTCAGGAGAAAAAGCAGTGTAAACAAACTTAAAGATATATAACAGACTTGATTTTGTAGTAATTCAACATAATACAGCCAAATCCAAAAAAGAATAATAATAAATATCCATTTGAATAAGTATTGCTGCAGTTGGCAAAAAATATACATTTCTTAACATGGGTCTATGTAAAATAGCATGTTGAAGACTTGTTAATATTTTAATGATGAGGCTTTTAAAATTTTATGTCAGTGAAAAATGTATTGCATTGGGCATTTTGTATCTAAGTCTAATTTTCTAATAAGAGAAACATTTTTATATTTTAATGTCATGTTCTCATTGTGAATTGCGATTTTGACCTCAATGAATACTTGTCATGTCTGCAGCTACCAGGTGACTGTTATTGTAAATCAAATGTAAATGGATCCAAGTGTGATGTCTGTAAAACAGGTTTCTACAACTTACAACAGAATAATCCAGATGGCTGTTCTGGTAAGTGCCAATGTTAAAGAACATTTTAAAAAAAAAAATCAAGAATATTTTGAAACAACTTTCACTCTACTGCAACGAAGAGAAGAAAGTTCCATTATTTTTTATCATGGACCAAATTGGAGGCTGGTAAAGAAAACTTGATCAGTGATTGTGAGACAATGGAATCTGATAAAGAGAACCTGATCAGTGATTGAGAGACAATGGAGAGTGGTAAAGAGAACCTGATCAGTGATTGAAAGGCAATGGAGTCTGGTAAAGAGAACCTGATCAGTGATTGAGAGACAATGGAGTATTAATTTTATATCAGATTATATTTCCCTTGTGTATTGTCCTTGAGATATTAATTAAACTATCTCCTTTTACTTCTGCCAAAAATAACTATTTTTTGTCTATTTTAAATAAAAAACCTGAAGACCTTCTGACATTCAATCCCTGTATACAAACCCCTGAAACTTAGAATATACCTTTTTCTTTAAACTCTACAAACATAAGGGAGGAGAAATTTAACATCTCACTTCAAAAAAATTATATGAGTAGTAAAAATCATATCACAGTAAATTTGTCATGGTCATGCAAAACCTTGAAATCTGAATTTTAGTAGAAATAAACCAATGTTTTTTCGTATCTTTTGTTCAGCTTGTGAGTGCGCCACTGCAGGGACAGTTGGAGCCAGTAGTATCTGTTTGTCAGACAGTACTGGTCAGTGCACATGTAAGATAAATGTCCAAGGTCGAGCCTGCGACACATGCAAAGATGGTTTCTATAACCTGACCAGTGACAAAGCTGAAGGTATTTAGAATTTTTTTATTCTTGCAAACATATATTTTTAATGCATTATAGTTAATATATAATATATATATAAAATATCTCACATAATTCGACAGTACTATTTAAAAGATGAGATAAGCCATGGTGATATTGCTTACCTCTCCTGTTGATTAATGATAACTTGGCTAAGGGGCTAAATCAGATTTCACAGAGATGTTACAATGTTTATAAATGTGTTTCTAGATTTTGTCCTTTAAATTACTTGTTTCAAAATGGCTGCTCTTTTCTGAGCATGACACTGCCTTGATTACAGCTTTACACCAATAATAACAAACCACGAATTTAAAATAATTTAATTTAAACGTTTATCAGTTTTACACTGAAAGTAAATGTAATTACTCTTTGTTTATTCCATTTTAAATTAAGCATTTGAAAATTCATCAACAATTAAATTCAAAAGACTAATCTGAGAACTTAATTTGCGTTAATTGCATAATAAAATATCTCTTTTACCATTCTTAAACAAATTGTGGTTTCCTTGAAGTATAAGTAGTATTGCAGCTAATGTTTTCTTTAATTTCTGAATTTAGGTTGTACACCCTGTAACTGTGATGTTGGCGGATCTGAGAATCAAATTTGTGACAAAGTAACAGGACAGTGTGTGTGTAGTAGTCAGAATTTGATGGGGAGGCGCTGTGATAGGCAAGTTTAACCTACAAAATGATGACCACCCAAGGCTGTTTATCATTAGATTTTCTGATCATTATATCGTTATGTCAATATCAATAGTCAACATTTGATATTGACATTTTATTTATTTTAAATAAGATATGATTATATTAAAAATGCAATTATTAACAATTGTAATAAAATTATTTTATCATATCAAATTCTCCTGTCAAAATAAAAATATGGAACTAATCATATGCACATTTTGTACAATATTCTTAATTGGTAATAAACATTTGAAAACAAAAAATGATAAGAATTATATTTGTTATTTTAAACATTGCTCTGTGTACACCTAGCATTCAGCAAGGCTATTACTACCCAAGTGCTCACAGTATATATACAGAATTAGAGGATAGCTTTGGTGAAGTTGTTTTTAATAGGAACCCTCAATATATTGGATTCTCTGGTCGAGGCTATGCAGTAGTTGTCCCTGGAGTAAGTACTGCATGGCTGATATTCAATGCAAACCACTGCTTTTTCAATGAAATCTTATTCAAATTATGAATGTTTACAACTTCTATGTTAGTTTTTGTTTGAAATTTAATTATCTCATCTTGCTCACAAGTACACAAAATAGTGTTTTTTTTTACCTAATCCTTCTTTGTGCACATACTTTATATCTATTAAAAATAATTATCAAAAAAAATGTCAGCCTCCACAAAATAATACGATAAAGAATTCGAAAATACATTTTGGGTTTATTTAATATTTTCATATAAATTTTAGATTTTGAATTTTCTTTTTATAACTGAAGACACTTAATGAACACTTTTTTAACATTTATAATTTGGTACGGAGTTTTGTTAAGATATGGTAATTATTTTCATTTGTATTCTCTTATTTTTCCAATAATTCAACTATCAAAAATTAATATTAAATAGCTTTTAATTAGCTTTTAAAATATTTTCCATGATATAATAGCTTATAAAATGTAAAACTGAACTGAGCTTTAAGAAACGTTGTTTTGAAGCTGCTGTTATTTCTATCAATTTATAAGAAAACTATATAATTATTGCTATCCACTTTAACAATCATTGATGTTATTTTTTATAAATCCTTATTATTTTTTTGCCACTGATATAAATTACAACAAACTCAAGAACAAGTTAGAAAAAATAAGGAACTAGCTCTTGATACAATTATTCAATATTTTAATTTTTAAGACTGTTAAAGATAACTAATTTAAAACCTATGTTTGATCTTTTGTCAGAGTTACCTCTCATTTCTATTGAGCACCCCAATCAATACAGACCTGAGCAACAATTACATCTTCATCATCATGTACAGATCCACTGAAACTACAAATATCACTTTCCAAGTCCAGGCAGCAGGTTTGTTGTACATAATTATTTCATCATTTCTTGATATGCTAACTGTACCTAATTATTTGCCATTACCTGTTTTTAAAAAAACTTTAAGCTAATTATCAGCATTAGTAAAGTTTGTTAAAATATATTTTTTATTTTACATTATTGATTTAATCTCAGATAGACAATGCATATTGAAAGTTCAAACTCTCATAAAATAGTATGAAGTTATATTAAAGTCATGAAAAAAAAGGTGAATCTTTTAGCAATTTTTTTTTTTACAATTGTGAAGAATTTGTATTAGTGTAGGCCTCTAATTATGAGAAATTTTACTGTTGTACACTTTAAATAATTATAAAGAAGATATTTATCTGTACGAAAAGACAAACAAATGAAATGGTGTGGCTAGTAATAGCATCTTAAAAACAAAATCTGAGAACAGAGCATGTTGAAGAAGGCTTAAGGACATTAAGTTGTATGTATGGCTCATGTCTCTAGAGTCTCAAAATAGCACATTGGACAATCATTTATATTTTTCTAACACACTCTGTCACAGTTTACATACAAGAAAATAAGACGATTTTGAAAAAAATACATTTTTCAAAGTATTTTCATTAAAATATGTGGACGTTTCTATTTTTATTTTATGTTATCTTAGTCAGAGTGGCAGACAAGGGCCTGCAGATGCTGAGGCAACTGAGTAAATCACTCATAGCCCTGTCGGCTTGGGATAGGGGGCCTCAAGGGCAGAAATTTATACATTTAATACTGTTAGTTTGAAATTTATTAGGTTCCAAAATTTGGATTGCCTCTGGGCCCAAAATTCCCTGCATGGCCTTGGTGCCAGGCATTTTACTACTTAGTATTCTTGTATTATAATTTGATTACTTATGAGTGTCAGTTAACTATCTTTCCTGTCCTTTTTTAGATGATGAAAACATTAACATGACACTTGTGTTGCCCGTTTGTGTCAGTTGGTGTCAAGCAAACACCACGCTCACCCAGCCACTGAACCTCAACCCTGGTCCAAATCTAATTATTCTAACCGTCAACAGTGGACAAGCTTTTCTGGTCAGATTTTCATACACAGACCAAAAATATCATGGAAAAATACATTTTATTTCTTTAAAAACTAGAAACCACCTTTCATTCTTGTCCACAGCACTAATACATTAAATATGACCTAGTTTTGGTTTATCAATGAATATGTGCAGTTTTATTTAAAGGCTTCTGAGTTTCATTTGTATTAATTTAGATTACAATTTGTTTCTATTGTTATCCAGAGAAGGTTACATTTATTCCAATGCATTTTATTCATTCATCATTATGAAATAGTCTTTCTATTAATAATCATTGAAGGTTTAGATTTATTTTGATACTTAATATTGCAGGACAAGTTTGTTGCCCTTCCTGTCGAGTTTCTCAATGTCAGTGAGGTCTTACAAAACCCTCTGCCTCAGGATTGTGACTTTTTGAAAAATAAGATGCAAGTTTTTTTATCTTAAATATTTGCCCTATTACTATCATTCTTTCTACTTTTGATAAAAAATAATATCTAAATATAAACTAAAGTTTTAAATTTTAAAAAATTCATAATGCATATTACATATTACAAATGATTATATGATATAACATGTCACTCTTTCAGATTGAAAGAGTTATTTGAATAACGTATGAGATCAAACTGACTGCAACACTTCAATGGAATATTTGTTAAACGCTATAAAAATTACAAAAAGCTTAGAGGGGTAACTTTACTTTAGACAGGGGAAGAAAAAAGATAGCAGTTTCAAGGTTACTATCATTGTATTTGTTAAATAATTATATTTTGAAATGTAAGAGTTATTGATTGCAACGATCCCAGCCAAAAGCAATAACAGCATTATTTTGATGCAGTTGTTTATTTTATTTTTATTTTACAGACCAACAGAATCAGCTGCTAAAGCTGCATGTCAGAGGGCCTTGTTTTCTGTGACAATGTTTTACTGGAACTCTCCTTTAGCATGTGCATGTGACATCACAGGAAGTGCCAGCACTGTATGTGACATCGGTGGAGGTCAGTGCCCTTGCAAGGAAGGAGTTGTTGGCAGAACATGCAGCAGATGTTCACCTGATCATTATGGATTCAGTATCATTGGTTGTTCAGGTATGGTGGCAGTTGAAGGTGTATTTTGTTTCATAAGAACTGCATTTATAGAAGTTTGAGTTGCCCACCTTGTACTTCAAAAGGATTTAGATAATAAGAGCACAAGATGATTACCCACTATACAATGAATTTGATACTGTTAGCCAGATACTTATTTTATAATAATTTCAATGTACAATATCCAAACAACACTAGAAAAACATTTATTTATGTTTGGGGTAGTTTGATTCGGGTTTTCTTTTTATTTTGCATATCGACTTATGGAAATCTATATATGTTACTACTTGATCCAATGTATCCTAAAAGTATAAATGATACGGAAACAATTTTTATGTTATGAACAGTTTTTATGTTGTGTTGAATGTTCAGTTTTGTAGCTGATATTAAAAGCAGTTACCAGGATCATATGATGGTTGTCCCTTTCTTAGTTTTGAATTAAAGAAAATGCCAAACAAACTACGATGCCCTCTGTTGTAGAAATTATTCCAAGCTGTGTATGATTTTAGTGGTGAATGTCTTTGGAGATGTAATAATGAAGGACTATTTTCTTTTAAAGTTAAAATGAATGAAACGTTCTGACTCTTAGCATGTAACTGCGATTCATCCAGTTCATTGTGTGACAGTGTGACTGGTCAATGTCAGTGTCCAGAAAATACTATTGGAAGACAATGTGAATTTTGTACACCCAACCACTGGAACTGGACCAAATCACTGGGATGCCAGGTAAGAGTAATCTTCTGGGGGAAAAAAGTGGGGGGGGGGGATAGGAGGAAACCAGATAATCATTGTTGTCTACATAAAAAAAAAGAAAGTTGAATAATTTCAAATGAAAACATTAAAGGCATTTTTTATAAAAGGCTCAGTTAAATTTGCGATCTGAAATTATGCAACCAGATAATCATTGTTGTCTACATAAAAAAAAAGTAAGTTGCATAATTTCAGATCGCAAATTTAACTGAGCCTTTTATAAAAAATGCCTTTAATGTTTTCATATTAAAAATACTAAACACATAATTCATCAAAAGCTGTATATAACTTTTATTATTTGGGATGTTTAAAGTGTCAACAAACCATAACATTATACATGTCTTACTGTTCCATTATTTTGAGATTGTTTGCCATTTTTCTTTTTAAGGACTGTGGCTGCCACACATATGGATCTGTTACATTACAATGCAACTCCACTTCTGGTGTCTGCGGGTGTAAGATTGGATGGGAAGGCACCAAATGTGATGCATGTCAAGATGGCTCCTATCGTGCTACCAGCCAGGAATGTGTTCCATGTCTTTGTGACCAGGCAGGCTCCATGGGACCAGTTTGTAACAAGACTTCAGGACAGTGCGCTTGTAAGGTAAACAAAAAAAAGCAAAGCCAGACTTGAAATGCTGATGATGTAAACTTCCTTCTTCTCATACCTTCTAAAACTACAAGGAAACAACTAATGATGGTGATCACTTAAGTTTTTTACTATCCTCTAAGGAAATGACTACTTCTTTTTGTTAAAAAAAATTATCTTAAGCACTCTTTGGCGGCAATTAAACAGACTCAATTATGCAGATAGTGATAATTCTAGCATATAACACATTTTATTTTTCTAGATGAATATCATGTAACGAAACATGCAAGAAATCACAAACAAAAATGAAAGCCCTTCTATAGTTGAAAGACAAAATTTTTATATTCCTCTGGCTGAAGGACATAAATAATTTACTCTTTGAAATTACATGGTTAGTGTCACAAGTCTATAAATCTCACATATGTACAGGAAAACACAGTAGGACAGCAGTGCAACGCATGCGAGGATGGTGCTTTTGGCATAGGGGCCAGTAACTCTAAAGGATGTCTGGAGTGCGTTTGTATGGGTGTCACCTCAAACTGTGCATCGGCTGGAGTCCATATGAGATCCGTGAGTCACATTTTACTTAAAATTTTTACCATTCAATTTGAGACGATATGGAGTTGTAACGAATGAATGAGGCGTGGACCATGGTCAAGCTCATAAAAGTTTTTTTAAAAAGAATCGTTTTATGCCCTTTTTTAAAACTTTATTTCAGGAATTGCTTCAGCTTGTTAACAATTCAGAATCTGGGATGTCCTCACTACTTCAACTGACCAGTGAAAACTCCACTGTTTTTGATCTTCCTGTCCATGTGGACATCAACGTGACATCTGGTCTTGTGATTTACATTCAAGCTGAACTGCCGCAGTTGTTCTGGAAACTCCCTGACTCCTATGTATCCAACCTGCTTTCAGTCTACGGCTCAGATGTTGTCTTCACCGTCAATTATGTGCTTGTGTCTGGAAAACCAATAGCCAATCTGACCGCCATACTGATCGATGCAGAGGGGGACAAACTGAGTCACTCTATTGTTAATGTCACTCATGGGCACGACTCGACCCACAGGGTCACTTTAAAGGAAGAAAATTGGTTGAAAGTTAAAAGTTCCTCACCCCCAACGCGTGGAGAGTTTCTCAAAGCACTGCACACAGCTGAAGCACTTCTCATCCCTGCATCTTTTGGTACACTAAATCAAACTACTAGGTAAGTAAGAGATTAATGACACACTGCTCACAGCTAAAGTACTTCTCATCCCTGCATCTTTTGGTACACTAAATCAAACTACTAGGTAAGTAAGAGATTAATGACACACTGCTCACAGCTAGAGCACTTCTCATCCCTGCATCTTTTGGTACACTAAATCAAACTACTAGGTAAATAAGAGATTAATTAAATGTTTTTAAGATGGAGTGAAGGAAAACTTGCACCAGGGGCATAGCCTGAAACTTTCCCCCACCCTTGCCCAACTGTTTTATCAATAAATGACACCACTTGCCTCTCTCTCTCCCACTATTTGTGTTAACTATCTTGTGTTAAATATCTATGTGTTAACTTTTTTTTTTGGTCCAGTTATTGACAATTTTGGTGCCTCTGATGTTGGGTCCCATTGTGAATGCCCCACTTCACCTCCTCCTCTTTTTTTTTTTTTTTTTTGCATGGGCCTGCCCATGTATATATTTTACCACATGCCATCTGACATCATCATCATCATCAGTGGCGCTACAGCCCACGTAGGGCCCTGGCCTGCTCCACCACACCCTTCCATTCGGAGCGATCCAAGGCTTTCCATGCACAAACCCCCAACTGGTGTATATCCATTTCCACATCATTGATCCATCTCAGCCTTGGGCGACCGGTGTGTCGTCTGCCCTTAGGCTTCTGCCTGTATATAACTTTTGCTGCTCTCCATTCTGGCATCCTTTCAACATGTCCTGCCCAGCATGGTCTGCCTTTTTTTTATCATTGTGATTATGGGTGGGTCTTTGCACAAATGGTAAAGTTCTTGGATTGTACGAATTCTCCAGATATTATTTTCTATCACTAAGCCATATATTTTTCGGAGGATTTTCCTCTCCCATGTGTTGAGCAGGTTCTCTGCTTTTCTGGTAAAGGTCCAAATTTCACTAGCATACGTTACTACTGGTCTTATGGTAGTGGTGTATATTGTCTTCTTTGTTCCCCTTGATAGGTTTTTGCTTCCCAGTAGTTTTTGTAGGCTGAAATAGGAACGGTTGCCTGCTGTTATCCTTTCTTTCACCTCCGACATTATCTCATTGTGCTCGTTTATAGTTGCCCCTAGGTATTTGAATGTAGCAACTCTCTCAAATTTATTTTTTATTATTCCCAAACATGTTTTTTTCATTCTGCAAATTTTGTTGGCCACCCTTTTTGCTTAATTATATAATTGCCGTGTTCTTCTTGTCTCCCTTTGCAGCATCATTAGCCGAGCTTTATTTCTTTGTTCTATAATTTCTTTGCATTCTGGGTCATATCATCCTGTTCTTTTCACTACCGGTTTAAATCCAATAATTTCCTTGTTACACTTTTAACTATTTGCTTTATCTTTTCCCATTGCTGGTTTATATCAACGTTGCTGGCTGATTCTCTTTTGGATAATTCTAGTTGAGTTTCAATCTTCTGTTGATATTCCTCTGTAATTTTTGGGTCCCTACTCAATTACTGACTGTTTTACTTTTTTCTCTTTTATTTTCTTTATTGTGGATGTTACAAATTCTTTGTTTATATTTGATTCTAATGAGTATGTGGTCTGAGTCTATGTCCGCCCCTCTACAACTTTGCACATCTAATATGTCAGAGCCATGCCTCCGGTCAATGAGTACGTGGTCTATTTGAATATGGGTAAATCCATCTGGAGACATCTGTGTCGCTTTCTGTATTTGTTTATGTTGGAATATTGTGCTACTGATTGTCATTCCTTTTCCTGTAGCGAAGTCTATCTGACATACAGATTTGAAATGTCATATTGTTTTTTAAAATGCTAAAAAATGTCATTAACAAATTTTGTATGTGTTAAAAATTAAAGAAGATAGTGATTTTTGATGTTTGCTTATTTTGTTGAGTAGATGAGCCAAAATCTGAGCTATTCAAACAATTGTATAAAGTTCACTCAAGTTGACAGTAATTTTTTTTTTCCTTTCAGGTTATCAAAGCTAGAACTCAGTTATTTGAGTGAGTCGGGGCCTGTGAACCCCTCTGTTGAGCAATGTGTGTGTGGTGATGGATACATCGGCAGATCCTGTGAGGCAAGTAGTCTGAAAATATGATAGAATGTGTTGTCATCAGCAATGATTCTATGTGCCAAGTTTCAGCTCAATAGGATGACGGGAAGGGGAACAATTAGTTGTCCGAAGATTTCGCCAGTGATTGATGTCTCACATTTCAATAGAGAAGATTTGTCCTCTCATTGAGACGTAATGCTGAATTTTAAAAAAATGTATATTTAATGCCCAACTGGATGAACAATCTCATAGGCCCGGAGCTAAGGACCTTTTTAAAATGTAATAGTAAATGCTTTTGTATACATGTGCCAAGTGAAAATGCGAGATTCCAACTTATGTCAGGCCAGGCCCTGGGAACAAAAGATATGCTTGAATAAAACTATAACAAAATTAAAGTATACACAAACATTGTCCTGACAGATAGTCATACAAATAGTGCCAACGTTATATCATGCATTTTAAACTGTTCAAATATATCAATCCATTGTTTACTTGTCACTAGGCATGTGCTACAGGCTACAAACGAGACAATGTCAGCAGCTCAGAGTACTTTGGATTGTGTGTACCATGTCAATGCAATGGACATGCCACAAACTGTGACCCAGATACTGGAGAGTGTCAAGATTGCCAGAACAACACAGCTGGTAAAAAGTTCATATCTTTCACAACAAACATTTTATTTTTAAAAAAAAACACAGATATGACTCATTTTATGCTAAACATTAAGCTACCATCTATTTGGGCACTTCCACTAGTAGGCTACCATCTATTAGGGCACTTGCACTTTTCTCTGGCTTGACAACCTAGGCGTGGCTAACTTAAGATTTGTTTCACTACTGTCATTACTGTAATGACCAACTAAGGAAACTGGCATGTGGCGCTGTAGGAGCTTCCAGTCTTGCGCCACCACCCTGACAGGATTGTAGATTTAAATGTCTTGTATAAATTTTAAAGATTCATCTTATGATAAAGTTACATTTAAATTCAAGGTAAAAGTGTATTTTCATATGAAGTGTCAAGATTTAATTTTTCATTACCGATTTTATTATCAACATTTCTCAAACCTGGTCGGATAGTTCCCATGTCCATTTCTGTCTCCCCCAGGACCATCATGCGAAGAGTGTAAACTTGGTTACCATGGCGACGCCAGTACTGGCTGTATTCAGTGTCCTTGCTACCAGCCAAGAGTAATCAATGAAACTTGTCATTCTGAGAACACAAGTGGTGTAGACACTGTTGTGTGTGACTACTGCAGGGAAGGCTACGATGGGGACCTCTGTGATATGTATGTTTGGAATTTAGGAATCATCAATATTCAAATATCTTCTAAAACTCTTACATTTGTTGATAAAAATTTTGTTATGAACAAAATGATTGCATAAAATATTTCCAGTTTACATAAATTGAAGTAAATTTTGTTTATATTGAAGAAGTAGAATGGCATCTCAGCAGGACATTAAAGATTTGTCCACTTTTGTATTCTAAAGCTTTTGGTATCCAACGACAGGGCCTTGTAATCATTCACTCATTTCATTTCAGCCATAGGACTGTTGTACAATAACTGAAGTAATCACTTTGTATGTACCTATAAAGTATCTGTCTGAGTATATTCTGTGCTTTGATCTCCCAGGTGTGAACCACTGTATTCTGGCAATCCTCTGGCAGTCAATGGAGCATGTCTACCTTGTATATGTAATGGAAATTCTGCTACTTGTGACAATGTCACTGGTATTTGTAACTCATGCTCAAACAACACAACTGGAAACAACTGTCAACAGTGCTTGGAAGGTTTCTATGGCAATGCATCACAACAGATGTGCCAAGGTCATTTTCTATTTATAACTTTTTTTAAAATTACTAACTTGTGCAATATTAGATAATAGTTTTCTTTTTTTTTTTTTTGTATTTAATCATAAAGGACTGGTATCACAATTTTATGTAATGCGAAAGCATTTTATAGTGTATATAATTTGTTTGTTTTTTATTTTAATTTTATTTTCTTTTTTTATCTTTTTTTAAATTTACTAACTTGTGCAATATTAGATAATAGTTTTCTTTTTTTTTTTTTTTGTATTTAATCATAAAGGACTGGTATCACAATTTTATGTAATGCGAAAGCATTTTATAGTGTATATAATTTGTGTGTTGTTTATTTTAATATTATAAAACTACTCTAAAGATGCAACAATAATTTTAATTCATCAAATTACAATTAAAAATTCAGTAAATATGTTAATTTAAATGTCATTTATAAGCTGGTTTAATTACTCTATCTTTGTGGAAATTTAATGTTTTTTTCCAGTCAAGTAAATGTGAACCTAAAAGCTCTTAAGGTTATTTATTTATTTTACATACAAAGAACTGACTTTGTTTGACCCTTCCTGGTATGTGCAAGAGAATTATGGAGAGAACTTTGTTCAGGTTGAAGCAATACATACACAGGGTAGAAGCTTCCAATTTTTTGCACTGTCTTTCTTCGGGTTTTCCTCTACACTGTGTATATTTCTTAATAAATTGCACCATTTCAGAGTGTCACTGTGACATTTCTAACTCTAACTCCTCAATTTGTGACCCCACTTTTGGACAGTGCTCCTGCCTCTATGGAGTGGGTGGTAGGATCTGTGATTCATGCCTGCTAGGCTACTGGGGCTTCAACAATGACAACATCACAGGTAAATCTCAGAATGCTGTATACCATTGTACTTAACATTTATTCATTAGGTTACTTAACATTGATAGTGGGAATAATGTGTTACAGCTCTTATTTCTGTCTATGTCATGTCCATGGTATGGCTAAGGGATTTTTGTTGTTGAAATCTAACCAAGGCTGTCAGCATTGTGGCTGTGTTGAAGCTGGTAGTCTGAATGTGACATGTAACAATGACACCGGACAGTGTCCATGTAAACCCAACACAAGTGGCATGCAGTGCAATGCATGTAATGATGGTTATTATGGACTTCCACTAAATCCATGCCAAGGTGAGTTTTTTTCCCTTCCCCCCTCCCCCCCCCCCTTTTTTTTTTGATTTGCCATACAACTTTTTGCAAGGATTTCTGAACTTACTGACTGCCTCTTATTTTTTCTAAATAATTGCTGTTGAAGCTAAGTTTTAAACAGAATTGAAATGATTTATAAAAATAAATAGACTAGAGGCTCTTTTTCCACAACCCTACTTTTTGGAATTTTTTTGTGGCTACTCATGAATTGTGTGCAGTCAAGTGGAGTAATATTCAACTAAAAATGTAATTTTTATTTTTAGCTTGTGATTGTAATCTTACTGGCGCAATAAATGCAAGTTGCAATCAAACTACCGGTCAATGTCAGTGCAGGCCAGGAGTAGGGGGAAGACGTTGTGATCAGTGTCTGCCATTCTTTCTCAACTTTACTACAGAGGGCTGTCAAGGTGATTAAAAAATGTTCTTGTCTTTGGTGGCAGTTAAATTATGTTTGCTCTGAAATTATCTATAGTAAGAAATTATGCAAATATACATTGTGTTAATGATTCATTTTGAAGCACCAGATTATTTTTATATACAAATTTTAATATATAGCTCTTCAATGAGATGCCACATAGTATTGACTTAATTTAAAGGAACTAATTTATCAATAGTCCATTAATAAAAAAAAAAAATTTAATATAGACTCATTAATTCTAAACCTTCTGTTCCAAAAAATAAGGATCACCAATTTTTTAAACCTCGCTAAGATGTCTAGAGCTTTTCAACATGTGTGTCAACTCCTCGTTTCTACTATAGATTGTTTACTTCGTCGAATTCTTTCACAGTTGTAATACATCATACTAGTATTGAATGAATTCAAGTCCTTTATCACAATAAATGTAACTTTTATACCTAATCATATACACAGGCTGTAAATTCCATAAATACAGGCATATAGCAGAGCTGGCTATCAGACCGAAATAAAACACATCCTACATCCACAAAGTTCCATTCATGACTGCCAGATGAATAAAACTAAGTCACAAAACAGACTAGACAATACATCATAATGAGCATAAAAATATGTCACCAAGTCAAGCAGGGAAGAGCGTTCACTAACTAATAAAACTCTCTAACACACACTGCGCGTAATGAAACATAATATTCAGTCGCAACAATTATTACTGAACTCCCTTACTTGACAATGAGCTTTTCTACAGTAAATAAATTCCAAGCCTTTTAAATCAAAATGTTCCAGCCAAGCAAATTTGACTGGCCAGAAGATTTTTTGATTATACCTCATGTAGTATTGTATTACCTGAAGGTGAATCAGCTTTAAAGCTTTTCAGCAAACACTGGATAAAGTAAATAAGAAACAAGGGATTCAAAACAACTTGATGAGCTTTCCCCAAAAAAGTTACAGGGACTGAAGTCATTTTCAAAAGATTCATGACTTTCCAGAAAACGGTTGTTTTTTTTAAGTACACCACTACAATTTATGTCTTCTGTTTAGAATGTGGACTGTGTCAGGTTTCTTTGGGTAATGAAATCAAGAACCTGATCGATGTTGGTCAGGATGTTTTGAACAAGACTACATCAGTTCTACTAGTTCAGTCAGAAGGTGGAAGACTTGACGTGCTGTCCCAAAACTTGAACCAGAGCCTGGAGCATCTTGGTTTGGCTGGCAGTAACGTAACTTCTGTCACAGACATAGTCAATGACCTGAACATATCCTCTAGTGCCCTGAAAACAAGTTTTGAAGCCACAGAAACCAAAGTAAACTTTTTATTATGACTATTGTTTTAATTTTCTTAGATTGACTTTATTTTATTTATTGACATTGAGAGTTTTTATTTAGTTTGTGCCCATAATCCTAAGTAAGGTTATTCTTTGATACAATTATACAAAATATAAATTAGAAACCATTTTGAATCGCAAATACTCATATTCATTTTATTTATAGATAAATTGTTACATCAGCAAATATTATTTTGTTTAATTTGTAATTAAATGTTTTATTAAGTGAATAAGTTTAGCTGGACCCTTTGTTAACTGTGGTATCAGTCTACCTTATTTTGACATTTTGGTAAACCTCAACTCAATAAAAGCAAGAATTTACTTAAATGTGATATCATGTTAAAAAATGTTGACAAATCACTCCCAATAGTTAAGAATGCAACAAAAATAAATCATTTTGCTCATTTTGCAAATCTCTAATAAAAATCAGAAAATGTTGCAATTGAAGAAAATGGTATGGACTAACTTGTAATGCCATAAGTTTGTTTTTGTACACACTCATTTATTTAGAATGGTCAAAATATATCTGCAATTGATTAGTGCACTTGATTACTGCACTGACCCTTTCTGGTGTTGTTAATCATTCATTTATCCATATTGTGAACTCTGATACAGACAGACGTTTGGAAACAGAAGAGTTCCACTTATTTATACAATAGCTATAAGTATTTTACGTTATGCTTAATGGTGAACATGTTTCAGCATAGATTTAAAAAAAAAAGTCAATTAAGGAGAGCCACTGGAAAAAAATGTACAAATCGAATACACTTTTATTTATTAATATTATGCTTCAATATTTGTAATTAATAATTCATAAATGTCTATTATCTTAGCCATCCAAATAATAGATTTCATTTTTAATCTACAGCTATCAGCTTTGTCAATTTCTTCTGAACAAATAAAGAGCAATAGTAGCTCAGAGGCATCCAGATTGAGCAACCTGAGAGCTATTGCAAACAATCTGACCTCTGACATAAGCAGCTATGAAGACAAAATTACTGTTTACCTGTTGGACTTAAGGACGTACAATAATACTGCTTCACTGGTAAATCTTTATCTAATTAGAAATTGTAATTGCACCCTGGATTCAATGTTATTATATTTAGTATTGTTGCTTTTAACTAATGATTTTTATATGTCCATGGAAATGTTAGTATGTCTACTCTTTGTCATTTTACTTTAAAATTTAAAAAAAAAAAAGAACAAAAGTAAGTTATAAAAAAAAATACCATTATAATTAAGATGCTAATATTTTAACTTACGTTATTAGTAGTAAAATATATCTGACACAGTGAATTACCTTTAAGTTAAATGAATTAGATTGCAAATTTTTACTGTAATAAGCTCTATAGATTTTGTTAATGCCAGATTAAATTTTTTTCACCAATCTCAGTATTTCAATAGAGGATCTGCTGTAAATGGATCAATGCTGACATTCCTAGATGAGCTCAGTTCAACTGCCGCATTGCTAGCCCAGGTCCAGAATACCAGTGAAATGGACACAACAAATGAACTTATTTCCCACCAGGTAAGATGTTTCAGTTTTGTTTAAATTCTTGCATCAAAGCTTTTATGCTTTTTAACAAAGGTAAAAATAAAAAGGTAACCATCTGAAATTGTTCATGAAATCATCCCCAAAAATGTTTATTTCAGGCTACAACAATAAACTCTTTGGATAACTCTCTGGCAACTTCAATTCTGGACTTAGATGCCAAATCTGGGTCGCTGACAAATTTATCTGCAGTGCTAGATGGCATTTTCTTCTCCACATCCAATATAGAGAACACACAAGCCCAAACACAGGCATGTTAACTTATTTTAAAGATTTTTGTTAATAAATTATTTTTTAAAATAACTGTCACCTTTTTAAAAGTTTTATACACTACATAAGCTAAGAAAAAATAAATGACGTAATAGAATGTTAAAGATAATGAAATCTCTACATTTATTTTTTTTTTAAAGTACAACCAAATTAACTTTTTAAAACATGTTTTCTTTATTTTAACAGTATTTAAACCATGAATTGTTTATTTTTAGGTGTATAAATCTCAAGCAGAAAGTCTCAACAGCTCCATCAATGAAGTGCTCAGCATGGCAGAGAAAAGTAATGCAGATTCAGCCACTAATTTGACCGCTGCTAAACTGGCAGCAACCAACACTAACATTATATACAGTTCCAATGCGGCCATTGTGATGCCAGCCAGAGACACCCTTCCCTTCCCTACTGGTATTTAGATAATACTTTGACATTTTATGTCACATAAATCCACTTGCTTTATGTATAACACTATTGTACTTTAGGATTATAATTAATCCTGTTTTATTTTTTTTTAAATCTTTTAAAGCTAAAGGTAAGGTCAAGCTTGAATACAAGGCAATACTATAAATGAGTTTGAAAATTTCATTACAAGACAGAAAATGAAAAAAAAGAAATTATGAGAAAAATATAAATAAGGCTTAGCTCTATAAAAAGGTAAACTAGGGGAGTGGGGGAGGTTTGTGAAAGAGGAGGAGGCTATGCTAGAATTTTTTTAAAGTAGATATCTTAGGTTTCACTTTACTCTACTTTTCCTTGCCTTTTATTTTTTTCCTCATTGCCACCTCTTTTCCTATGCTGTCCCAATATTCTCCACCACCAATTTTCTTAACATCAACCTGAAACTCATTTTTGCTTATCTCACACAAAGAAAGTTTCCTTTACGTAGTCTTTCTTTCTGAAATCGTTGAAATTACTCTTCAGATTTATTTTCTGTTATACTATTTTGCCCTCTGATAGATGTTACTAGCCAACACATCTGTTGTTTTGTATATTCTTGTATAGCCATATTTGACTATAAATGTATTATATAATGTATTATATTTTTTAATGATTTTGTAAACAATTTTGTTTGCATCCTAATTATTTCATACACTTTATTCTATCATATAAAACATCTCTTTGCTATACAAAACATCTGAATGCCATACAAAACATCTGTTTGCGATACAAAATGCCACTCAGAAAAGATAGCAATAATAAGATATTATTACCCATAAGAATGCTTACTGATATCTTGTGATGACACTTAGTCTTTTATTGTCATCTAGGTGTCACTAATTATGGAAATGGCGTGACAGTACTAAATAGTTTACTGTCAACCATTCCCCTACTGATTGACAGCATAACACCTGACATCAGCCAATCAGAAGCCTATGTGGTTACTCTAGGGGATGATTTGAAAGAACTGAACAGGTTGGCAGTTTCATGTTATTTCAAAAATAATTATCTGTCTTGTGATTTTTCCTAAAGTCTCTGGATGTCGAGATTTTTTAGATACATTTTTTTTTATCATTAGACTTTACCAAGGCTGTAGGCCTAATCTTCATTACCTGAATTATTTTCACTTTTCTAATCACCTTTATATTTTCAAATAAATGGAGGCCATTAATTTTATATTTAAGGATTATACTAAATTCAGATTATAACTTGTTGGCTCTATCGTTACTTTGGAGATGGTGTCGGTGGGTCGTTGAGTTTGCACTCATAATACCCGCCCCCCCCCCCCCGGCACTCCCCCAAATGGGCCAAGGCCTCCCCCGAAGCCCCAGACCATGCGGAAGTGCGCCGGGAACTTCCCTCACTGGCCTGAGGGACGTCCGGCAGACAGAGGGCGCTGCGTTTAAAGCATCCGTAGTCCGCTCTCCTATGGGTCAGGATGGCTTTACTTCCTCTCCTGAGAGGTGGTGTTGCGTTACCACTCCCCACTGCCCAGGGAGCTGTCGGGTCGGGACGTAGCGGGGACGAAACGGTCGCCTAGGGGCGGCTTTCTCAGGGCTGCATCTTTTTAATCATTGACAAGGGTTTGGGCGGCCACCCATTGCCTCATACCCATCAACGGCAACAAGTAATCATGTTAGCGCTCAACTTCCGTTGCGTTGGAAGTCATGCGTTTTGCCTGGGATCTTTTAGCTTCAGAAGGAAAACTCCCCCCTACTAGTCGGGCATCCCACGAAGAGGCAAGATCCCGTGTAACACCACCGAGAGGCTTGTGGTGCTGGGCAAGGATTTTCCAGAAGTCCACCCTTGCCCGCCCGTGTTGGCTCTATCAATGAGTTTGAAATAATTGAGGTTTCTATATTAGTAAAATGAATATCACTGTACCACTAAACACTTCCCACTGATAGGAAACCATGATCTATGGTTAATTTTAATATGTGAAATTTTAATGTTGACATGCATTCTTTCTACATTATTTAGAAATTTATTTTCTTTTACTTTTTTTTTCTTCAACTACCAGAAAAATGTTTAATATGTTATTTTACTCTCAGATCTAAAATGACAAAAGCACCTCCCAAACTTGCCAATATTTCAAAATAACCTCAAGATGTTGGCTAAAGACTGGAAATAACATATGTTTAAAATCTCAGTTGGTCTGATGTATTTACATTCCAACAGCACCTACCAAAACATAACATCTGTGGGGAAGCTGGCAGTAGCAACAATGAAAAACTTTGACAATGTTATCAGAGACATTAACAGTTCCGTAGCCATGGCAACTAATGCTGAACAGCTGATCAAGGAAGTGCAGGGCAATATGTCAGGGACTGCTCTAGACTTACTGCAAGAACAATACGGAACTGAGAGGAACATAAGTGAGGAATTGAGGAACACGATAATGGAGCTTGATTATCAACCACAAGGTTTTCATTTTATTTCCTATCATAAATTATGATAATAAAAAATGTCTTCTTAATGAATAACAATTCTTTAACTGAATTCAAACAGAATAGACAAAAGCGGTGGGACTTTTGCTAGAGGCAACTGAAAATAAAAAAATAGGTGTATGCAAAGCTAATTAATGTTAAATTATATGAAACAACTGTTGAGTAATTATCAAGTTAGCCAACAAAATCTGGGGTATTAGAAAAAGTTCGCTCTGAAATTCTTAACAGCTTTGTAAATCTTTATATAAGAGCTATCAAGACATTCTTTAACTGAACTATTAATTTGAATTTCAAAAATAGTAGCTTATAAAATGTTAAGAAATATTTTTTTCAATTAAATCAAATTTGGTTTTAATGTTTTCGCGTTAAAAACTACAATGTTTAATTAACATATTATTTTAAAAAAAATTAAAATAGCAATTTTGTGTTAAAAATAGTTTTACAGAATGCAATTGACACAGCCATGTCTAGACTGGACAAAGAGGTATCACAGTGGCAAGTGGCAGATGCAGCACTAAGTACACTGACTACTGCTGCTTTAAATCTGAATACACAGATAAAAGGTGATATCTAAAGATAATTAACACTAATAAGAGATATCTAAAACTTAAAAAAAAAAATTATAACACATTTTATTGTTTTATCTTAATCAATTATTTTTTGGAAGAAAAGAAAATTATGTGATATTTAAAAAAAATTTTTGAAACAAAAAAGGATGTTGTGCACATTTTATTTTCTGTTTATTTGAAAGTAAAATTAAGTAAATAAAACACAATACCCAGAACAGCTGTACAGGTGGTATCTATCTTTGATTTTCTTAGTATTTATTCAACACATTCTTCCCACTCATTCCTATCTCAGGTATCTTAAAGAGCTGTGCAAACCAACATTTTTCAATGACATTTTTATGATTTATATTGTTATATTTGTGTAACAGACCATGTTTGCACACGAAACCATTGAGTCAGAGAGGTGGCATAATTTGAATATTGAACTATGTTAACGTGTATTTTTCACAGGGAAAGAGTAAATTTTGTTTTTGAAAAGCAGAAGTGAGCCGCACGTTTTGTTGAGTGATCAAGGGGCAGTATATCGGATGTCGTAGTTAAGAGAGGACGTGGTTGATTTTCTGGGAGTTGAATTTTCTATACCATGGAATAATATATATATATACATATGGAAAATAATTGCATTGTGGATGTTATTAACTGGATATTTATGCAAGGATTCTTCTTAATATTATTATTGTAAAAGATGACGTAATAAAGTACTGTGAGTTTAATTGGAAATTAATATACTTCTTTGTGTGACTGGCTAAGTGAGTGAAGGAATGGAAGAAGTATTACTCTACACAAGCCGGCATCCTGAATCATCAATATAGAAGCAGTTAACCATGCTACTGACACAACACCCTAATAAATAGCATGTCAGAAGCATGTGTTACAATTTGAATTTATCAGTATCAATTAATTTAAGATCTGCTGATCTGGATTTTTTATGGTGACTTCTAATTTAGCCTTTTTTGTTAACCATTATTTCCTAGAAGGTTGGGTTTGAATAGAGTTAAAATGTCTTCCTCACTACCTTGACACAGGTTCACAAATAAACAGTGTTTTGAAGGTAGCTACACAGAAGGTCCAAAATGCATTGGCCACAGCTGAATCAGTTGCTGGAAGTGTTACCACTCAAGAGAGTACCCTTCACCAGAAGCAAGGGGAAATAGAGATCATACAGAAGGATATTATCAGGGCTCAGGACATGCAACAATCTGTTCAACAGGCCTGTAAGTTATCCTATAACAGAAGACATGAGAAATTTAACATTTATTGCTGATTACCATAAGGGCTAATACAATAGGAAAGCCCCCACAAAAAAAAGATTTATCAATTTATTACAATTGTCTAGAAGAGGAAAATCCGATAAACCATTAAGAGAAACTTATAACACTAACTTAACCCTCTTAAAGTAATACTAGAGTGCTTGATTTTACCATGTTTCGTACCCAGAGAATATGGTACATCTGATATCAGCATAATTTTGTGTTTGTTTAACTTTCATTAGAGAGTTAGCTCCCTGGACTTCTCAAGGTCATTTAACGGATTCTTATGTTAAGTTTTCCTCCTGTGATTTTCTTAATTCACTTACAAAGCAGTTTACCTGTTGAGCCAAAATGTTAGGTTCTGTTTTGATTTTCTTGATTCTTTTAAATAGCAGTTTACCTGTTGAGCCAAAATGTTAGGTTCTGTTTTGATTTTCTTGATTCACTTAAATAGCAGTTTACCTGTTGAGCCAACATATTTGGTCATTTGCTCAGACTTGTCGGGCACAAATTTTTGTGACAGAATTTTTGCTTGTTGAGGACACCAAAGTGTTTATTAATATGAGCTTTCATTTTCTATTTACAAATTCCACCACCAAGATGCACAGATTTGAGTTAGATCCCATTATGTTTAAATATTGTGACCTGTGTTATGTTGCAATTGTTTCTAAATTTTCAGATATAATATGACTGCATTCAGTTTTCAATTCCTAATACATTTTGTACCAATGTGCCATGGATATTAACCATGAATGAATCTAATGAACTAAGTAAACCATTATATAAAAGAAGATTAAGGATATGCTCAGTGGTGGACTGAAGCATCCAAGCATACGGGGACAAAAATCTTTCAGTAGGATTTCATGACTAAGTTTTATAGTAATGTGGAAGTAGCCGAGGCAGCATATGTATCACAGACCCTCACAGCCCACTAGGAATTTTCCCAGTGTCTAGGTGGCCCAGTCCATCCTTCGTGTGCTTTTTACCTTTAAAATTCAAGTAATGTTCATTAGTGTAGCTTTATTTGCTACCATTTGTTCAGATTAATTCCTACCATTTTTTAAGATTAATTTCAAAGCAGGGATTCAGTTTAGAAATGATAGCCATTATATAAAAAACAAATTATTACCATATTTCTCCTTCTAGGTGCCAAAGAAATTTTAAACAGTTTTATTTTAATGCTATAAAATTCAACAAAACTAATGTTTCAGTAAAAAACCATCAAACTGAGGATGATGCATTCAAACAGAATGTGAGCCAAGCTAGCTCTCTGTTACAAAAATCCGACCAATCCATCAAAAATATTGACAATAAGATTAAGGACTTGGAAATCAAGATGGAAGAAGCTGAAGTACTTCTGAATCAATTACGTCAGCCCTTGAACTTTGATGGTAATCTAAGCCTGCAGATCAAGAATCCTGAAGCCAACAGACCTCACCTCTATGATGAGCTGGTTTTAGATATGAGGAAACCTGGCAACTTCACAGATGGAGTTGTTGTATTTGTGGACAATCCCACAACAGGTAGCTAGCTACTCATTACTTTGAAATAAATTTGAAAACAAGGATCCACTATTTGTAAGGGGATAATTTAATTCATTAAGACACAATTAAACAAAGCTTTATCATACTTGGTTACTGAAGGTCCAACCCTCTTCTATTATGCTTCACTAAAGGAAAAGGATACTAGACATTAAAGTAAATGTAATTTCAAGATATTTAAGCAAGACTCTTTTTTTTTTTTAGATTTATAAATCTGAACAGAAGATACACATTATTATCTTTATAGGAAAAATTTAAATGGCAAAATTAATTTAGTATAATTTGTATTTTCTTTTTTTACAATTTCAAGAAGCTTGCTTTAAAATAATTTGACGTAGAATTTGTAGCATGTTACAAAAAACATTATTGATCGTTTATCAATAAATTAAATTTATCTCTTTTAACATTTTTCAGACAAAAATGGGGGGTGGTGGTTGGTGTTTGCTTAATTTTTGTTAACAGGTTTATTTCTTGATATACCTGTGTAAATTGTGTTTCTATTTGATTGCAGACTTAGAGGTACATTATTTATATTGAAAATAGTCCTTTTGCTATTACAGGTCCTATTATTATAACTGGTCCTATTGCTCTAACCAGTCCTACTGTCTTAACTAGTCCTATTGTAATAAATGGTCCCATTGTTATTCAATTTCTCATCAGCTGCTGAACTGCAAGTGGGAGTTGCCAGCAATAAAGTCTTTTTTGAGTTCAACAATGGAGCACAGATTGTTAGAGTGTCAAGTAGAGCTGAAATTTGTGATGTTTGCTGGGCACGGGTGGCTGCATTTAGGTAGAGTCATTAAATACTGCTGTACACACATACATATACACATACATATATATGGCATCTTTCTATCTTCGTGAGACGATGGATTAGCTTATTTACACTTCATCAAATGGCTTATGAGGCAGATCCTGGAATGACAATCTCAGGTGCACTTCTCGCAGGATAAACTTTGGCCTTCCATAATGCACTGTTTTGTTGCAAGGGCTTTGTTTTGCATATCTTCTACCTGCTTGTTTCCTTCATTCACTGCTTGCCAGCTGGAACAGTCAGTGATCAGCAATGAGCTCCCATTCACTATTTCTATGTTGGCTTCCCTCATGTTTGTTTCTCAAACATCATTAAAGCGCAGCCGCTGCCATCCAGTAAGTCTTTCCCTCTCTACCAACTCTCTCTTCAGCAGATTATTTGAAATACAGCCTTCCTCCATTCTCCTTACTTGGCCTAACCAGTGAAGGCACCTCTTAACAAGAGCAGAGACCATACAGCACATTTTGAAACATTCCTAGAGCTCTATATTTGGCACTTTGTCCTGGCATCAAATCGCAATATCCGCCACAGACATATCTGGTGGAAACAGTTGAGTTTCCACTCACGACTGGCATATGTGGTCCACACTTCACTTCCATATAGAAGCGTGCTGAGAAAACATGTCTGATCAATATCATCATCAGTGGCGCTACAGCCCATGTAAGGCCCTGGCCTGCTCCACTACATCCTTCCATTTGGATCGATCCATGGCTTTCTGCCTCCATGATCAAACCCCCAACTGGTGTAATTCTTTCTCCACATCGTTGATCCTTCTCAGTCTTGGTTGACCGGTGAGCTGTCTGCCCCTAGGCTTCTGCCTGTATATCACTTTTGCAGCTCTACAATCTGACATCCTGTCAACATGTCCTGCCCAGCACAGTCTGCCTTTTTTTATTGTTGTGACTATGGATGGGTCTTTGTACAATTGGTATAGCTCTTGGTTTGTACGGATTCGCCAGACGTCATTGTTAATCACACATATGTCTGTTAGTTAGCTGTATGTGTATCCAAAATGATGTACACATAACAAACAGCTCTTAAAAAATAAATAAACTTTAAAGATTTCAGCTTTCTTGGCTGGTAATTAATAAAGTGGCTTGATGGATTTAATCAGGTTTAGAGGATTACTGAAGAAAAGATGTATATGAAGCCATTCATTGTTGTGTATACAGCCATTCATTGTTGTATATGAAGTCATTCATTATTGTGTATAAAGCCATTCATTGTTGTGTATGATGCCATTTATTGTTGTGTATGAAGCCATTTGCTGTTGTATATGAAGTCATTCATTGTTGTATATGAAGCCATTTATTGGTGTATATGAAGCCATTCATTGTTGTATATGAAGCCATTCATTGTGGGCAGATAGTACAACAATAATCTTAAGTAAGGGAAATGACTGAAAACAAATGAAGCTCCGTAGAAAGGTTTACTCCCCTGTACCTGTGCCGGGGGGGGGGGGGGGGGAACTTCTTTTAAAAAAAGATTTTAAAAAAAAAAGCTACTTATTTTTAAGGGAAATGGATTTAAAAATTTAAGTCTACTTATTTTTAAGAGAAATGGATTTAAAGATTTGATCTAGCTACCAATCCTAATTTTTAATTTATAGACCTGTAATGGCAAAAATGCATTTCAAGTTAAACTAAAAATTACAATGTATGAGAAAAATTAAAGATAAAAGTTTCATTCTCAAAATTAATGAATACAAAAGAAATTTAAAAAATAAGATTAGTGACATCTGTTTACACTTGATGCAAAAATTTTTTACTTTGTTAGTTTTTAATTAGAAAATTTATATACAGCATTTGATGTTCCCTTTTAGGTATGCTGCTGTGGGCTATTTAACTGTTACCATGATATCCACCGGAGCTGTAGTAGCAGACAGCAGGGCTGGACTGATTGATTCTAATGCAAGGAATCTGACTCTTACTTCGAACTTATATGTTGGATCACTGCCAAAGGATCTAGAGGTGATAGATGGTGTTAAAATAAGCATGAGGTGTTACAATAAGAATGAGGTGTTATAATAAGCAGGTGGTGTTTAAATAAGCATGAGGTGATACAATAAACATGAGGTGTTATAATAAGCAGGTGGTGTTAAAATGAGCAGGTGGTGTTATAATAAGCATGAGGTGATACAATAAGCATGAGGTGTTACAATAAGCATGAGGTGTTATAATAAGCAGGTGGTGTTAAAATAAGCAGGTGGTGTTAAAATAAGCAGATGGTGTTAAAATAAGCATGAGGTGTTATAATAAGCAGGTGGTGTTATAATAAGTAGGTGGTGTTAAAATAAGCAGGTGGTGTTAAAACAAGCACTATGATCTAGATCTTAAAATACTTAGTGTTTAAAGGGATAATTTCCACCACATAAAATCCACTTGACATTTCTTGAATCTTGACACAAAGATGAAAATTAAATTTGGTGTTCATTTAAGTATTTTAACTCTAATTTAGCTTCATGTATTAAAGATTAGCAAAGGTCTTGAAATTTGTACATATTTCTATAGGATTCTGCACAAAAATATAACTTATAAAATATTTTATTATTATAAAGTTTATAAATAGAATACAATTAACTTTTGAAATTTATGAAGTTTGCAGAATCATCATTATCTAATTCTCATGTAGAGATCCAAGATGAATAATTGGTATGTATTTCATAATTTAGACATCCAAGGTTACTAACAGATGGTTCCTGGGATGCCTGCATAATATAGTCTATCAGAGTCAAGATGTCAGCCTGTGGACAACCTCTCTGACAACCAGCAACCCACCCAAATGTTGCCAGACCCCACCAGCCCTTCCAGCCCCATTTACCACACCTGGATTGTCCTTCGACGGCTTCGGTCACATCACACTATATCCTGGCAGGCTTTTGTTCTCTGACTTTAAACAATTCAGTCTTGAGCTGCGAACCTTCTCTACAGAAGCCACATTGTTCACAGTGTCTTCTCCTGACAAAAAAACTGTATTTTCCATCACAGTTTCTGCCAAGGCTGTTGTATGGACAATCCTGAATGATGGAGTGCAGTATAAGTTAGTGAGTCCGTTACAGATAGCTACTGGAAAATGGGCTCAGGTGAGAAGATTTTTAGTTTCTTAATCACATACCAAATTTTATGTAAATACATTTATTTGTTATGACTTTTCAAGTTGGTTTCCTTAACAAATGTGAATTATTTAAAAAATTAGCTATGATTATATTTATTTTCATGACAGATTCTAGCCATGAGAGATGGAAATGAAATTCGGCTGGCTGTTAGATACCTGGATGACCCAGATAGTCTGGTTGTGGCAAGCCAAACTACTACCTTCTTCCAGTTGAACCGACTCGATGGAAGAAACCTGATCTTTGGATTAAATTCTGAAACTCTTGAAACTGGGTTGGTACTTAAAAAATATGAACAATGTTAAAATTGCTAGCTCCTGGTTGCTATAGTAATTAAAACAGTTAATGACTGTTTGTTTAAATTAAATTTACTGGAAAGAATGTATTTGTCAATTCTTCTTGTTATAATTGAATATCCACTAATATTGCTTAAATTTTACAAATTTGAAAAAAAAAATAAAAAAATTTTAAAAGGCATTTGTTTACTAGGAACAGAAAAAGCTTTTCTGTAATAATTCAGAATGATAGTGAATAATTTTATGTCAATTTATTGATAGAAATTTGTGCAAAGAAAACATAACTAAAAATGTGTTCATCTTTTGAATTTTGCTTTTGTGATCCTCAAAAACATGTTTTTAAACCTTTAATCCTGACATTTTAAAAAAAGCCTTAAGTCTTCAAAAATGTTGCTTTTCACAGATATGGAAAAGCAAATTTTGCTGGATGTGTGAGGAACATTTCTATCACTACATCAACAGAAACTCATCGCCCAACCTTTCCTGACTCAGTTCTTGAATCTTCTGGGGTGAAAACAGATGGCTGCTATCTGAATGTAATGATAAGTTAACAAACAGTTGTCTTCGTTTTTTTATTGTCAAAATTACTTTTATTTAATATATGAATGAAATAGGCAATTGATCAGCATGAATGTTATATTGTAATTTATAGTCTGTGACAGGGACAGCCACTCAGTAAATCTTAAGTCATCCTAAAAAAACAACTAAGAAATGTATGTTCTATACAATTAAAAAATATTATGTAAAATTTAGGCAGTTCTTTAGGGCACATTTTATTTGGTATTCCTTAATTTGCCATAAAGATATTAAGTTTATAAAGTGACTGAATTTGAGATTAAAATGACATTTTCCTTTGAAAATATAGAACATAATACAAATAAGATGAAATGTAAGTTTTTCTAAACTATTTTTCACTTTGATGAACTAATGTGAGACCCACTGATTTCTTTGGTGTCATCACAATCACTAGTTGGTTGTTTGTTTTTTTTTTTAATTTCCAAAATGAATTGTACCAATAATAAATTGTAATAACATCAGTAACAACAGTTAAAAACATATTGATATCCAGGTTGTTGAAGGCCTGGGATTCACCTCTGAGGCATCATACGCACAGTTTCCAACATTAAATCAACTGCAGCAAATGAAAACCTTGGAGTTTGACATCATTACTACCCAATCAAATGGAATGCTGTTGTATATCAGTGGTGAAGGAACTGTAAGCATTTACCAATCATCTATCTGGCTGCTCTAATTTATTATAACAAGACCTTATCACATATTTCCCTCATCATAGCTTGAAAATGTATGAATCTTGATGCACAAGTTGCTGTCTGTAATTTGTTTTGTTCCTTACAAGTTTAGCATAAGCAACATTCCCTTTCCACCAAAAACGATGACTATTGCTTTTTAAGTTTTGTAATTCGCTCCCTGAAATTTGTTGCATTGACCTATTTTATAATAATATTGTTTGTCCTTCGCATGTGAAGATGACCATAGTTAGAATTGAGTCGTAGCCTTGACTTGAGCTAAATTTTGATTATAGTGAGGGAGAGTTGCTCAATTCATCAGTTTGATTCATAAGCTTTAGTGGGGCAATGACACAGGTGGAAAAAAAAGTTATAAAAATATAGTTAGATTACATATAAGTATATTAGAGACATCAGATTTACAAAAAAAAATGGTTTGAATGCCTGTTTATTTTATTTTCTTCCATGCATGAAAGATGAGATTTTTATACATGGCTGTTATTGGTGGCAATGTCATCTTGGTGTACAGGCAAAATGACACCGGTTCTGTCATCAGTTCTGGTTATTATATTAGTGATGGCCAGAAACACACAGTCAGGGTAGACTTTTTAACATTCAGGTTAGTCAATGAACACTACAAATATATTATTGATTTCATTTTCCTTTCAGTTGTCTTTGTATAAAACTGCACTATAAAATTTTATAATGTTAGGATGAAATGAGAATTAATCTGACTCATGCAGGAAATGTTATGTATAAAATCATAGAACATTATCTGTGAAAAATTTCAAGAACTGTACAATAAATACTTGGTTTCTAATGTCATTATATCCAGGGTTGCTCTGAAAGTAGATGACATATATGTAGAAGCCGGGCAGACATTGAGTTTGGACTATTTGTCATTCCCTGCAAATGCTGTTCTTATTCTTGGTGGAGTGCCTCCTACAGTAGAACTGCCACCTGATTGTCCTGTCAAACAATCCATAATTGGTGGCTTTTCTAGACTTGTGCTCAATTCTGGGTTAGTGATGGTTGTAAAAACTGAATTTAAACTGCATGTTGAGAGATATTAGATTTTTTTTTTTTAAACAATCCTATGAACAGTCCTAAGTGCCATATTTATTGCAGAATGTAAATTTTTGCTTTATTTTTCATGTTTCTTATTTTTCCTCATTGGGAAACTTCAATGTAGTTTATTATACTTAGAAACATTTTTTTTTTTTTTTGAATTTCACAGCTCCATTGCTTTTTCTGAGATGAACTTTACAGCCCAGATGGACATAACTTTAGGTGGTATAATAGCCCCTTCTGGCAGCACCACCGCACCACTTGTAAATGTGTCACAGATGGTCATATGTGCTTCCAAGCCTGTTCCATCTTTGTTGCCTTTGTCTGATGGTGTTCTGTTCTCAGGGAATGATGGTCTTGTATGGAATAGTGTTATTGAAAAGAAAATTATTGAATTTTTTGAGGGATCGTAAGTATTTTTGCAAAAAGCTTTAGTTAAATAAAATTGCATTAAACAGTTTTATGTTCAAACAAAAAATATTGAAAATTTCTTAGCGATTCATTTAACAATGTGCTCACATAAATTGCAAAATTTTAAATCCTTAGTCTTTTCTCAGTTGCATGCTTTATTAAATCAATTTTTTATGAAGCTAACAGTTTTTGCAAAGTTCTCTATATTAGTTTGCAATTAGAACCTTCTAATTTGAAACCAGAATACCAAAGCACATATGTCAAGGAATTGTGAAATGTCTCTCTTTTCGTTCAGGTTTACCATGAACATAGATTTAGCTGTGTACAAAGCAGATGGAGTTTTGCTGTATGTTGCTGACCTCATAAGTAGCCCTACAACTTACTTCACAATTTACATCATGGATGGGATCCTCCATCAGGCTATGAGAACCTCTCTTGGCACAGCTTTGGATGTCAAATTGTCCAAGGCCATCAATGATGGGCAGAAGCATCAGGTAACATGATTGTGTTTATATTTAATAATTCCAAGCTTCTGGCTCTTGCTGTGTTTGTTTCCCTGAGAAACCAGACAAAAACAATTTTGAAATAAATAAAATGAAAGACTTATTTTAAATCCTTCTCAAGAAACTTTAAAAAGTTTAAAAAGAAAGGCCAAAAGTCTAGAAAAAAATTTCTTAGCATTTTGTCACCTACCACAGAATGTAAATCTTTATGTAATTTGAAAGAGTTGAGGTAATTTATACCCAGGCAATGAATATAAATAGAATTTCTTCATGTTTACATTTTGACACCAAATTCAACTATTGATGTTTCAGCAAACTTGAATATTACATTGATTTTTTTCCAGATCCACTTAATGAGAAACAATGACCATGTAGCACTAAGTTTTGACAATAGCACTAAAGACTATGTCAACAATAACCAGAATGGAAATGTAACATCTAATTTCACATTCCCTACCACCAATCAAGTCTATCTTGGTGCATTGGGTACTTACAATATCATGACATCGCCATTACCTCAATCTTTTCAGTCTCAGGCAAGTGACAATTTTCAATAATCTTTGTGATATATATATTATATCATATACATATATAAAAGTTTTTAAAAATTGTGTGGGTTTGTTTGTGGTTTTGTTTCACAAAGGCTTTTACATGGATTGATGGATCTTAACTAAACTTGGAACTTATATATATCATTATTCGAAAGGAACTCTAGGGGGGTTATGAACTTTTTTTAACGTTCCATTTGGTTCTGTGGGCCACAAATTTTTTTTTTTTTTCCTTATTTGAGCTATGTAAATAAAATTAACAATAAGTACTCCTGCATGAAAGGATTGATCTTGACAAAACTCAGTTCACTTGATTAGCCATATTCAAATACCAAAGGGTACTGAACTCATAATATCTATTCGTCTGGAGCCGGGGGGTCCCATTTCATTTTTCCTTATATAAACTATATAAATATCATTAGGCTTAAACAACACTTTAGGTTCTATATGAATTGATGGCCTAGCCTGGTAGCAATACACTTCATTGTCCATAATGAAATATCGGTGGATTTAAAACTAAGAATATCCAATCTAGAATTTTCCAGAAATTTTGATAACTTTAAAAAGCTGAATCTATGGCATTATTAAAAAAAAATTAAATGGGACAACTTTTAAATTTTAACTCCATAATTCATCGGAATGATTTTTATGGGGCCTCCCATCTCAGGCTAAACTAATTCAATACAATTATGCAATGGGACCCCACTGGGGCCCCTCATTCAACTATGTACTATAGTTATATTAGTGCATTTAGTTGTATAATTTTTCTTTTTCGAAGAATAATTACTTAGAAAATATGTTTGTTACACATTTTGAGGAGGATATAAAATTTAATCTGGAGTGTTCCAGAAAGTTCTATATTGTTTTACATGGATATATAATGTTATCTAAAAGCTTTATGGAATGTTTGCTGATTTCTATACTTTCCTGGGGATTGGCTCAATATCATTTAGTTATCTTTTGATAAGTTTCATAAAGATTTTGATCATTCTAGAAGCTTTGATTGGTTACAGTACCAAAACAGATCCTAATATTAAATGGATCTCACAGAGAACTGGATCTCACTTGTAACAAGATCAAAAGATTAACGGGATCACATCGCGAAATGGGATCGCATCGGGTAATGGGATCCCAATGGGTAAAGTGATCCCACGGTGCATAGATTCTCAACAAGTATGGGATCCCATTTGGGAAACAGGATCCCACCGTAAAAGGGATCCCTTTGAGGAAACAGTAAAATACTTGGATCAGATTCCAAAATAGGTCAGTATCCCACTGAGAACAGGTTCTCATTGGCATTTGTGATCCCATTTGGAAACAGGATCACATAGCAATCAGTATCACAAAGGGATCACATGGGGATCAGGATTTCATTGGGAAAGTGATGCCTTTGGCATTTGGGATCCCATCAAGATTGGGATCCCAGGGGGTCAGAATCCCAGAGGGAAAAATGATCACACCGGAGTCTGGATCCCAATGGGATCGGAATCACACCGGGATTGGGATCCCAGCAGGAATTGAAACCCATCAGAATATGTGACACCATTTTGAAATGGGATCCATTGGGATCTGGGACACCATTTCGGGAAGGGATCCCATAAAAGAACATTCATATAAGTATAAATTATAAATTAAATTTACATAATATTTAAAGATATCTTTATATATATTCTACCTATACCTAAAAGTGAAAGAAAAGAATAATACTGCGCACAAAACCCTTATGAAAACAATGCTCAGACAAATGGAAAGAAAGTGGGTGGAGGTACAATAAAAATTTATAATCAAACAGGAAAAAGACATTGCAGCTATGTTGAATGTTGAATTTGGTTTATAGGCCTACCTTATTGAATCAACTTAACAAATCTTTTTATTAATTTATTTTCCATATAAATTCAATCAGGTGTATTGCTTACATACAACATAACAATAACTACAACATCCAATATTCAATTATGGTTAGCATTATTGAAACGTTTAGAAACTGGACAAAGGGCTTGTTTAGTGATGTTGTACAGGCCTTCTCTGAAATGGTCTCCAAGGAGATGACCTGGTATTTTTTATTTTTTTTAATGACGGAAATTTGTTGAAATGTTTAAATTTGTATTTTGTGTAACCATAACTAAAACTAAACATAAATTGTTTTAATTACACAAATTGTTTTTTTTCCTCATTAATCTCCGCTGCCCCTACATATAATTTTCCTCACTTTTTACAAATAATGGTGTAAACCACTCTGCGACTTGTGCTAGTAACCCTCTTTGATTCTGAATATTTCCAGAGGGAAATTGATTTTATCAACTTCAATCACTTTGGGGCATGTACTACAATGGCTAGGGTTGCATCTTTTGGTGCCTATACTATACATATGCTTTAATAGCAGGGGAGGTGTCTGCTAACAAGCTTGTCCTTAAGGCTCATATCATCATGCTTTACTTTCTTATACCCTGGACAAATTTTGCTTATGGGCATGATGAAGTGGTACCAGTTAAATCTTAAATAATGGTTACTTATTTGTGTGTGGTGGGGTGGGGGATGTTGTGAAGTCCCCCTTTGATATCCCAGTAGACCTAAAACCTTTCTACCCTTATATCTCCCCTTAAGTTCATGTATCTCTCACTTTGAAAACCACCATGTTCAACTACAAGTGTCTTTGAACAGCATGAAAAGTTTATTTTACCCGTACTAGATGAACAACACTAATAAATACAATTTGATTATATTTATTTTTTATAATAGTTGGCCCAGAGATTTTTCCTCTTTATTTCCCAGCCAACCAAAGCATATTTTGCTGGAGCTATTTATAACTTGGAAATTCAAGACACTCCAAGTACAATAGAGACTCTACATTTCAGGTATGGCAAACTACAAAGAATAATTATTAATCATTTTATACTGCAACAAAAAGAATAATTATCAAGACTTCTAGTTTCATGAGAACCATATAACTATTTAAGGACTATTCTTTTCTTTCCAAATTATTTATATTATTTCATCCATTATGATTTTAGAATACTGCATTTACCTAACATAATATATTAATCAGCATATCCTTGTACGCTTTGAAGTTTTAAATATCAGGGGCATGATGTGTGTATATGTGGCGATCAATAAATATCATTGGAAAATAGGAGATTCCCAGTATAAATTCTGTATTAAATAGGTTAACACATAGGTTATTATATTTACAATAAACAGTAAATAATATTATGACAAGAAGAATCTTGCAAAAATTATTGAATGAACAAAAATTATAGTTGATGAAATTTAAAATGCCTTTTCATGTTTTCAAGTAGATGCATTAAAAAATTGTAATGTTGTATTTAAAATAAATCAATAAATAGTACTCATGAATGTTTTTCTTTTTAAAGTAATCTAAATAGAAATCTCTTTGGACCAGTAGCCAAATCTGTTTACTATGGAATATCTCTGACTGGAGTCAACTCATATCTTCCACTAGGTATGTTCTTCGGAACTCAGAATAGGCTGATTGATATGTTAAAGGGTTGTTAGTTCATTACATAAGAAACAATTAACTCTTGGCTGACTACATCTCTTACTTTAAAAAAAAGTAAAACAAAAAGATTTTGTGTAGTTTAGATTTATCTGTTTAAAATGTCCATTGTTATGTCATCTTGTTCTAAAAGTCATGTTACTATTGCTTAGGTGTTGCTTCTACATGGGACAGCCTAACCATTGAAATGACTCTTACTACTGTCTCAAATTCTGGACTGCTGATGTTAATATATGAGAATGCAAACAAGTTTTTAGCTATGGATTTGAAAAATAATCAGGTTTTTTTCATCTATTGTAACAATAACTTTGTTGAATTCATCCCAGAAAATAATAAGTAAACCTATTCCTTCAATATTTAAAACTATTTCTACATTAAGATTATTTACCAAGAATAAATAATAGTTACAGAATTTGTAAGGCATGCTATTTATTTACTGATGAATGTAATGTCAATTTTTTTTTTTTTTAATATTGTACTTGAAATTTTAAAAAATATTGTCTCAAACAATTAAACTGTAAATGTCTAATTTTATTACTAGTTAGGATTTCAAATAGTTAACCTATTCATTGAGGTATTATTTAATGGTACTTTTCTCAATGTTTGCCAGATCCGTATTCATCTGCCTTCATCATCTGTGAGTGGGGGGCAACCTTTGACCATTACACTTGATACATCAAGCAATTTGTGCAATGGAGTTATCCATAGTCTTCAACTACAGTTTGTTAATAGTCTCGTAAAACTGACAGGTATTAAAATTCTGTATTTATGTTGTTAACAGTCTGCTCTATGAAAAATATTTGATTTGGTACAATTTTGGGATAGCAGTAGTAAAATATTTGCAAGGCCGTCTGGCATTTAAATCAAATTCAATATGAAATATTTAAATGTGTATTTCTTTTTTATTAATAAAATTATAGTGTCAGCAATTTGTTAGAAGCATATTTTATACAACAAAATTTTTTAAAATATATGAAATGAAAACTTCACATCAAGCCTTCTATGAATGTAATCAAATGGAACACATTGGTTTATAATCTTCTGTTATGTATTAAAAATTGGAATTGTATTTGAATTTGCTGGCCTTTAAAAAAAAAGAAATTTCTGTGATAGCTACAAAGGATCGGTTTGAGGCCATATAATTATAATCCACAAAATCCTGTAAAATTTTAATCAAAATTGATATGGGCTCTTTAAAATTGATATGGGCACTAACAGCAATTATCTGTTATTTGTGTTAATCCACCAAAATTGCTTTGCTGGTATTGCAGCTGACAACCAGGTTAGAGCAGCCAGAAGTATCCCAGATAGTTACAAACTTCAAGCTTTGTCAAATGCCCAGTTGTTTGTTGGTGGAGTCACAGGTATCTTAGTTTCTGCAAATTATCTTCATCCTAAAACCAAAATTCCATAATTAATATAGTAGTTTACCAAACAAAAGTTATTATTCAATACACATTTTATGTCAGCAATATTTGCTGCATAACTAATTTAAAACTCATCTTTTCTAAGTATGGATGTGACAAATTATGTGAATGTGTCATTCTGACAGGTCAATTCCAAGGGCTTCCACAAGAACTCACCACTGCAAGTCTCTCAGCATGCATTATGTCTGTATCCCTGAGCAACCAGGGTTTATCTATCAGGAACTTTGACCCCACCCAATACGTTTTAACAAATTCAACTGATTATGGGGCATCTTACAGCTGCCCTCATTAATGTGATGTTAAATCATAACTGGACTACATCTTATCAATTTTCTCTCTATCTTTTTTAAAACAAATTTTCCTTTATTAACTATCCAAGCATTAGAAGTGGAATGAGGGGGGTGCACTAGTTATCACCATTATAAGTGGTGATGACTGATTTAATTCAAAAATTTTTAAATAAGTTGTATTAATTAATTTTATTATAATAAAATTATTTCAAGTTTGTCAAAAAATAATCTTTGCTCAGTCATTCTCTTTTTCACTTCAGAATATCAAAATGCTTAAATATTTATTTATTTAAGCATTTTTATATAGAGCTTACCATAAAGCTCTAAACGCTTTACAATTATTAAAAACATGTAAACTAAGTAAAATAAAAATGAGACACTAGGATAGTAACTACTATCAATAAATATCAATAAATCTGAGTATGGTGAGTTTTCCTCGAGAAAGAATTCTTAAAACATCAATTGATAATCAGAAGATAATATGCAATCTGTAAAAGTTATAAAATATTTTTTAAAAAGTATAGAAAAATAATTATTAGGAAAGATAATACATTTTGAAAGTGTTATTTAAAAATAAAATATTTTGTATTTTTTATTTTATTTTTTTTATTTTTTTAAGAGTTATTGTTGAGGGAAGTTTAACATCGTGTGTAACCTTAACCAGCTATTCAGCTGCTGGTGATACCTCTGTTAATTATAACTTTATTAAGGTGTAGATGTTTGTCAGTGTAGTCCGTGTGAATAGTCTTAACAAACAATTCTTGAAAATTATTTTGTAACAAAATTAATTTTAAAAAGATATTACAAACAAAGGTTTTTGGATTTAGTTAAATTTGAATTTTAGTTCTTTTGTAGTTCATAGTTTTCAAAGTCACATTACAATTCTTGTAAGTAATTCTTCAAATATGTCTCGAACTTGTTTTTTTTTCTTTGAATTTAAAAATAAAATTATTGATTTATAACAAAATAATTTGGTTTTTATATTTTTTAGTTGCCATTAGATTATCATTAAGAAAATTTTTTAGGTTACTTTAATTTCATTTTCTACACTATAACAACAAATAGTCATCTATATTATTTTTAGCGAATTTTAATTCTAGGAGAAATAAAAAAAATTAAAGATACCTTTTATTCTGTTGGTCTAAAAAAGGAAACTGTTCTTTGCTTGACTGATAGATAATATATAACAACTTCATTTTTTTACATGTTCCAAAAACCTTGTAAATGAAGGAGAAATATTCATCTGACATAGTTTAAAAGCTAGACTACGCCTTTGTCACACCTGTTATGGTTTTCTTATTACTTTTGAGATTACTCTATCATAATTCCCCTATCATGACTCCCTACTGGACATAACCATGGTCATAGTCATGTGAATTACAGAGAACATGTTTTTAATGCCCTTTTGATTTCACATGTAATTTGTTTTATTAAATTTAATCAGACTGTTATAATCTACCGACAACCACAGCATGCTGTGACATACTCTGCCTTGAGCTTTGTATGGTGTAAATTATTTACACATTGACATAATATTATTAAACCCCCAATCAGGAAAATGCAGCTGTGCTTGTGAGGTTTGCTTAAACTTCCAGCTTATGATGTCAATAATCATGTGATTTAATAAAATGTCATTGAACCATTCCTTGAGGTGGAAGCTGTGGCTGTTACCTCCCCTGACTTGTTCCCCTCCTAACTGATCTTAAAGCAGCCAATTAGGCCAATGATAGATGTGAAGCAGATATAAATTTAACCGTAGAATGATTTGGTGAATTTTCCAATGGGATATTAGAGCGTCTCTTTAGTTAATTGCCTCAAGTGTTATCAATGATTCCATAAAGATGAAGTAGAGAGGACTGTCGTAGTTATTACAAAGAGTTCAGGATCAACCTAAAGGCAAAGTATGTACTTGACCAGAGCCATGTGCCTTTAAGATGCCCCAAGCCTTAAAGGTTCCCCGTGCCTTAAAGGTGCCCCACGCCTTTTAAGGGCCTTGCCAAAAGAATCCAATATTTATTTATTGTTATAATCCCGAACTTACTTGAGGTAATGTAAAGTAATGACAGGCATCTATTCTATATCTCCATAAGTAACACATTAAGTTACAATATTAAGAGTGGAAAAGAAGGAAACAACACAGTCCGTTTTCCTCATTCGATAATCATCAAAGGGCGGCTCTTGATCGACTTTCTCGTTCGCCCATATAAATCAGCCCGTACACTACATTCCGTGGGCAACAATCTCAATTTGGTTGTCGTGTGTGCCGTAGATTTCTGCTTTTTGATGCAGTCTCTGTCATGGGTCATTGTTCAAGCAATGTAAAACTTTTTCTCGGCATCAGACCAGCTAATATCCTGACATTATTAAGCACTAAGATAGTAGATGCCACGTATACTCTGCACCAGTTTTAAAAAGATTTAAAGATTTAATAAAAAGAGGTGGCGACCAAGCAGTGGCGCATCATACGGTAAAATGCTACGAGGGGCGAACTCCCAAAAGTGCGCCCACCCAACACCCACATCACTTTTAAATGTTACATATAAAAACCTCAAGGGACGCTAATGCGATCGAGGCAATATCCCATGGCTAGAGCAGCTTTCTGGCGTCTTTGCCGTTCGTTGCTTCAGATGTGAATAAGAAACAGGAAACAAATCTTGAGTGAGTTGTCACAAAGAAACATTTCATCATGGCAGCCTTATGGGATGACGTCGTGGATCCTAATGGTCTGTCATCCTGGATCCTAACGGGCTGTGATCGTGGATCCTAATGGGCTGTCATCCTGGAATATTATGAGCTGTCAACGTGGATCCTAATGGGCTGTCATCGTGGACCGGATCAATGGTTTCATCAAACTAGAAATTCAATTCGCCAATCAGTTCTGAAATAATGGCTCAATTTTTTTTAACATTATAAAGAACGTTATTGGGTAACTACGAGAAACAAGCAAATGTGTATAACACGGTGTGCACATACTGATGAATTGAAAGCCGGCATGGGCGAGTAAGAAATTGATTGTTACCATGCTAGTAACTTTGGAGTGATTGTGCTTCGATGGAGAGAAAAGTTTAAGAGTGACACTTGCCTACAAATAATGAATACGTTTTTCATAGTGTGGAAGCATTTCATTCCTAACATTTCGGTTGTTCCATTTTGAGTTCCAAACGATTACATATACCAAAATTTTAAAAGATTTAGAGATAAATGTTGCTTTCTATGCAGGGTACTTCAAATTCATATTTTGAAGTCGCGTTAACAATAATAATCTCGAGTGGAATGGTTGATCTCTCAAAGGTGTATACGAAGGTTTAAGGGACCTGACCCCACCTCCCCCATTAAAAAAAAAAAAAAACAACAACAAAACGCAGCCAGCCTGAGAGTTGTTAGGGGTATACCCCCCAGTATAGTACTTAATTAGTACAAAGGTGAATACGAAAGTTTAAGGGACCTGCCCCCCCCTCCCCCATTAAAAAAAAAAAAAAACAACAACAAAACGCAGCCAGCCTGAGAGTTGTTAGGGGTATACCCCCCAGTATAGTACTTAATTAGTAGCAAAACACACCTCTGCAGTTGGCCTAACACTCAGCCTCCCCATATAAAGAAAATAGTGCTACCCTCCAAGCCCTTATTCTTACGCCCCTGCTCCCAGGCGGTTGAGCATAGGGCTACGACCCAGTCATGGCAAAAATAAAAATCTGTTATGAAAACTACACTACAAACAGGAGATTGGACGGAAATAAATGTATTTAGACCTATAGGCCTGGACAAGGAAAGGGCTTGTGGAAAGCCGCCTGCAATGTAGTCAGTTTCCACGGAGCAGGGGCGCTGGCCCGCTCTAGTGACGAATTGATAAGGTCTATGAAGAGTCACTGTTGGTTGCTGCATTTCAGGAGATAAGATCGAAAGGCTCGGATATATTAATCACTAAGGAATACACATTTTACAATGGAAACAACACCTTACGAACAGAGTTTGCAGTCAAATAACACTGACAGACGACAACACGGGTCATAGAATTGAAACCATCGAGTGAAAGACTGTTTTACAAGAGGATACCAGGAAATACCCTATCTTGAATGCGTGCGCATGTCCCAACCGAAGATGCAGATGACGGCTTTAAGGGAACTTGTTATGAAACATTTGAAAAGATATATGATGATGAATCATGCCACGAAACCAAAATAGTTATTGGTGATTTCGAGGCAAACATTGAGAAAGAACCTGCACACAGGCCAACTATCGGAAAGGAAAGTCTGCACGAGAGCAATGACAACGAGCACAGCCAATCAGCTTCACGACAGGAAAAGAATGATGAAGAGCAGCACAGTATCTCAACACAAACGAATACTTTAAGTGTTATGGATATCACCAGATGGATTACCCAAAACCAAAAATAGATCATCAATAGAAGATTAAAACTCAACTAGAATTATCCAAGAGGGAAACAGCCAACAATTTCAATATAAATGAGCAATAAGAGAAAATGAAACAAATTGTTAGACATTTAAGAGAGAAATCAATATGGTTTAATAGACAGAGAAAAGAATAGGGTGGTGTGAAGCAGTACGAAGGGAACTAATAGAAGAAAGAAGCACTGCTCGAGTGCTCATGATACAAAGGGAGACAAAAAGAACACGTCAATAATTAATTATTAATGACAAAAGAGGGGGGGGGCTATTTAAGTGAGGTGGTAAACGAAAGAGTTGTGCAGGGAATGTACGCAAAGATAAAGGATGGACAGTGCATATGGCATTTGCCAGGATTAAATTCCTTGTCCCAGCCCATCTCCCACTCAGGTAACCGATTGAGATCCTATTGTAGCTGGTCCTGGTCAGATCTCCTGGCGATCGTCCTATACGCCGTCGTGTCATCTGCGAACAGTCTTGCTTGGGATGTCAGTTTCTCGGGTGTGTCATCGATGTATGATAGGAACAAACATGGGCCTAGCATCGAGTCCTGGGGAATTCCTAACTTAAAACGTGATTAGAGTCCCCAAGAAATTTACTCGGCTTATACATTATGACGATGGTTAACTCCAAAATAAGAATAAACGTACAGGCACAGTACTCTAAGCCCTAAGGAGTTACGGATTTGTCAGGGTCTCAGACGAGGAGAGTCGCTTTCATGTTTCCTGTTCACCATCGCCCTTTTGGGCAGAAACATAAATGACATACGGTAATAAAATCATTTAACGAACTTGGTTGGGCTGGTTTAAGGTAAATGAAGTGAAGAAAAACTACATGTATAAAATTTTAAAATCATATCTTTGATATACGGTAGTCGATACATTCATGAGCTCCCAGAAATAAACAATAACAGCAGGCATATTTCCCATTTTCGGCCTAGGAAAGTTAATAGAAGCAGAAACCTCTCAAGGAAAACATAGAAAACCGATTATTAGGAAATGGTGGAGGTGTTAGGAGGATACCATTACCAGCTGTATTGATATAATTAGACATTCTGCAATTTGCTTTTTTTCTTAAAGAGACACGGCGCTTGATTGATCCAATTAGCAAAAAAAATGTTAGTTACACTTTGTACCGTTGTAGTACCGGTAACTGTCCTGCTAAGGGGTGCAACTTGCATAGACACCACACATGGACGACAGTTCAATAGTAATTTTAGACTTTTATGTTAGCCCTCCCATCTCACTCTGATTCTGAATGTAAGACGGTGTACGTGCTACACGTTTAACACTGCCACGTGATTTCTTTTATAATTAAACATTATTACAAAAATATAATTTTAGTTGTAATTCTTATAACTTACAACTCTATTCTTAGTTAAGTAGGCCCTATATTTTGTCACAATCTGTAATTACAGAGTTATTTAACATGCTTATTTTTTTATCTGTGCAATTTATTGTTAGTCGGGACATTTTTAACCTCAACTATTTGTATCTTTTCAGATAGTGTCTTTTTTTTCTTTACATTTTTCTTTGGCTTTGTTCTTGGGACAATTTTTCTTATTCTTTTTCTCAGGCCTTGTTCAATGCTTGTACCACACTTTTAGATCTCAGGATCTGATTTTCTCAAGTTTATAAACAAACATATTAAAAACTGTCACTCTCACACCACATGGATACATATTGATAAGTGTTAAATGGTATTTGAGATATTTGTAATAGAAGGAGCTGGGACCCCCCCCCCCACCCCATGGATGAAAGTGAACACCCCCTTAATTACTTAATATTTCAAAATCGTCTAGAATTTTCTCAAGTTTATAAACAAACATATTAAAAACTGTCACTCTCACACCACATGGATACATATTGATAAGTGTTAAATGGTATTTGAGATATTTGTAATAGAAGGAGCTGGGACCCCCCCCCCCCACCCCATGGATGAAAGTGAACACCCCCTTAATTACTTAATATTTCAAAATCGTCTAGAGATGTAGACTTGCAATTACATTAAGGTGTAGATATAAAATATCCTTTCTGACAAGATATAATTTATAGCATAATACCCTAGGGTTCTATGGAAATAAATTATTGAACTTATACCCAAAGCACACATATTGGTTTCCTATATTTGGGTATTCTAAGCGGTGGGGGAGACCAAGGCCAAGGTCAAATTCCAAGAAAAGTGTTGGCAGTGTTGGGTGGTTAACGCTGTTTTAGTGAAAACATGGCCTACAATGCCACATATCATTTATACTTTAACACATCGATTAAAAATGAAAAATACTTTAAAAATGTTTATTTTATTTTATATAACTGCTTTAGCACGCTACCCCTCAGAAAACTCGTCACTATCCCAGAAACACCATTTTTAGGTCACGACCAGACCATTGCCGCACGTGCCCATGTTTATGAATTGGAAACCCCACTAAAAGAATTTTAAACCTAAACAATAATACATGAAACGCCGTATAATACTTATAAACAATAAGAATAGGTCAACTATTTCTGCATTTAAGTCATACAATCTTAAAGGCAAGGTTATTGTTAAAAATATAAACTTGAATAAAATAATATTTCGGTTTCTTTGTAGGTTACCAGCTTAGCTGCGGATCTTAGAGTATATTTTACGATTAAAACGTATATTTTTTAGGCATAGGCTCCCTTTGTGTTTCCGGAAGTTTACATCCAACTGTTAAATAAAATCAACACAAGTGATTCATTTTGTCATTAGGAAATTTTTTAAAATCTTGAGAAATCTATAATTTAAGTCTTTTAAAATTAATTATATTAATTTTAAAGCGCTTAAATCTTCAGAGACGTCATGGGGCTTTTTGGGAAAACACAACAAACTTCTCCAAAAGAATTGGTTGGTATTAAAATTATTAAGAGTCGGTTGGCAGTGGTAGGAAAACCTTAATGTCTTAAATAACTTAGCCAGCAATAGGGTCCAAATAGCGTCAATGCGTTTCCGGTTCCATTTTTACTAAATGCTATTTGTAGATACTTTGTCAAATATTTAAACATTTTGTAAAAATAAACCAATGGCATAGTTGAATAGAGCTAATTTTTTACAGAATTATAACACCCAAATCATATTTTTAGCTATTGTAGTTTTAAAGTTACCTAGCGAAACTTTTGACTTTGGCCTGCGTACACCGCGGCGGTGTACCTAGCTAAATCATGGTCTGTGGCCTGCGTACACCGCAGCGATTTAAAGTAGCAAAACTATGGTCTTTGCGAGTCTTTAACTTTTTGGCCTATCCGGTATTTGAAGATTTAATGTTATACTCTTGTTAAAACTGAAAACTATTTATTTAAAATTCATTTATTACCTTGGGAAGATATTGAGTAAGTTCCATGCTTATATGGCAAAGTACTTGTAAAGCATTTCTTATTAATTTTGGAAGGGAGGGGGGCTGGGGGTGTAATGTTAAACCATGATTTATTTTTAAAGTTAACCACTTTATTCCCCCCTCCCCCAATATATTGAAATACAAATATATTTATTAATTGTTGTAAGTTTTATCATATGATTTTGAATCTTAATAGGCATAAAAAGGGTAGCCAATTTGAAATTATTCTCTCATGCCCCCCCACCCAGTTGTTTTTTTTGGGGGGCAAGGGGCATTATAAATATAACATTGTATGTTATCCCTTGGGCGTGGTGTAAAAATGAATGGGATGCCAGTGAATCTATTTTGTTAGCACCGATATATAATTGCGCCACAAATACACTACGGGAAGAGAATCACATACTCATACATTAATCATGAAGTCGTGAAGTTAAAGTTGTCCGAGGCATTGTCATTGTGATACCAAGCGTGTGTCAACACAAAACAGCAGTAAGATGATAAATACAAAACATTGTTAAAAGTCTTTTAACAATAATTAAATATCATTGATTTAGCTTTACATTGGCATTACACATTAGTAAAAAATGCTGGCCGGGGGGGGGGGGGTATACAAAAGGTATTTTTGTTGTGCGGACGTCCTTTGTGGACAACCCTTATCCAGAGCCGTGATTTGTGAATGCCCCCTTTTTGGTTAAGCCTCTGCCCATAACTCACCACCACCCCCACCCCCCGACAAGGATCAATTTCTTAACAATAAAAAAAAACAAAACAACAAATACAAAAACTTTGACATAGCGCAAATCCTGTCCCAAGCCCATTGTGCAATGGTTTCTGTGAGAAAACGTCGTGTTTTACCCTGAGAATAGCACATGCCATGCCATTCTGGAAACACATTCCATCATGAAAAGGGTAAATGCAGACCTATGGCTTTGCTATACAGTTTGCTACCGCTCCGCAAGTTTCTAAAATCGAGGTGTTTTCAAAAGATTTGCTGTGAGACTGAGTGTTGTCAATGAACCTTTGATATCGTATGTACATTTTGCCAATGCATAAGGCATAGTGAAAGCAAGATGGTTCAAGATTGAAATACGACAATGCACATTAATGACATTAATATTCATATGGTATGAATATTATTCATACTGGTATTTTCTTTGGGTGTTCGTAAAAGTAAAATGTAAATATTCAACTACATGAAGAATGTTGAAATACAATATAATATCACTTAGTCACTTAGTATTCATAATGTTTCTCTTATACATGTTACATACACTATACATGCGCTTTCAGAAATTTTAAGTTTGTTTTCAAATGTCTAAAGTCTTATTATTAAATTTACTGGTATTTTCAAAGTCAAAGGCCGGCACAACTTGTTGAAACACTTATATACATATATATTGTGTATTTAATATAATATTTAAACATATATTTAAATTGTTACAAAATATTTTAAAACTAAAATGGGAGGGGAAAAAACTCGGCAATCCTCCGAAGTCCGGTCCCAAATTATTTCCAATGATTAATCCTTACTTAAAAGTCTTGGGCATCATTCTGTTTTGAAACTCATGTTTGCGTTAGTGGACGATGTTGGATGGAGGCTGTCGGCCGTCGAGATGCACATCACTGAAGACTCGAGCGTATTATATTATTACTAATCATGTGTTACCAGGAACAACTACCGCCATGGACGATGGGCGAGGATATCAAAATGTCAGTCAGCTCAACAACGGGATTTATGCTCACGCTGTCACTGTGCACGCGCATGAATTTGTTGACACAGTAGACAGTAGACCAGGTCATTCAAACAGAGACTATTGAAGGACTTTGGATGTAAACAAAACGTACACTCCTCTATCAGAGTGGTAGGGCCCACTAGTCACAATCTGTTTGCCAGCTACTTGGGGGCCTTTCAGTGGCGCAACAGTCACCAGCAGAACATTTTCGGCCGGTATTTGCAAATGCTATGTCCCAATGACAACATTTAGTATTTACTGACTGGTTTGTAAAGTGACAGTTATTTGCAAAAGCTATGACTGACGTTTCTGCTGTTTTCTAACAATAGACACTGTGCATTGCAGTTTTTTCACATGAAATAATTTGGGACCGGACTTCGGAGGATTGCCAAAAACTCGATCCCCTACTGGGAATGATCTCAAACTATATTATAGCTGAGCGTCCACTCTACCACTTGACCACACAAGATCTTCTCTATCAAGCATATCTTAAAACCAGGCCAATGGCACATTTTTGCCACGGTGTACCCAGGCCAAAGCCCACGATTTCACTAGGTACACCGCCGCGGTTTACGCAGGCCAAAGCCGATGGTTTCGCTAGGTACACCGCCGCGGTGTACGCATCCACTTCGATTTTTAAAGTACGACTTGGTTTGTTCTTTTTTAACATGGACTGCATCTCCACATTCTGTGACCTCATTCCGCTGATCGCGTCATGCGCAATGACATTATAGTTTATATAAGGCAACGCATTCCTTATCACTAAAATACTGTTTATGGTCGACTTATTTTAAACTTTCAACTTTGGCACATGAATAATTAATTAAAGCTTTCCCTGACCAATGGTTTAATAGTTTTTGCACACGGCAAACTCTCATGAATGAAACTCTGAGATAGTACTACGATTGTTACAGAGAGCTTGTTTACACAATATTTCTCGTACGTGCCCTCTGATTGACCCCGCATGAGACGCTGTGTTCACAAAGGGGTGTGGCTTAGGTCTTTGATGTATTTCTTGTTTACACCGCCAGCCACTGAAAATAATTAATCTGTTCCAAATAGTATTTGGTAGAATGATTGGGATTTTTCTCGAAATGTCTCAAAGGCAGGGCTTGGGCGTCGGTAGACCCACCTATATAAGGGATTGACAGGCACGGACGACGGACGGAGATTTCATATAGATTCTCTTAACATTACGAGGCGTGTTTTATTGTGTATTTGTGTGCTCCTACTTATATGTGTTTATTTCGCATTATTTATTGGCATCATTATTTCTAATTGTATTAACTGTGTACCAGTACGACATCTGCCATACTGTAAGTTGAAGATTGTAATTTTATTTTATTTTATTTTGTAATTATCTTAAGACATAATAAATCGTAATTAATTGTGACTAGAAACTGTTTTGGGTCGTATCCTTAATATTGTTGATTATATGGTATCGTCCTTTGTTAGGCACTGTTTACAACGAGCCAATTAAAATTAAAATAGGAGATTAATTTCTCCCAATACAAGTCAGTGCGTAACAAATTGGGCTGCTCGTCCGCGATAATACTAAATTCATACTACTATTATTATTTCTCATATTAGACTCCAATTTTAACAAATTGTGGGCTTTTCCGAGGATAATTTTAATCCATAATTTTTATTACACCAATAATAAATTGAGTGTTTTTCTGTGGATTTTGACCCACTGTTTACTTTTATATACTCAGATTAATTTTGAGTACACGATACCATTTTACGACACCAACAACAGAGCTGGTTACAATTTTTTTCATTAGTGTGTGCACTAAGCTTAAATTTTTATAAAAATCATTGTTATATTTTGCCTGTGTCAAAATGGATTTTGATATTGAAAACCCATCAGTAGAGGCATTAGACAAATGTTCTAGGAAGGAGCTATTTTCCATTGCTAAAGCTCTAGAAATAAATGTAGCTCATTCGGCCGTAAAAAAGACCATACGAGACATGATCATCGTTCACTTTGTGGATGAAGACATGTTATCTGAAGATGAACTTGCCTCAGTCACACAACCGACTGATCCAAGTATGGAGCTCCAACTAAAGCTCAAACAAATGGAACTAGATGCCCAGAGAGAAAAAGAACGTGAGCTTAAACAGCTGGAGCTAGATAAAGAACGTGAGCTTAAACAGCTGGAGTTGGAAGCACAGAAAGAGCTACAAATCAAATTAAAAGAAATGGAAATAACAGCCAATTTGGGAGCAATGGAAAATAGACTCACGGCTCCAGCCGGTCAAGGTTGCGATGCAATTAAATTTGCAAAAGTAATCCCTAAATTTTCAGAAAAAGAGGTTGACCAATATTTTGCGCAGTTTGAGATAACTGCCCAAAATTTTAAAATTCCTGAAACTATGTGGTCCACCTTACTTCAACCAGCCTTGACCGGAAGGGCATCTGAAGTCTTTGTGTCCCTGAATGCGGAACAGCGCGGGGACTATAACCTAGTAAAATCATTAATACTTAAGGCTTATGAATGTGTCCCCGAAGCATACCGTAAAAAGTTTAGGGAACTGTGGAAACGTGATGGCCAGACTCATGTTGAGTTCCTCCGGGAAAAGGAACGGCTCCTGGACAAGTGGCTGCACGCAACCAACACCGAGACAGACTTCAAGAAATTCAAGAACCTCATTCTGATGGAGGAGTTCAAGAACTGTGTTCGTACTGAGGTGCGAATACATATTGCAGACCGTGGCGAAGGTGACGCACATACGGCAGCAGTGTTAGCCGACGACTTCACCATCTCACATCAACTTTCCAAGAATCCATCTGACACCAAAAATGACAGGCACAATAAGACAGCTGTATCAACTTACAGTAAACCTCCACAAAAACCATTCAAGCCCGGTACGAAAGAAACAAGTGCCAAGGACACATGTGCCTACTGTAAAAAAGAAGGACATACGAGGGATGATTGCTGGAAACTCAAGAAGAAAACTGAGAAGACCACACATCCTGGTACACAACACAAAGTCTCCGCTTGTACGTCTCGTTATACATCTGGAAACACATTTTCAAAATTCAAGAGTTTTTGCTCTCCAGATGTCCATACAAACTTCAAAGAGGTTTGTCACGACTCATCAAAGAGTTTCAAAAGGAACAATAAGGCTAGTTTTACTGACTCCAGCCAAGTTCCTGCTTCGACTGCGAGTTTTATGAGCTTGTCGCCAAGATCCTTTTGCTCCAAGAAGAGGTCTACCTCCAGAGGGCGTTTTACTGAGGACTTGTGTGCAAGTTTTGACGACTCTACCCAGAGTTTTACTTCCTCTACCCTAGCCGAATGTTCTCAAGACTCCAACAAGAGTTTACCTACCAAGGTCCAAAATTCTACATCAGAAACTACTGATGTCATACAAGACTTCATGCCTTTCATATCGGAAGGATTCGTATCACTGCCAGGTGATTTTTCCAGTCTACAACCAATCAAAATCTTACGAGATACAGGTGCTTCACAGTCCTTACTACTTGAGGGTATACTTCCCTTATCTGAATCTACTGCTACTGGGAGCAACATCCTGTTACGAGGTGTAGAGCTTGGATGCATAGATGTACCTTTACATCTCATCAACCTAAAATCAGACTTAGTCTCAGGACCTGTGGTTGTGGGTGTCCGACCAACATTACCATTGGACGGCATCTCGTTGCTGCTAGGCAATGACTTAGCTGGTGGGAAGGTGATAGCCGAGCCCATCGTTACTCATGAACCTTGTTTAAATGAAAATCAGGAAGAAGATCAAGAATTGTATCCAGCATGTGCTGTGACAAGGGCCATGAGTTCCAAGATCTCCCCAAAAGAGATTTCACAAAAAGGCAATAAAATTCTTCCTGAAATTGACCTGGGAAAAACATTTTTTGCAAGTCTTAATGAAGAGGCTAGTGATTACAAGACTCCAACTCGAATGCAACTTATTGAAGAACAGAAGAGTGATCCAGAAATAGTCAAACTTCGAGAGAACGCTTTGACCCAAGAAGAATCTGAACAATTCCCTATATGTTATTACCTTCAAGATGACATACTTTTGAGAAAATGGCGACCTCCAGACGCAAATGCTGACGAAGAATGGAGGATAGTTCATCAAATAGTAGTTCCTACACCATTCCGGAACGAAGTCCTGAACTTAGCCCATGACTCACCACTTTCAGGGCATTTGGGAGTAAAGAAGACATATCACAAAATCACATCGCACTTCTTTTGGCCCAAAATCAAGAAAGATGTGGTTGAATACTGCAGATCATGTCATACTTGTCAGGTTGTAGGGAAACCAAATCAGAAGATACCAGCAGCTCCTCTTCAACCCATTCCAGCATTCGAAGAACCTTTCAGTCGCGTTATTATAGACTGCGTTGGACCTCTGCCAAAGACAAAATCAGGTCACCAATACTTGCTGACAATCATGTGTGCGTCAACAAGATTCCCAGAAGCTATTCCTCTTCGCAATATCAAGACTCCGAACATCGTCAAAGCCTTGACGAAGTTTTTTACATTGTTTGGTCTTCCGAAGTCTGTACAGTCTGACCAAGGAACCAACTTCAAGGCTGGAATATTCAAACAAGTGATGAACCAGTTGGGCATAGAACACTGCTTGTCGAGTGCATATCATCCTGAGTCACAGGGAGCACTTGAGCGATTCCATCAGACGTTGAAGAACATGATGAGAACCTACTGCCTAGAACAAGAGAAAGACTGGGATGAAGGCATCAACATGCTACTGTTCGCCGCAAGAGAAGCAGTTCAAGAATCACTTGGATTCAGCCCCTTCGAACTGGTGTTTGGCCACACGGTTCGCGGTCCCCTTAAACTTTTAAAAGACACGTGGATGTCATCGGCACCCACGGAAGGACTTCTTGACTATGTCCAAAAATTTAAAACTAAACTTTTTAATGCCGTTAATTTGGCTAAAACACATTTAAAAGATTCACAATCTAAAATGAAAGTTTGGTATGACAAAAAGTCAAAATTCAGACAGTTTGCTTCAGGGGACAAAGTGCTTGTGCTTTTGCCGATACCAGGGCAAGCACTACAAGCTAGATATTTTGGTCCTTATGTTGTTGAGTCCAAAATCAATGATTTGAATTACATTGTGTTAACACCAGATCGTAGAAGAAAGAAACAGTTATGTCACATTAACATGTTAAAAGAATATTTTGATAGAAAATGTGATGATCATTGTCCATCCTCAGAAACAAATGTTAACACAATCTCAACTGTAACTTCAGTACTTAAAGAAAATGTTACTGAAACCTTTGATAGTGTCCCAGAAAAAGTTGGTAATTATAAACTTAAAAATTCAGAAATATTGGCCAACTTTGATAAGAAACTAGGACATTTGTCATTGTCAGAGAAGGATGTTGTTAAGTCTGTTATTGCAGATTTTGTTTTACTCTTCCCTGATGTACCTAATAAAACCAACATTGCTGTACATGATGTTGACATTGGCAATGCAGTTCCGGTCAAGCAACACCCCTATAGGGTCAATCCGGAAAAACTTGAAATAATCCGGTCTGAAATAAAATACATGCTTGAAAATGATATAATTGAACCAAGCTCTAGTAACTGGAGTTCACCATGTATTTTAGTCCCAAAGCCTGACAAAAGTTACAGGTTTTGTACTGACTTCAGGAAAGTGAATGCATTCACAAAGACTGATTCCTTTCCGATTCCAAGGATAGACGATCTTATAGATCGAATAGGTGATGCCAAATATGTAACCAAGATAGACTTACTATCAGGTTATTGGCAGGTTCCTCTATCTGACAGAGCAAAAGAAATCTCTGCTTTTTGTACTCCAGATGGTTTATATCAATATAAAGTAATGCCGTTTGGAATGAAAAATGCCCCAGCTACATTCCAACGTCTTGTAAATAACATTATTGCTGACCAGGAAAATTGCAGCGCCTATATTGATGATGTAATTATTTACAGTCAAGATTTTTCAACTCATGTAAACCAATTAAGATCTCTGTTTAAAAAATTTTTGCAGGCAAATGTAACTGTAAATTTAAATAAATGTGAATTTTGTCATGCAACTGTGGAATATTTAGGTCACATAGTGGGTCAAGGTCATGTAAAGCCTGTTCAAGCTAAGATAAATGCTATTGTATCACTTCCACCACCCACTACTAGAAAACAGTTAATGAGATTTTTGGGAATGGCAGGTTATTATAGAAAATTTTGCAAAAATTTCTCAGTTATTGCTTCTCCTTTAAGTAATATGTTAAAGAAAAATGCAAAATTTCATTGGTCAGATGCTTGTCAGGAAGCATTCGAAAACATTAAAAATATACTTGCTAATGCTCCTGTTCTCATTGCACCAGACTTTAACAAACAGTTTAAATTAGCTGTAGATGCCAGTGATGTTGGCATTGGTGCAGTTCTTTTTCAAGAAGATGACCACAATGTAGATCATCCTGTCTCTTATTTCTCAAAGAAATTCAACTCACATCAGAAAAACTATTCCACTGTAGAAAAGGAATGTTTAGGTTTAATTCTTGCTCTCCAACAATTTGATTTTTATGTCAGTTGTTCTTTACATTCAGTACTTGTTTTTACTGATCACAATCCTTTAACATTTTTGAATAAGATGGTCTCCAAAAATCAAAGATTGTTAAGATGGAGCCTATTTTTACAAGAATATAATTTGGACATCAAACATATTAAAGGCAAAGACAATGTCATTGCAGATACTTTGTCCAGAAATTAATTTTCACTTATGTTATTGTTTATAAGCTGTTAAGAAGTTTTTTGTCTAATATTTTGAGAGTAAGAAATGTACTTTCTTCAATTTTAATGGAAAAAGAATTCCATTTTTGAACAATGAAATTTTTTTCTTTTAAGAGGGGAGGTGTTATAGAGAGCTTGTTTACATCATATTTCTCGTGCGTGCCCTCTGATTGACCCCGCATGAGACGCTGTGTTCACAAAGGGGTGTGGCTTAGGTCTTTGATGTATTTCTTGTTTACACCGCCAGCCACTGAAAATAATTAATCTGTTCCAAATAGTATTTGGTAGAATGATTGGGATTTTTCTCGAAATGTCTCAAAGGCAGGGCTTGGGCGTCGGTAGACCCACCTATATAAGGGATTGACAGGCACGGACGACGGACGGAGATTTCATATAGATTCTCTTAACATTACGAGGCGTGTTTTATTGTGTATTTGTGTGCTCCTACTTATATGTGTTTATTTCGCATTATTTATTGGCATCATTATTTCTAATTGTATTAACTGTGTACCAGTACGACATCTGCCATACTGTAAGTTGAAGATTGTAATTTTATTTTATTTTATTTTGTAATTATCTTAAGACATAATAAATCGTAATTAATTGTGACTAGAAACTGTTTTGGGTCGTATCCTTAATATTGTTGATTATATGGTATCGTCCTTTGTTAGGCACTGTTTACAACCAGCCAATTAAAATTAAAATAGGAGATTAATTTCTCCCAATACAAGTCAGTGCGTAACAACGATATAGCCGTTATGCTAGTGGCTGTGAATGGTTGCCAATGACAACGTGTTACACAGGGAAAATTCTGATCATTTATAATATGGACTTTACAGGGTTTTTAAAGCTCAAATTAAAACATTCCAGTTTAAATGTCTTCAAAATGCATTCTGAAACACAAAATATAAAATATTTTGATGTATATAGTGGTAATAATTAAATATTTCCTAAGTATCGGCAACTTTCGCCATTAAAAAAGGAGGCGTGGCCTACGCCATGTCGAAATTAGGCTGAGCCACCTCATGGTGATATGGGTCACTGGGAGAAGCGTAACGAATGTGGGACACGACCTACATCAATGAAACTTGGCACAGATATAGATCAATATCTAATGCTTATACAGATTTAATAAAAAAGGGCCTTATCTTATTATTTCACAAAAAATTTTGTATGCGAAGATGCCTTATATATACCAAAGATTTTGAAAATAAAGGTCGATTGAAAAAAGCAAAATAGCTGGCTAGAAATGTAGGCCAAGATGTCTTCCAAATTATAAGGCCGGAAACGGAACTCAAATATATGTCGAAATAACTAATTTAATAATAAATAGACACACACATCGAAAAATTAAAAACTCAGATTTTTCGGCGCCGACGCCCATTTCCGATACACAAAAAGTAGTAGTCTCCCTTGTTTCATCGAAGTATCTACTATTTGGATGTCATTTGTGGTAGTTTATTTTGGTTAAACTGAAGAAGTAAGTTTACAAACATAATAATAATAGTCCATTCAATTATCTTTCATTTGATACCAAATTTTGTCTCACAACAAACCCTTCAATAATTTTTAATTATTTTTTAATAAACCCAAACTCTAACTTCTCGGACCCGGGTCCGAATAGCTGCAGCCTTTACTGAATGGGTACTGACTGTCAATATTCCGAACTAATTGGGACCTGGGGTATTTTTGAAATCCAAAGTTTTCTAAAAATAGTACACTCCCATGGAAAGTATGCATTAACAAAATTATGCACATAATATACTTTATATTTATATAGGCATGGTGCATTATTGTACGGTGTATACCTACTGCCGATTTCAGCTGATTGATATCAAAGCCGATAAGGAATAGTTTTTAACTGTGTAAAGATGTCATTTCCAAAAATAGGCCTATATGACTGATGTTTATAAAAAAATCTGAGGTCACTTGATCTCTGCAAGTGTATTCTGCAATATACTATATTGTTACCAGTGCAGCTTGCACTTTATTCCCCCGAATTTAAGTCTTAAAATAAGTTTGCGTCCGAGAAGAGGCATGCAGCGAAATGGTAATATTTTTAAAAAATCATACCCGAGTGTGGCTTATAATCAGGACCAACCTATACTAGGAACAATATGTTCAATAAATTAACAAGTCTGAAGATCGCTTATCCCAGTCTACTGCATCTACAGTAGATACGGGGCCGGAATCATTTACAGGTGTTTGTCCACAAATTTTCTAAGCCATGCGCATTGCATACGATAAAAATAATAATTATAAAAGACAAGGGCAGTTCAAATACTGAAGTTTCTGATAAGGTGTGTGGAAATCAACACTTTACTGAACTGATAATTAGCTAGTTTGGGAGGGAGCACAATTTAGGGAGTTTGTTCCTAAAGGCATTTATACAAGGTTCGCCACTGTCAAGAAAAGGCTCATACAAGTTACCACACAGACCAGTTACCACACATACAAGTTAACTCTTAGAAGACAATTGAACCTACAGAAAACTTTGCTGAATGCTTTTTTTTAGTCATATGACTGTAACAACTCTAAAGTTTTGGGGGAAATTTATTTTATCCCTTTTAGTATATTACGGAAAGTCATATTTTTTAAAAAAGTATTTTTTAAATATTTCTTTATTTTCATCAAAACTTACATTTTTTTTCTTTCAGGTAAATGAATGGACACACAAAATAAGGAAAGAAGGCAATAACATAGAAAGACAAATTAGAGGTGATATAAATTTCAATCTGTTATACTTCCTATGATTTCTTACCCCATATGGCTTACACTTACTACATCTTCACAATTTTGATATTTTGCCATATGTTGAACTTTATAAAAGTAGCACAATAACTCAGGCATGTAAGTTGTGTAGCTTATTGTGTCAAAATAGTCATGGGCATTACTAAATCAAAATCAGCCATGATAAAGCTGGCTATTAATTAGTCTTGAACAATATTGAACAGGATTCTAGTAGATAAAAAAAAAATAAATAAAGGGCATAAGTTCATATAAATTGAAATTAGCAACTGTTTATAACCATGAAGGCTCACAAAGGTGACAAACCATCAATATAAGGTGACAAACGAACACAAGGATCCTTTATTTTGTTTTATTTGCCTGAGCATCAGACTCTGGTGAAAATATTGGCATCCGTCCGTTGGTGTGTTCAAGCTTGAAGCCATTCTTATGAAACTAGCAACCTGGGCAAGGAATTTTCTGGAAAATGTTTCCCAGGCTGCAGATTCCCCCTCTCTTGATGCTGTTTAGTCTATCATCTGTCAACATTAAAAACAAAATTGTAAAATGTTTTATTCATAATTCAATGAATTTAATAAAATTTAAGATGGGTTATATTTGTTTTACAATTATTTTATCCTCTTTATTAAATTACATTGTAACTTTGGCTAACTTTCACCTTGATTAGTATATTTTAATCTTTATTAAGTGCTATTTAAATATATATATATATATATATATATATATATATATATATACAGTGGAACCTCTCATAACGAGCACCTCTCATGAGTAATTCGCATAACGAGCAATAAAAATTGAAGAAGTTGCTCCTTAATGAGCGACAGTTCGCATAACGAGTTACGCAGAAAGGGGAAGTCCCTTTTTCCCGACATTCATTTGTGAGCCGGGACTTGGGAATGAGTTACCAAGAAGACCCTCACTTCTGCTTGGAAAAAACTTTGGCCAGAGAGTGTTGTTGAATGTGATTTTGAAACAGTAGCTGTGGAGTCTACAGTTAACAAGATTGTGTAATTGGCCAATATCATGGGACTTGAGGTGGACAACAACAATATTGAAGATCTTGTGAAAGAGCACAGTCAAGAGTTGACCACCGAAGAGCTTATGGAGTTGCATCGTGTTTCACAGCAAGAAATTATGGATGAGAGCTCATAATGGAGGAGGAAGTAGCAGAGCAACAATCTTCTAAGCGCAATAAGAGAAATGCTGAAAGCATGGGAAACTGATGCATCGTACATTGAGAAGCATCACCCTAATAAGGAGGTGGCTATTCGTGCTACAAATTTATTCAATGATAATGTTGTGACACATTTTCATCAAATTTTGAAGTGTCTGCAAAAACAAATGTCTTTAGACAGTTTTCTAGTTGAAAAGGATTAATTATTTGTCATAAACTCATATTTTTATTTGCGTTTTTTGTTTCAAATCTAAATTGTATTCCAAGTTGTTACACTCCTTAACAATTCATAAGTAATTTTACTTGAATAAAAGTAAAAGTTAATAAAAAATTTTGAAAAATTAGTATTTTTTCAGCATGGAACCCATTATCGTATTTTACATTGATTTGTATGGGAAAAATTGTTTCGTTTAACGAGTGTTTCGCTTAACAAGTAAGATTCTGGAACAAATTATGCTTGTTATGAGAGGTTCCACTGTATATGGTCATTAAAGTGATAAATCGTATTTTCATTCAATAATCTAAGTTATGTAAATTAAGCAACTCAATGCAATTTAAAACAAATTAAGTATGGTGGAACCTAGCTATTATATGAATTTGTATGTGAGATGATCGTGGTATCGTCTCAAAAATTTCATATGGTACTAAATTAATATGATTGCTTGGCATTTTAAGGTATTCAAAGAGAAGAAGAAAAAACAAAGCGAATGGTAAGAGAGTCTGCTAAAAAGGGGGACAAAGATTCCTGTAGGATTCTTGCAAGGGAAATTGTGAAAGCAGATAAACAGATCAGTAAATTATATGCATCAAAAGCACATTTGAACTCTGTACAGATGAGCATGAAGCACCAACTTGGTAAGTGGTGTTATTTTATTTCCTTACTAATAAGGCCAGTAATTTGCAGCCTGTATTCCAAGATGGAGTGATAAGTACCTCTTTGTGCTTCATGATAAAATGGTTGTTTTGTAAGTCTACTGTGTTGGATAGCGAGCAACCATCAACATGAATTCAGAGACGGTTGAAAATTTAAAAAATTTGATAGGGGATGCTGGGATCTACAAATGTTGGGTAATTCTTGCACTTCTCTTTTAAGTTTGATAACAGTACTGTATCTACTCGTTGATTAGCTGACTTTTTAAGAAAAAAATTATTTCAAAGAAATAAGGTGTTCGGCTTATGAGCGGGTCATAGGAAATTTGTATAAGTTTATTTAGGCACATTGAATCTATGTTAGAAAACAATGTAGAAAAAAGTAATTTATGGAAGTCAAAATAAAGGTGTATGCAAAGTTGGGTCACAAGTGCGACTACCGTGGTTTGAGAGTATCATAGTACCTACATTGAATAATGAAATTGTTATATTTAGAATGCAGAGGCCCTTTTTTTTGTTGAAATGTTAAAAATGGTTACCATTTAAACTGGTCAACACCACGAAGCAAGTGTATGTGCTATACATTATACTTTATCTTTATTACTTTTTAAATGTTTTTACTTACCCAATAATTATTTCTAAAAGTTTGGATTTCTAGAAACATTAATTTTTTTTCTTTACTACCTGGCATAATATTTTTGGGGGTTGGATTATGATTGGGTTATACTTATACACTTTTCAGGTTTTTCCCAGCTAAAACTAAATGAGGTAGGCTTACTTATGAACAGGTTTATACTGTATCTAACATATACAATCCCCCCCCCCCATTCCCTACATGTGTGTAATGGAAAGTGACAAACTTTGCATTCCTAAAAATTTGAACACAAGTGCATTTTGATACCTCACATGAGATGTTGGGTTGTATGTACATCTAAATTGGCCAGCATTTCATCTCTTCTATGCTAATTACATGGAATAATTAAGCAGACATAATTTAAAAAAAAGGATTGGCTCATTGTTGTTTTGATTTTTCACAATATGCATACAATAATACTAATTATAGCCATTTCAATACTATTCAGCTCTTGTTTACACGCCTGGCTGTTGGCAAAACTACCATCTCTAGGAAAAAACAAAGGAGCTTGGAAATCTTTTTAGTATCTTCATATTGAGTGACTAAGTCAGATAATTCCTTTTAGTCTGAACTTCAGTCAGAATTTGTTTGTCTGCCCAAGAGGCGGATGCTGAAAGTGAGCAAGAGGCAGGCTATAGAGAAAATAAATTTGTTTGAAAAAGTTAATGTTACCCTGACCTTTTCACAGTGATAATAAATATAAAACAACATAATATATGTAGTTTATCCAATCAGTTCATTGCAATTGTAAACCATGGCCCATAGAAGACAAGTTAATCTGTTACCCTGACCTTTTTACAGTGAGAATAAATATAAAAAAACAAAATATTTGTAGTTTATCCAATCAGTTGATTGCAATTTTTTTGTAAACCATGGCCCATGAAACAGTCAGATTTGAAAATGACTCTGCGTTCAGGAATGAAAAACCTCTGCTAATAATCCAGGGGAGGATATACATGTTTAAGTAATAAATGAATTATGTCTTTATGTGACAACTCAACATGCCAATTTAAAAAAATTAATATTTAAAAACATGCAGCTACTTTGAGGGTCGCAGGGGCATTGTCGAAGAGTACAGAGGTGATGCAGAGCATGCAGCAACTAATAAAAGTTCCAGAGATTCAAGCCACAATGAGAGAGATGTCAAAAGAAATGATGAAGGTACTTATATCTCCAATTTCTTCAATAAAGAGGCGTTTGCATTTGTGTAGGAATCATTACACTTGCTGTAGGCTGTAGGAATCATTACACAAGTGATTAATCTAAAACCCATCTTGACTTACATTTTTATATATTTATATCTGAACTGAAACAAACCCTCTGCTCACTAATTTATGCATTCTTCAGGCTGGCATTATTGAAGAGATGTTAGATGATGCCATGGAAAGTCTAGATGATGAAGATCTTGATGATGAGGCTGATGAGGAAGTTGACAAAGTATTATATGAGATAACTGCTGGTAAGAGAATAATTATTATATAGCTTAGTTGTAAAGGAAAAAGAAACAAAGACCCTTGCCTAAAGAAAAGCATCCTTCTAAAACTTTCTTTGCCCCCAGGCTAATTCACCAATGCGCCTTGTGATATATTCTTTCAGGGTGTCCACCAACTAAACTACCATACACTTGACTGCATAAGTTTACTCATATTCTTGTGATGGAAAAAAGCAAATTTAAAAAATAATCTTCTTTTGTTATAAAATTGCAAGAGTTAGAAATCTTGGCTTCCAGGCTCTTGATAATTTTATTATTGTCAAGTGAGCTTGACATGAAACTATCAAATTTTTTATTTTTTGAAAATAAATAAAAATGTGATATTGATGATCCCATGGTTAAAAATGATACTAAATCGGATGTAATATAAAGTAGTATTATGGTACTTGATGCCCACCAACAAAGTCATGGTGATTGCAGTAAGCTTATAAAAAATGTACCAGTGTTCATCTTCAGATATTATAATTTAATGTTTATTCTAGATACCGGTATAACCTTATTTTTTAATTTAGTCTTGAAAACTCAATTCTTTTTATTTTTTGTTCTTAGAAAAAGAAACAAAATCAGCACAATAACTTTCGTATATTTTTTCTCTGTACAGGTTTCTTTATGAACATTTCCAGTTATAACTATGTCCCTTTAATGAGACTGATAAGATTATTACAGCAAGAAAAGAAGATTGTTACAGCAAGAGTAGAAGATTATTTCAGCAAGAGTGGGTTAAGCTGGCATAGGTTGGACTTTCTGTAGGAAGAACAACAAAAAATAAAACAGCTTTGTAATTTACTAAAGCCTGAATAAGAAAATGATAACTCAAGTAATATTAATTTTTTCTTAGGTGAGCTTGGGAAAGCACCAGATGCTGTTGAAGATTCTCTGCCAGAAACAGAAGGTGCTAGAGCAGCTCCATCTAGAGCTGGTCCCTCAAAAGCTGGGGCATCACGGGTTGCTGCAGCCGCTGTTGCTCTGGAGGAGGATGATGATGAAGACATTGATGACATGAAGGCCAGATTAGAGGCACTGAGGAGTTGATAAATTTAACAATTCTACAAATTTGTGACTGGCGCTGAAGGCTCAAAGGGTTTACGTTTGGAAGTTTGTGATGTCACAATTGAAGAGAACTGAAAGGGTTTACAGTTGTAAAGTATATATAGTTATTGTTCATGATGGTCTCAGTTTTGCATAAGTTGAGGTAAATATAACTAAATGCTGTAATAAATAAGAATGTTTGCAGTATATTTCATTTCAGTTATATTTGTAGTTAAAAAGAAAATCTCATAGAATGTAAAACTTTCATTAGTTATAAGATATACCATATCAGCACAACAAACAAAAAGCTACAAAAATAATTTTTTTTATCCTATTTATTATTTTTTAAAAGTAAACCGCTATTCTCCCCTGTATGATGCATTTAGAGGATATCTATTTTTGTCGAAGTTTAATGCATAGTAAAGTATAGCACCCAGCTTTTTTAAATGGAGATTGGAATTATATATATATTACTTCACTGCATTGGTTATGTTAAGTTTTTTTTAGAAAAACCACATTAAAAGCTTGCATTTCATGATATTCTTTGAATGAAGTTGTAGGCCTATAGGAACTGCATGCTTTGACAATTAATTGATTTCTTTCTTTCTGGTGTGTCACATAATTTTATAAAATTTATTAGGAAACTGGCCTCAATGGTATATTTATAGAGAGTAATAATTTAAAATAGTGTTTAGGATGTCTGTGATAAGACTTGATAGTGAGGCATGCCAAATCTAAAACATAAGTTAATAATGATTAAACTACTACGTTTTAACTAATGTAAAAATAAGGGCTTCCTGAATTTATGTTGGTTTCTTCTTTTAATTATAAGAAAAAATTTAAGTCCCAAAGTACTTTTTCATTTTAACACATATACTACACTATATATGCTTTTCATCAAAATAAATTTTTGTCTTCAAGGTGCATTAGTGTATACATATCATTTTATGTATCTGTAAATAGTGTCCTTCAAAAGACCCTGAAATTATATAATTGGGCCGCCATGGAGAAGCTTATGTTATTCTCAACTTCTCCAATAAAGAATGAATAACTTCAAATGAACAAAAAAAAATAAGTTAAGAAAGAACTTTGAGCAATTGTTTCTATTAAAAAAATGTCTTTGTTTTTTTCACGAATGTATTTTCCCACTCACGTTTAAGTCAATAGCTTATCTTAGTAATTTGTCATTTAATAATGCCCATGACCTGACTTTTGATGGTTACTAAACCTTGTGCAGTATTAACACAATTATTTTTTCCGTTAATACCATCTTTGAAAGTTATATTGTCTCTATAAAATTGCCCATGTTCCAAAAAGATCTTAGACTTAGAGCATTTCAAACAGATTTGCTTAAAGTTATTTTATTAATAAATACTAGTACCGGTAACTAAAGCTACATATTAGATTTAAAACGTCTTTTCAAATACAAGATCTGATATTGCTAAAGAAAAATCAAATTCTTCAATACAATTATTTTAATTACTAACTATAGTAACAAAAAGTAGTATTTCAATCATAGATAAAATTAAAGTCAAAGTAAGTGTCACCTAACTGCACAATATTCTAAGCCAAAAATCCTATGTTTATCATCTTCACCAATGTCATAGTTCTTTAAAAGTTTATATTTTAAAAAAGAATTTGATACTTATGATGCATTTTTTGCAAAGTGAATCATTCCTAATTAATGTTTTTAATCATTCAAGGCCAGTAGTAAGAACATCAGTTATCATTTTCTCCTTTTTTCTCAAGCTAGGCAGTGGAGTCAGAGAAAACTATAAATACTTGGGATATGATTATTTATCCATTGGTTAAACATTTTTTAAAATTAAATTATCTTGTTTGGAAAGGGTGGACAATTGCAATATGTTGTAAGAAATTTTGTTTTCTAATTCAAATATGAAATGATTATTTTTTTCAAAACTATGTGAAAAATAGTATTAACAGTATTTTAAATTCATTTTGGGAACAAGATCATGTAGTAGTAATCTGAATATAATTTGATTGTGGCATGATTCCTGAAATTTTAAATTAATAATCATCAAAGAACATAAGCCAAGGGCTTGGCAGGGTTATTAGACTAGATCAGTTGCAGGTAAATAGTGTCGGCTTTATAAGCTGTAAAAATCTCCACACTATTAGCAGAGAATCAAGGCTTCTGTGAGACGGTGTTGAGGGCATCACAGTTGCATTGGTGGGGGCAAGTAGCATAAAAATATTCTAAGATTCAAGACCAGATTCAAGGGTAGGTAGACTCATGACAGCCCATAGTCATGTGCCCCTTGATCAACAACTTAGCCATTACCATTATGACAGATCATCAAGGTTTTTACACTCATCATATGCTCTCATCATGTGCTCTCATTGTGGGCTTCATCCTATGCTCTCATCATGTGCTCTCATCATGTACTGTCAGTGTGTGCTCTCATCATGTGTTCTCATTGTGTGCTTTCAATATGTGCTCTCAGCATTTGCACTCATGGTGTGCTCTCATCATGTGCTCTCAGGATGTATTTGCCATCATTTTTAAGTAATCTGTTGTATAATTTTTAAAATTATTTTATCTGAAATTTCATTATGATTAGAAATGTAACAAACAGTGTAGTAAAGAGTGAAATATAAATTCTTTATCCAAAATGTCTATTTATTATCAGTGAAGAATTTGACGAATTACGGCTGCGCTGAGCTGAGTTATTTCTAAGAATGCCTCAATTTATAAGTGTATATATAAAGTATATATTTATTGCGATAAAAATTGTTGCACCAATCTTTGAGCATTGTTTTTTTAATGTAATTTATTTCTTAGTAAACAATAAAAAAAAAAGTAATTATGCTTGTGTCATTTTTATTCAAGTTACTTTTCTTGCTTGAATTTAATAATTTCCATATAAACTATGAAACCAAATTGAATAATAAATTAAATGCATTAAGAATGAAGTAACAGATAAGGAATTGTGTGATAAAATTGTACACGCTGTTGAATAAATAATATAAATAGTTAAGTTTATCTGTGTGTCTGTTGGTTTCCTGTTGTCTAAATGTTGATGGGAACCCTTTCAATAAATCAATATGGCTGCATGCCATGTGCATAAAAAATATGTGTGCATTAAAGTGGATTATTGAAGTATTTTAAAATTAGTAATTTAAATTGAAATTGTTTTTTAATACTGAATCAAATACTTTTTTGTCGCTATTTGCTGCTTCTTTTTATTTTTTAAAGTTAAGTATTTAGCTGCTGAGTTTTGAAGAGAAGTAATATTAATAATTCAATGATGATTAAAGTTAAATTGATCATGTTTTTTTTAAATCAAAGGTCTATACAATGAACTAATTACATGACATAAATCAGTGCTACCACTTAATTGATGGGATACTGGAAACGTCCTGAAAAGAAATATAGAATTGTTATAATAAATTATTCAAATATAACGTCCTGAAAAGAAATATAGATATATTAATAAATTATTAAAATATAGAGTCAAAACAGATAGTTAAAAAAATGGTTCATGGTGAGTTTGTAAATAAATTATAGGCAATAAATGTTGAACAAATACTAATAATATTAACATTAACCTGTATGAGATGAAGAATTTAAAATATTCTGAAAATTAAAAAAAAAGCTGAAAGATAATTTTTAAAAATGTATTCCAAAAGAATAAGTTAGAGCAGCGGTTCTCAACCTGTGGGTCGCGACCCCTTTTCCAGGGGTCGCCTAAGACCATCTGAAAACACATATCTTACAGTTGTGAAGTAGCAACTACGAAAATAATTGTGTAGCTGGGGGTCGCTACGACACGAGAAACTGTATTATAGGGTCGCGGCACTAGGAAGGTTGAGAACCACTGAGTTAGAGGTTCATACATTTAAAGTAATGATAACCAACAAATATGTAATCAAAGCTGTGTTAATTATAAATAATACCATTACTATAATATGAAATTTAATAGTTGCCTATTTTAAAAAATATATGGCCTGAAAGAGAACAAAATTAAATTTTTAAAAATTAATGATTGAAAAAGAAAAATTTGAAAAGTATTAAAAAAGGAATCAAGTCAAAATGAAAATCAATAAATAGTTCTTACATTAATATATTTAAATAATTTTCTAAATAAATGATAACATTAAAAGAAAAGATGCGAGTCTGAAAAATAAAAATTGGAAAAGTATTAATCAAGACAAAATCAAATTAAAAAAAAGAATTTAAAAATCAATGTTTCCTAAAACTATTAGTTTAGAATTTCTTCTTCTTCTTCTATATCTTAAGGGCCCACGATCAATTTATTGATCATTTTGGCTCCTATGCATGTAGATGGGATTTGCAATGTTTCTGTTCCTGGTGTTGATGAGGAAATTTCACAGATTTCCAGTGCCACTTTGTGAGGGAATCATGCACTGGGGGTTTGAAGGCTTGAGGCAATAGACACAAATGTGTCTATTGTTGTCGCCTCAACCGTTCCTTTTGAAAGATTGTTCCAGTCCCTGATTGTCTTGGGCAGGAATGAGCAGCTCCTATACTGGCTTCTTGCTGGTATGAGCCTGAATTGCCTGTCATGGCCTCGTCGCTGTCTATGGGGGAGAGGTACGAGTTTCTGTTTAATACTGGAACAGTGGACCAGCCCATTATTTATCTTGTACATCATGGAGAGCCTGGATTGTCGTCGTCGTTTCTCCAATGGTGACCAGCCTAGTGTTTCTAGCATGCTGCCAACACTTGAGGTATTCCTGTAGCGGTTTAGGACAAAGCGTGCTGCTCGTCGCTGGACCGCCTCCAACCTGTCAATGCTCTTCTGGGTAAATGGGTCCCAGACTGAAGATGCATAATCTAAAATCGGACGGATAAAGGCTTTATATGCTCTTTCTTTCACACAGGAGTTGCCAATCTTTAGATTTCGCCTTAAGAACCCTAGGGTCTTGTTTGCTTGGTTACATACATTGTTAATATGTTCATCCCATCGGACCTCTCTTTGAATGGTAACACCCAGGTACTTTACGGAGGAAACTTGCTCAAGAATATGGCCGTGCAGTTTGTATTGGTAGTGTAGAGGAGTACAACTTCTAGAGATTGATAGTGTCTGGCACTTGGCAGGGTGAAATTCCATGTCCCAGCTCATCTCCCACTCAGCTAACAGATTGAGATCCTGTTGTAGCTGGTCCTGGTCAGATCTGTTGGCGATCGTCCTATACACTGCTGTGTCATCTGCAAACAGTCTTGCCTGTGATGTCAGTTTCTCCGGTAGGTCATTAATGTATGCTAGGAACAAACAGGGGCCCAGGACTGATCCCTGGGGGACCCCTGACTTCACATTGACAAAGGAGGAGCTTGTACCGCCCACCACTACTGCTTGGCGTCGGTGGCTGAGGAAGCTAGAGATCCATGTTTTAGTGGTGCCTTGAATCCCATATATCTGGAGTTTGTGTAGAAGCAAACTATGATTCACCCGGTCAAATGCTTTTGCGAAGTCCATTACTAGCACGTCAGTCTGCTTGTGGTTCTCCAGATTGGTCATCAAGTCTTCTACAAATTCGAATTTATTAATTTATTAGACTAAACTTAAAGTTAACTTAAAGTGTTAAAGCCAAAGCTTTAATCATTTAATCTATAATAACTTTAAGACTTTAAGAACATATTAAATGGTTTGACTTTGACATTTTTAAGTACATTTTGAGACACCTTTGAACATGCTTATTAGTGTATTTTTATTGCACTTATTTGTTTGTTAATAAAAAAATTGTCAAATTAAATTTGATAAAAATCGAATCTTCTGCTTTTGTTTGTACATTTGTTTCATAATTCAATAGTCATTTTGTCGTCAAGTTTTTTTAGTAACCAAAGCATGGTTGACAACGTTGACGTGTTGCTCTGTGGTTCTGCCAGGTGAAATTTGAAAGTAAAGAGGCTTTTTTATGAATGATGCAAGATCAACTTCAACTTTAAAATCCGAATAAAACTCGCAACCAGGCAATAATAATGAGATAATGTGTTTTGCATTTTGAAATGAAGAGTAAAGCTTTAAGTTTAAGAACTGCCAAGTTCATAGTCATAGGAATGGAGACGTGAGGAGAAAAGAGGCCAGAATGCTTTTTCTCCACTTTACTGAATTATTCTAGAAACAAGAATTTCAAATATAACAATATAACATTGTAAAATGCTTAAGTTATTATCAGTTACGCCAACGTTCAATGATTTACTGAGACACAACTGTGAATTAGTTAGCCTTTGCCTCGCCTGAATAAAGTGGTAAGTTGAATTTAATTTTAGTTCTAGGAACTTTGACAACCACAAGACAATGTTTACAATTTAACATGGTTAGCTAATATTATACTAATATAGTATAGGCTATAACTAGATACTTTGGTCAAAAATGTAAACATTTTTTTTTAAATAAACCAATGGCACAGTTGAATAGAGCTAATTTTAAACAGAATTATAACACCAAAATCATATTTTTAGCTGTTGTAGTTTTAAAGTTATGAATTTTTAAAGTACGACTTGGTTTGTCATTTTTTAACATGGACTGCATCTCCACATTCTGTGACCTCATTCCACTGATCGCGTCATGCGCAATGACTCTATAGTTTATATAAGTAGGTACTTTGACACAAATTTTAAATATAGTCCTATTGCTATGAATGATACATCATTTTAAAGGACTAGCTATAAGCTTTACAACAACACCAATTTCATCTTTCTATCTTTTATAGAAGTGGAGTTATGATTTTTTTTGGTGATTTTTTAAAACCCCCTTCTTTATCTTAGTATTTAACTTAGGGATAACAATACTTGTTCACGCACCGTTCTGCGCATGTCCTAAAATGTCGAAAAAATGTGTTCTACAATATGGCGTACGGCTACACGGTATCTTTGGAAAATTGCATACTACGTACCCTTTGTTTATTAAATAATGCTTTCCTCATCAGTGACGTATCAGTTTTTGTGTTCCGGTGATATATTGATTTATGCCACTAGATTTTTTGTGTATCCCGGACAGTATTATAATAATGACTTGGTTAGTATATAAATCGCATTTAATACTTTTTTACTAGTTAAGCAACCAAAATAAGGTTTAGTGATACCCAATCTACTTTCATTTTAAGAGTTTTTTCATTGTTTGAGTTATTATCTTGACTTTGTCTATAAAAAGTTATGCATCCCACGAAGGAGTGGGGGTACAAAATTGTCATTTTTTTATTTTGATCAAGAAGCCGGAAATGGCTGCTATCACTGTGATTCGTTAATGTTAAATCCTTAAACAGCTAAATAATGATAAGACGTTTAAAATGAATAATTTTAAGAAAAGATTATAACCAAAGTTTAATTATGTAGTAACCAAGGGTTGGTTTTAAGTTTTATTTATTACGTTAAAAATTGTGTACGGTACCGGTAGACAGTTTATCGTTCTTCGTCATAATTATTGAATCAATATTTAAATTTAATAGTGTTACAATAGTAATGTCAATAATAATAATCGTTTTTCTCTTAATAATTATTTCAGAGAATATTACTAAAATTAGGCCCATATATCAGTTATAATTATAAACAACTGTTATTATAATCCTGCCTAAGCTTAATTTTTCATAATCATAATTCTATTACTAGTACTACGACAATCAAGAACCACACTTACTAATAATATATTTTTTAGTTAAGCCTATATATAACAGTTTTATTAAAATACATCAAATTAATAAACAAGAATCAAACAACATCATCGTTGTAATTATATTTTTATTAGAACATAGAAAAGCAGTACATAGACAATTATTTAATATATCAAATAACATTTTTTAATAAATTAGTCTCATCATCATAGATGATTTTGAGTAATTTTTATTTATAATTACATGCGTTCCAATTTATATATATAAAAAAAGACTACTTACCTTTTTATAAATATAATAATTGATTTAAAATGTAAAACAAGCATAATAAAATTAGTTAAAATTCAATAAACATGTTATTTTTTCGTTTTTTCCTGTATAAATGATGATTTTCCCAATTTTTCTGTTCACTTTTTTCTGAACATACCCACAAATAAATATTTAAAAAAATAAAAGTCTTGATGTTATGTAAAAGTTTTGTTGTTTATTGGGTTGTATATTGCATTGAGAATGTCTCCTGAAAATTTGGTAGCATTATCTTTTAAAATCCAAAAGTTTTGGGCAAAATAAGGCAGAAATTTGGAAAGTGGGTCACACGTTTTTTCAGTTTTAAGTTTAAGGTAGATACTTTGATACAAAAATTAAACTTTAAAAAAAAATAAACCAATGGCATAGTTGAATAGAGCTAATTTTTAAAAGAATTATAACACCAAAATCATTTTTAGCTGTTGTAGTTTTAAAGTTATGAATTTTTAAAGTACGACTTAATTTGTCCTTTATTAACATGGACCGCATCTCTATTTTCTGGTACCCAATTCCGCTTTTCGCGTCACGAGATATATAACTCTTGTTTTCATGATGATTTTATTTTCAGAACTAATGCTGTATTAAAAAAATAAGTTTAATAATGTTAACAATTATAGATAAATTGTAGCTTATCTAACTATGCACTATTTATATCAGTAAATTTAATATAATGTATTAATATATGGCTTTTCTGTTTACCAAATCTACGACGTCCATTATACCGATATTTGCTATATAGTCTATATAAGGCAACTCATGCCCTAATTACGAAAATACTGTTTGGGAACTATTGAACTTTCAACTTTGGTACATGACTAATTAATTAAAGCTTTCGCTGACCTAGTTTAATAGTTTTTGCACACTGCAAACTTTTATGATTGAAATCTCTGAGATAGTAGTAAATAATAGCCATTATGCAAGTCACTGTGAATGGCCGCCATGACATTTTGCACACTGCGAATTTTGATCATGTATATTATGGGCTCTACCAGGTTTTTTAACCTCAAATTAAAATATTATTCTTTCAATAACATTTAAATTCATTCTAAAACATAAGTTATCAAATATTTTGATGTAAATAGTGGAAATAATTAAATATTTCCTAAGTAACGGCATCTTCCGCCACTGAAAGTGGGGCGTGGCCACTTCCTTATCGAAATTGGGCTGAGCTACATTACCATATAGGGGTTCACTCAAGTGAGCATAACAAGTGACCGACATGTCCTAACTCATTGAGAATTGACACAAATACACATCGATAGATAATACAGAATAAGACTTTTTTAAAGACATAAAAGTTGAACTTCTATACGAATTTTATAGTGAAAGATGCCTTATATTTAAAGGGGAATCTCAAAATACAGGTCGATTTGAAAAATTAAAAAAATCAATGTAAATGTAGGCCAACATGTGTACCTAATTATAAGGCCGGAAACGGAACTCAAATATATGTTGAAAGCCCTCATTTAATAATAAATAGACAGACACATCGGAAAATTAAAAACTCAGATTTTTCGGCGCCGATTGCCATTTCCGATACACAAAAAGTAGTAGCCTCCCTTGGTTTACCGAAGTATCTACTCTAAGGCAAGGCTGAAAACAAATATATTTTCTAAAGCCTAAACTGAATAAAACTCTAAAACTTTACAAGTAAGTACGAGAAAAATGAGAAAGTATGAGAAATATAATAGTAAAAATACGACACTCAAAACAGTTCTAATTACAATTAATAAGATTTATTTAGATATTAATATAATTACAAAACAAAAGAAATATAATTGCAAATCATCAACTTACAGAGTATGGGAAAATCTTGTACCGGTACACAATTAGTACAATGTGCCAATTAATAAACACATATGAGTACACAAAGAATAATACACCTCATGAAGTTAAAAATATCTATCAATCTATCTGAATCTCTGTGAATCTCTGAAACCCCTTATTTATATAGTGGGTCTATCGACGCGTCCAGAAACGCCTTTACTTTTCTAATACAATCGCAAACATTCCACAAAATACTATTGAGAACAGATTAATTATTTTTAGTTGCAGTAAACACGGTAAGTTGAAAGGAACTAGGTCACGCTCATCTATGAACGTAACGTCTGCTAGGAATCTAATTTGAGGTCAAGCAAAGTTCACGACACGGGGAAAATGTCCTACATAGCAAAGTCATTAAAAAATTATTCAATATGTATCCTAAAAGTACAAACATAGCATATTTAGGGCAATAGTTTTGTAGGAATTATTGCTTTGTATTTTCACAAATGAACTTGCTAGATACACTCAGGTATTCAGTAGTAGAGGTATCACAGTAATATTTAGTCCACTGTGTTCAACGTGCTTGTGACATATATTTTGTTGGACTACGCCAAGGGGTCTAAAATTTTAGTTTCCTGGCACCTATGCCTAATTTATATGTTCACCAGGCTCCTTGTGTTGAATTCTAACAAGTTCTCTGCGAAATGGCACATAAATATACAAAGTAAATAAAGAGTAAGGTAAAAATAAATATAACACATATGTAGGTCACTAAAGTGTCATCTAGTAGCTGCAAACAATAGTTACTCAAGTGGGAAACTGTTTGCACCATGACCGAAAGATGTCACACAGGATTAAAAGTGGAAATAAAATAATGAAAATTTTGTAATATCGCTGTGAGAAAGCCGCAGCAACCATATAGAACCCACAGCAACCCCCACCCCCCTCCTTCCATATTTTTACCAACCTTTATCTTTGTGAAGCAAATGGGATTTTATCATTTAATTCCCTATTAAGGTAATTTCTAAAGACGATTTTGGTGCCTGTTGCTCTTCACCCCATTTCTCATGGCCCTGCCCGTGCTGTATGATGTAATTTTATGACAATTATTTCTTACGGCTGAACCGTGGCTGGCGAGTGCAGAAATGGAGAAAACTAGAGAATGCATTATTAACTATTTCACTCAGCAATGTTAGATTTCGACATATTTTATGGGATCTGAGGAGGCCTTTTAGATCACGCTAAACAGATGTATGATTTTTAACACCCCCTCTTTCTTTCACCCATTTACAACTTGTGGTAGTTATCAGACTGTAATATGTTAATGGGAAATAGGCATAATGGATATTGATTCTTATTCATTTTAAAAAATACAAAATATCTTTCTAAAAAATTATGTCAGGTTACCTTGTAGGTTGTTTTTAAAAATTACGCCCTAATTTTTTAATTAATTCTTATCTTAATAAATTTTATTTTATGCTGATCTGACTTCGAACCACGTTAAGTTTCACCAGTAACTTTATTTTTACCAGTGACAGACTGTGATAATGTGATCTGCATATTCAACTAATTATTAATTATTTCTATAGCTGATACATGCCTGCAAACCAAAGTGATCACAGATTGAAATATTAATGTCGGTCATCTACTTTTAGAAGTTACCTTTTTTGACGTCAGCTTAACACAATTCCACTAGACATGCAATGCGAGGAGTTAAAATACAGTCTATATAATGTATACAATATTTATTTACTATTTACGTACGGTACTGTGTTGTATGATTTTGAGACGATATTGTAAGATTTTTGGAGTTTGTGGGTAAACAGGTCTGTAAAATGTTGGAATGTCAGTCAAGATGTCCCCTATTGTTAATATGTGGAAGGATAACAATTTAATGACAAAATAGTCCTTTCATTAATGAAAAAGCTAATGTCCAAAAATTAAAACTCTGATTCTTCTGCAACAACTCCCATTCCACACACAAATTTTGAAGTAACCTCCCTTGTTTTACAGAAGTCCCTGTTACAGTTTACTATTACAGTTTAGTCTTTACTTTATTCTGCATTTTATTTTTCTAAATATGAAAAGTTGGTAGCAGTGAATTTACTTGTGTAGTAGAGTGGTGGTTTAGGGTTGACTTAGGTGACAACGCCAAACACTGTTGTAGTGTGGTGTGTAGGTGACCCTGCTCGCAGCGCCAAAAACTGTAGCCGAGTGGATGACGTTTAGCTTACAGTTTTATAAATAAGATCAAAATCAAAATGAAACAATCAGGTCTTGAGGACTATAGCTTTTTAATTAATGCTCTCCTATGATGAAAACAAGAAAAAGGACACTATGAACTATGGAGAAGAAGCCTATGAAGAAAAAGGACAATATCTGAAAATAAACAAATAGTACAGGTCAACAATGTCCTGACTAACATAGCTAAAAATAAACATGTTACATAACCACGTAATTACAGGTGGCGACAACATATACTTAATTAGAAAGCATGATAAATGATACGTACGTAGTATTGTTTTATACACATGGCAAAGATAATTATCTTGTACTACGAATGTTTTAACTATAAAAGAAACCACGTGCAGTGTTTAATTTGAAACACGTGCACAGTGTTAATGCTACACACAGAACCAGAGTGCGATGTGAGGGCTAACGTAAACTTTAAAGATCTTGAAGTTATAATAGTATGCCATCCAGGTATGGTGTCTATGTAAGAGGCACACATAGCGGGACAGTAAATACAATGGTATTAAGTATGACCACCGTTGGCTTGATACTTGTATCTGTCCATCGCTGTGTCTTGTTAAGACAACAGCAGATTGCAGAATGAATCATAATTATATTATATGGGATGTGATCCTCACACATGCACTATTTCCTATGTGAGAATTTAGCACACGGCAGGAAAGTTAGCCTATTACACATATTTGACGGACACTCGCTGGTTGTATACTGTTGTATCAATAGCTTATTTTATAAGCGCATTGCAGTATGTGTACCCAGAACGATATGCAGTTGTTTGTTACGCTCACAAACCCTGGTCACTGGTATCTAATTTATTAATCCTATTAAAGAATTTATTTAACGGTTGTATGTTAACCTTTAAAATAGCCTGAGCATAAGTCTACACGCTGTAGGTTATTCTACACTATATCCTGGCTATAAGTCTGAACAGAAATCTTCTAATGCTAACACTCAACAAGTTCCTACTAACCACAAAGAAATAAAAATGGCGTAATTGCCTCTACTTACAGAGCGTTCCAATGGGCCGCACTGAACAAAGGCACACTGCAGGTATGCTGACCAACGCTCGAAATGACCCCTAATTCGTGTGCTCCCCTTTATAAAGCCGTGCGCGGACATATGAGAGGGCCCCAACGTCACACCTAAACCGAGTCGGTCTACGTTTTGCCTTCTGGCCAGTTTCCTGGGATAAAATGCCTAACTCTGGGGACTAATCCCGAGTAATAATTAAAATCTCTGACCAAAGCCCTAACGACTTATATGTGATCTGTGCAGTTTTATCTCAGCTATCTAAGATACTATTTTATATTTTTATTAGTTAAATAGTTCTTGAGATATTTTAACTAGAAGGGGTGGGGACCACTATAAATGAAGGCGAAAACTCCTTTAATGACTAAATATTAAAATATCCTCCAACGATGGAAACTTGTAAATATGCTAAGGTATAGTGAATAAAATCCCCTTTCTAACTAGATATAATTTATAACTTAATACGCTAGGGTTCCCGAGAAATAAATTATTGATTTTCTAACTAAAGCGCACATCGTGGTATTCTATTATTTCCCCCCCCTATGGGCAGGAGAAGCCGGCCGTATAGAGACCGCCGGGTGGGGTGAAAGGGATACCTGAGTTCAACATTCCGATCCAGTGCTAGGCGAGGTCACACCGCGCGACCTCGCGTTGGGCGCCAAACATGGTTGTACTAATAACGGTTGTCTCAAAATAACGGGCTAACGGGGCATACACTGCCACACTTGCAATCTAAATCTTGGGCAGATAACCTGTTCGAATATCCTACTTACTGTTCAGTCATATGAGCACCATTCAAATCATTAGGCCTGATCTGTATTATTATAATTAATCATCACTGAGTCTGATACTGATATGGTCATAAGCAGGGTTGTCAGGTCAAAATTTTGAAAAGGGCCAAACTGAAACCGAAAAAGGGGCCAAATGTTTAAAATTCTATATATATGGTAAATTTTCAGAAATTTTGATATATGCATGGCATTGAAAATTTGTGTAAAACACTTGATAACATTTGTGATCATATCGCACCATCCAGGTAAAATCTAGATCACTGTAAATGCAGTAACCAGGCTAGGATAATTAATATATATATATATATATATCACAGAATGAACGACTGTAAATACAAAGTTACCCCGAATTTTATTAAAATTGTTGAAACAACTGACACCTATACACTGTGTGGTACAATAAAGCATATTAAATTTATTAGGTTATATATTGTATTCTTTGCACTAACTTCTTAATACAACCTTTCCTTGGGATTTTCGCTTATCCTAAACACCCTCTTTAACAATATGTTCAAAAAAATAAAGGCTGTACCTTATGTTTATAAATATATATATATATATATATAATATACATATATCTAGAGAGAAAGAGAGAGGGAGAAGCAGTTTGTGCATTTTTTTTTTTATTTAACATATATCAAAATAATTTCTTAAAATATACATTTATTTAGTTCAAAGTCTCCTTATCCAGATATGAATCTCATTCTTTCCAAGTTAAAAATAAGGAAAACTGGTTTGCAAGTTTAACGGGATTGATGGCGGAATTTGATCTAATATCTTTGGAAACCTCAAGGTACCAAATTTGGTCAAGGCACCCCCTTAAGGTTGCGGCATCGCACATTCTAACTTAGGTGCATGAACATATTGTGTTGCATTTGTTTGTGTTCAATTGTCATTGTGTTCAATTTTCTATGTGTGCACTTGTCCAAGTTTTCACTTGTCATGTGATCAGTTGTCAGTGTTCACTTGTCATTCATTTAGGTGTGCAATCACCATTTAAAATTATACTGAAATTTTTCATACATAATATTAATGGTAAAAAATGAGAGAGACTTTAGGCGTTTAATTTATTAAATTGTTTCCTTTCTTTTAAAATCCAGTATCATTTCAGGATACAAAATATTTACTGAATTTGTTTTATCCATTCACGAATATTATTAAAGAAAAGATGGTAAATTTATGTTTACGGATAATTAATATCATGTTACTATTAATTCTACCCAGCCAGCCTCTCTCATTCTCATGAGATCCTAGGCTTGCTTGTCAGTCCTAAAATAAGCTCTCACTTTTGTCATACTTTTGTCATGGGTTGTGACAGACGGGGTTTCACTACGTTAAACATCCCCAAAGGATGTGTTATCCTGACAATGAAACAAAGCTAACTCTGAATGTTTAATATAAATTTTAAAAAAATTCTGGATTTAAAATGATAATTTGAATTTAATACTTTTTTCAGTTGCATTTTGGAGGAATTGCTACAAGAAAGTGTGAGGACTACTTATTCAAGTAGGCCTATGTGTAAACATTTCAAAGAGAGTAAAATATCACTTTAGAAATGAGCATCATTTGCAAAAGTGTTAAAGTTGCCCACATTTTAGGGGTTGTTTTAATTTCAAGCTTATGCTTTTATAATTTGAGTGTAAAAAGTGCAGCGGCAGAAGATGGTGCTTTAACTCTGGTTCAGGATTCAAATTCAAATAATAATGATGAAGGTATGTATAATCAACAAAATTATTTCTATTTGTGTATACTTTGCACTTTAAATATGTTGTTTGCAATGAGATACTTATTACTTTTATAAATATATTGTAACCTCACCTTTGACTGTAGTTTTTTTGTTTATTTTTTCTATTTTGTTACTTTTAAGGGAATAAACTTATTTAGTTTCAGGTTACGTTTTAATAAACTTGATTTTTTTTTTTTAAAGATGATGGTGTGATCACCATTGAAGACAGTGATGGTCAAGAAAGGGATGAAAATATTGAAATTTTTGAACCAACAAGTGAATGGAAAACTGTTAAAAAAGGTAAATGATCATTGAGTTTCCTCTGTGACATCAGATTTTAAAAGTCTAATGAAAAACATTGGAAGTTATTTTTGTTATTGAATTCTTAGTTTATTAGAGATCCATTATATTATTTATAGTTAGCAGTGCTTTATCTAATATTTGCTTGCAATTGAACACATTTACCTTCAGATCAACTTGCTAGTATGTTGGATAAATCAGAATTTTAAAAAGCAAACATTCTAGTGCAATCAAACAAATAATGTTTTAGTACCCCATAGGCTATGAGAACCAAGGACAGCAGGAAAGAAAAATGTGTGATAAAAATAAAGTTTATTCCTACTAACAAAGTTAATTATGCAAAAATTATTCCAGCTATTATATGCAATTTTTTTGCTATTCATGAACAAATCATAAAAAAAATATTTTTTTTTTATTGTATAAAGGAAGAGTACTTATTGTTTAATAGACATGAAAAAAGACACAAAGCCTTTCTATTTAGGCATGAAAATGTACATGTTTTAGCAAAAAAAGCTGTTTTGATCATGAATAGAAGATTAAAGAAATTTAGAAAACTAATTTAGACAATGCTGGTGGGGATATAACTAGAACATTCGGAGGTGGTTTGATAGTCTACTAAGTCACTCGTGTATTATTGGAATAGCATTTGTACTTTTTATTGTAATGTATTTCTGGTTGCTTAATAAGTAACAGTCGACACATTAACTCTTTAAAATGTCAGTGGTAATCTTAGTGGCTTCTATGTAATAAACTAAATAGTATGTATGATAACATTTATAATTAAAGGAAATGAAGGATATATGCCTTAAGCAATTGTAATTCAATTGATCGATTTATCTAGGTCAGAAAATACCACCTGGTCTTCATGTAAGAATGGATCTGCAAACTGGAGAAAAGCAGGCTAAATTGATGGAAGTGGAAGGCACTCAAAATAAAATGGAACAATGGGATGCTGGAGAAAATATTGGTAAACGTTTAATCATGCTATCTGTAATTATTTGGCTGTTTGTTTGTCTTTGTTAACAGACATAACAGTTTGAGGTGCAGTGGATAGAAATGGGACCTAGAAATTCAATCTTTTTCTTAATCTGCTCTGAAATTATTTTCTGAGGTTTGTTGATCTATAAATTACTACAATAATACTGTGTAAACATTGATCACATAATCAGAAGTTAAACAATTATTATTTACTGCTTCTCTGTGATTAATATCTACTTTTGCCCGTATCCACAAAAATGTGACTTCAAATTTTATATTAATGCACCTCACTTAAATGCAATAAAAAGATCATCATAACTCTCAAAAGGTGGTAGAATTTTTCATGTTTTTTTATGATCTTAAATAAACATTATTTTTCATAGTGTCTCATGACTGCAGTTTTGTAGCCACCTACAAGTATTATATAACATGTTAAAGAAAATTGAATTCTCTTCAAACTACTCTGCTCACCTCTGGTCCTAATAAAACTTTGTCTCCTATTTCTGAAGAAGAAAAAAAAAACAATTTATAAATTGATTTTAGTTTTTTTTTTTTTAAACATTGAAATTATGTAATAAGTGATTTTTTTTTTTTTTTTAAAGCAAATTTGTTTTTGAATAAAGCAAACCAAAGCATAACATCGCCCTTTACAAGGAACAGAAACAAATTCAAATTATGGATTTTATTTTTTTGTTTTTTAAAAATTAAAATTATTTAATAAATGATTTTTTTTTTTTTTTTAAAGCAAATTTGTTTTTGAATAAAGCAAACCAAAGCATAACATCGCCCTTTACAAGGAACAGAAACAAATTCAAATTATGGCAGTAAAATTGATATTTTATTTGCATGTGTTCAATACTACAACTCATGTTTAAATTTCAAGTGAATACAGAATAGACTCATAAATAAAAAGTTATTTTTAGACAAAATATCATTCAAGGAAATATTGCCTAAAAAATTCTATGATATTTAAAAAATTGTATTCTTATATTTTAAAAGAGAAACACATACTATATCGAACTAATTACTTAAAATATTATCACTAAGCTTTATTTAAGATTAAAAACTATGTAAAAAAGCAATTTTTAAGTATTTTTTTCTTTTTACATCATCAAGATACTGCCAGGTGATCTAGTCCTTCACTGAGATGTTTTATGAAGTTTTTGAAAACCATTTCTTTCTATATTAAAAATTAAATTTGTTTCACAAACAACACATCTGACATAGTCTTTAGCCTCTTTTCCCTTGTTTTGGTAAACAATCTACAATTTTTTCATTTAGTGTTATACTCAGTTTGCAGCCCATGACATGAACATGTCTGGCTTAACAGCAACTGGTACATCATCAAAGATGTTATATGTTCCCAAAATAGTTAATCAATTGATACATTTTTCTTTCATGAGGACACAGTTTTTTGCATTGAGATAATATATAGAGAATCCCAACTTGCACAGCTTGCCTCTTGTTTTTAGTGTCTGAAACTTTCAGGAAACTCAACATGGTCTTGAATCTGTCCCTAATCATAAAGACCCTGCACATAGTCCATTATAAAAAGATTTCCTGGAATACAGTCATGTAACATTAGGAGCTTAAAAAAGTCCTAAGAAGTTCACTTAGTTCAGCGGTTCTCAACCTGTGGGTCGCGACACCTTTGGGGGTTGAACTACCCTTTCACATGGGTCGCCTAAGACCATGGGAAAACACACATAATCTACAGTTATGAAGTAGCAATGAAAATAATTTTGTGGTTGGGGGTCGCCTCAACATGAGCAACTGTATTAAAGGGTCACAGCTTTAGAAAGATTGAGAACCACTGACTTGGTTGATCAAAATTCCTCTTCATTGATGTTATACTAATATTTGAAAACAGAAAGTTTCTTTGGCCCATTGTCCTGTGCATGTTAGCGTATGAACAATAGCATGCAACCAAATCTGTAGTGAAAAAAAAGTTTTAAAAGTCTTATTGGTTTTAGAAATCTCCTTATAGCCTCTCTTGTTTTCTCCTTATAGCCTCTCTTGTTTTAAAACCAGGAAGCTGTATGTTTGATCTTAATGGCAGAAATCCATTTGAAGCCCAGGATCATTTTCAGCATACATAATTAGCCTCCATAGAGTCTGTCAAATATTTTTTAAAAATATTTATAAGTTAAGCTCGAAATTACAAGCTATATAAAAAAAGAAAATATTCTACCTAAAGTACTTTTAAATTTTATATTGAAAGACTAAGGAACACAGCTACTGTTTACAACAAAAATAGCCTTGGATATGGCATTTAACAACTTCACAAATAGTCTCTGATACAGCATTGTTTACATTGACATTGGATTAACTGAAACAATAATTTAAAAGACTATAAATTAAAAAATACAACTTAGTTTAAATTTTAAAAAAAAATCTTTGATTCCTTTAAAAAAAAAACTTTTTATGATATTTTTAATACTGTAGCTTGAAATGAAGCTAGTGATCATAATAGGGCCTAGGTCTAATGAGAATGAAAAATATAAAAATAAATCTTCCTGTATTTTGCTGTTGATAAATGATGATAATTTTCAGTATTCTCTGTATCAGACTCTTCTGAAGTGCTATCTTCATCAGAAATATCTTCTTAAGAAGAACTTATTATTTCAAGCTTATAATCAGAATTGCACCATAGTGTGACTCATAGCTACATGTTCGACACATTTTCTTTTGTTCTCTATTCATTTAAGTATTGTTGGGTGGTGTGTTAAACATGCTATGGGTTATTGTTTTGTGTGCTTCTGGTCTAATAACCAGCGTTAGAATATGATGGCTGATTTTGACGATAGAGAAATACTTAATATGTCTTGTGTTTAATGTTGTTTTGATTAGAATATTTACTTGTTTATTTGATGAAATTGATAATGTACAATGTAATCCAATTACATTTCCATTTATTTAGATCAATTAAAGAATCTTATCTATAGTTTCGCTTTTTTTAAATATACAATTTATATATATTTTAGGGGAGTTTTTTAAACTGTCAGATATGACTCATATTTTCAATCTCTTATCTTTGAGAGTTAACTTGATGTTGAAAAGAATTAGATGCTGAATGAATAGAAATAGAAGTAATCTGAAGAGTCAAATATTCCTATGCTTCTTATTACTTTATTAACTGTTCATTATATTCTTGGCTCGTAGGCTCGCTGTTCTATTTTACATTTTTAGGACTCATTCAATCTTCTACATTTGCATTACAAACATCACGAACATAATAATTCCCAGTGCTAGTGTCTATGTAATGATTCTTAACAGTGTTGTTATATATATTTCATTTATTTGTAGGTATCATCAATACTGAAAAAAAGCGCTACACAAGAGACGAGTTGAAAGCTGCTCTGAAGGAATTTAAATATAAGGATGAGACCCCTGTCAGTAAGGTAAATATACATGTAATCTGTTTTGAGTTTTTCAAATATGGGTTCTTTAGTATAAAATTACTAATGATCAAGTGACTCAAATCAGAAAGGAAGGTATACAAATTTTCTCATAATTTTAACATTTATTAAGTTCAGTTATTTTATATTTCTTCTTTTGATCTACTATTTCCAATAGGAACAGAAAGATGAGATCAAGAACAACTTTCGGAGCTATGATGAGCTCAAGAAAGCCATGCAAGACATGAATATGGCTGTCAAAACGGAAGGGGAAATTGTGACAGAACTCACAGCAAAGTTAAAAGGGCCCTATGATGATGTAGAAAGCCTCAAATCATTGCTTGTTGACATTGAATACTACTTGCATCAGGTAATAACTGAGCTATTTTGTTACTTTTCCTTAAAACCTTAAATTTCTTTGTGGTCAGTTTGGATTGTGAGTGAAGATATTCCGACTTAGATTCCAAAACAAAACAACTGACAGAATCATCAAAGTTATGTTCCATTCCTTTCGGCCATGGTTTATGTTTGTAAATAAGATGTTTAATTAGTATTACTGTAAGCACCCATTGTAAAAACTTATAAATACTCAATAAGAATATTTAGATTTATTTTGTCAGGAGAATGTGATGTGGGTGATTTCAAATTTTTTGAAATTCGAGGGTAGTAAAAAGCTTATTATGTTTTGTATTTTCATGTGAATATTGTTCTATTAGAGATAATCAAAATTTTAAAGCATGCCATGCAACCTTCTTTCACACGTGCCACACCCTAGACCTTTACAAGAATTCTGTGGCAATCATGTACAAGTATTAGAGTGCAGAGTGGATACATGTAATTAACTTTAGCCAGGATATCTTTTATTATAAATAACTATATTCTGTTGACATTCATTAAGGCTTCTAATGCTAAAAGGTAAAAGACTACACTGTATTTCTCTATAATAACTGTCGGTATTGGACAAATTTCTGTTGCCCCATTTTTTGACAGCTTGGTAATAGACTACTGGGTAACCAGTATTGCTTTTGTATCAACCCAGTTTTACCATATTTATGTGCATACATATGCTCAGTGCTTTTCCTCATCTTGGAAGGATTTTGGGCAGCACACCTAGCATTACCTCAGGGCACACCAGTACTGTCACACCCATGTGCTATGGCACACCATTTGCAGAGCTCAGCTTTAAGTGATGTAAAGTAATTCTGCTTTATATAGCTTTAAACTGAATATACTTTAAAATAATTAAAGTTTTACATTTATTTAAACTATAAATAGATTGACAATGCTAAATTGTTTGCTGACCTTGGAGGTCTTGAGACTATGTTGAAACTGATGAACAACTCCAATGATGATATCAGGGAATCTGTGACACATGCCATTGCTGCTGGATTGCAAAGGTAACTACAAACATTTAAAATCATTGATTGTCATTGAATCATACCTAGCATTCCACATCATTCAACCATAAACTGTTAGGTGATATATTGTTAAAATATTTACTTTTCCCCAGCAATGCCAAAGTTCAAGTGTCAGCACTTGATATTGGTGTGATGCAGCAGCTGGTTAGAATGTTGTCTGTTGATCCTTCACAACAAGTGCGCAAGAAGGCTTTATTTGCTCTTTCAACTCTCGTTCGTCAGTTTCCATTTGCACAGAAGAAATTTCTACAGCTTGGTGGTCTTTCAGCTCTAGCCAACATGTTCATTAAATCAGAAGAGGAGAGTTTGAAGATCAAGATCATAACATTGTTGACAGATTTATTGTTAGAATATGTGAGCAGTTTTATTTTACTTAGTTGTATTGGGAAAATTTTATTTATGCTTCGTAATATTGTATTTACAATTCTTAAAAAATTTAAAAAATCAAATGATTTTTTTATTTCACAGATTTTTTATTCATTTATGTACAATTAATTTTTTTAACCACAGGATTTTAACCAAAAGCAGAGTACTTCATCTGACCCAATACAAGTCGAGAGATCAATTCAGTACAAAGAGTAAGTTAATTCTTATTAAAGTTATATTCCTGCCAAAAAAAATCAAATGATAAAATGGAATTCTATTTAGGAGAACAATTTTTATGTTAATCAAGAACAGCATATCCAAACACTTTTAAATTATAAATAAATTAATGAAAATTTAAACAAATTCATTAACCCTAATGCATTTAAATTAACAATCTTAAGTAACTTTTTATTAGAAAATACTTTTCAACTTCCTGTCCTGAGTGTGCAATATGAGAATACAAATAATCATAATATTTTTAAGTTCAGAAAATTAATTTCAAAGATTTCCTAGCATGTTTGATATGTTAGCCACCATCCTTGTAAATGAGAGCAATAAGTCTTCAAAGGGTTATTAAGATTAGTGTAAGCAAGCAAATATGGTAGATCATTTCTAATTGATGTTTCTAATGAACTCTCATAATATATAACTCTAATTGAAGCTAGACTCACCGTAGGACATTTAAGTATTTAAAATCAATATTTTCTGTTATGATTATGGTGTATATTATTCGGAAAAAGAAAAAGTGCTTCACTTTTTAATATGGAAAATATAAAATGGAATATGCATACAAATCCCTATTTAAATTATTTTTTTTTTGTATCATAAATTTTACAAGTGCAAAATTTATATTATTTGCAGGTAGTTTTATCCAGATTTATAATTTAGAAATATAAATGAGAGGCAGCAATAATAGTACAAATTTTTCCTTGTTTCAGTATCCAATTAAGAGAAAACATGTCAACTTCAGGATGGTGCACTCTCATGGCCTCACTCCTGCACTCCCCTTCAGGTCATGACAGTGTTGAGAAAGTCCTTCATGCCATGTCAGCTTTGATCACCACATGTAAAGATGAGTTCACACCCACCAGGCCAAAACTTCAAGCTCTTCTCACTGAATATCAACATTTAGCACAAGAAGAGGTCAAAGATGGCCATGATGATTTTTACTCTTCCATTTATTCAACTCTTAGAAATTTGGTCAATGAAATTCATAGAGATGATTTGTGACTTAATTATCTGCTGTTTTTATCCTAACTATCCACATAGCCTACACTAATAAAAATCCACATAGCCTACACTAGTAAATAACCCTGTTAGCCGCCACCCCCTAAGCCCATCACACAGGAAAGTAAGTGTGTGCATACAAATATGAAAAGCAATGATGTAATGGGTTATTAACTTTATCTTTTCAAAATATAAATAAAATGAACGCAACAGAATTTTTAAAAATGTTTTAATTTGATCATAATACTATGTGAGCTGCTAAAGGCACACTGCCAAATTGAAAAAAAATACTTAATAGCTGATTTTACACTAGAATCTTTAAATATTATTTCAATTAACTGTCAGTGAAATTCCAGTTCATTTGTAACTAATAACTCATTAAATGTCTTGAATCAGAGCTTCTTTCTTTGGTTTTATGCTAAAGGTTTTGTAAACTAGTGTCAAGACACAAATCAAACAATAAACATCTGCTTATATTAATTTCTGATATGGATTAAACATTCAGAGAGGAAACAGAATCATTAGAATGTGTGCACAACAAAGGGGAGATTATTACAGGTTGTAACTGTGTTATAGATCAATAAAATTCTGGATAAAATTTGGACTGTGGTCAACTTTTACATAATACAATTATAATTCAGTTGTCAGTGGTAGGAAGAATTTGTTAAAAAACTTTTTATAGACATTAATTGTTAAAAATTAAAATCCTCCAATGTCATACCATTATATGGATCACTATTTTCCAATCAATTCTTTTAAAACATTGTTTGTATTTTTGTATTTAATATGTTAAGTAAAAAAAAATAAAAAATTTTGCAAAACTCAATAAAAATAATGTTATCTTATTGAAGATAGGTTTTTGTATCTAAATTAGAGGCTTGTTTAATACTAATTTGGTTTTTGTATCTAAATTAGAGGCTTGTTTAATACTAATTTGCATTTTTTTTTACACATCTATGACATGCCAAATGTTAAAAGCTCCAATTAATTTCCATTAAAAAAATCCTTCTCCCATTCATTATTAAATATCACTTGGAAGTTATAGTCTCAAATCTTGTTAGGACTAAATATGATTTTGATAACTGTCACATTTGAATTTGACTGTCAATTTTTAGGATAAACAAAATTTACTTTATGTTTTTTTTTCCCTTAAATTATTTTTTAACAAAAGTTCTATATTATATTTTAATTATGATAAATCATTCTTTAAGTGTTTATTTTTAAAATTAATTTGAATAAGAGAAGAAACAAAATTTCAACTAAAAAAAACCCATGTTTTTTTACAGTTAAACAATTTACCTATCGTTATTGTTTTTCTGCATTCATAATCTTTTTCTTTAACCGTCTTCTTTTCCTTTCAATTATATTGCATTTATTTATTTATACTTGCTTGGTTGGAAAGTTTTATTGCATTTATTTTTTAAACGATGATAAGGGGGGAGTTAAATTAATATTTAAAAAAATTTCTACACTCAACCATATCTAAGCAATTAAATACTTTATCATGTCTGATTTTATCTGGTTATATTCCAAACACCTCACTAATGTATCATCTTAAATCACAATGTCAAAGGCCTGAAAAGCATTATATATTTTTTTATTTTTGACAATTTTCTTAGAATATTGTTTAAAAAAATATAAAAAAATATATGATTTTAATGGTTGTTTTTTGTGTTCACAATAGTTGAAAAAGGCTTTGAGGCAATGGCTGGACTAAAAAGTTTTTACAGTTAAAGTACATTTTCTCATCAATTTTGATAATATCAAAGTCTGTGGAATATTCATCTTCTTAAACTTAAAAGATGCAATCATTATTTTGAATTAAAATCTCCTGTATATTGTTTTATTCACTTTAGACTCTCTATGTATTCTCTTAAAAGAAAGATTGTCAAATGCTTGTATTTACCCTAAGTATTTAAAATCTGATCATATTCTTGCTTGGCAAATACTTTATTATCTAGTTTAACCTTTACCATATGTTTCATAGCAGGAAAGATAACATATTTTTATGTTTTGTCTTAATACAGCAACTTTCCTATCATGATTGAAAATAGGAAATCTCTTTTAGTGTTCCCTTCAAAAGCGGAAACTGTTCTAAATCATTAGCAGCAGCATTGAAAATTATCATCGTTTATTTGCTTTCTTTATGTGCATACACACTATAAAAAAAAGTGATTGCAACCATTTAGTTCCTATTTACGTGCTATTCAATGGGGATTTTCAATGTAATTTTTAAAAAATTTTGATATCAGGTCAGACTAAGTTCTTTTTTAAGCCTCATAACTGGACACTTGATAAAAATCAAAGGGACACACAAAACTGACACACACGTTTTCTACCAGCTTAAATAACTATTCACTGTGATTGGATTAACAAAATCACAAAGGGATTACTAATACAAAGAAAGCATCAAATGATGTAATGAAAATTGTTTTATTGTAGTAACTAATTATAATACCAAGCCAGACAGTGTGTTGGGGTTGGGTGGATATATGTTAATACATACCACTCAGACATCTTAAAATATTTAATTTAAAAAGTTTCACTTTAAGAACATAGGCCTGGACAGTGTAATTCCATTTTATTCACAAATTAATCAATTGATCACTACATTCAACAAAGTTTATGCCCAAATAAATTGTATTTTTCTAAGCTCTTTGCCATGAGATTTTGACCTCCATATTCCTGACTCAAAATATGCATATTCCTTACATCTTTACAATTTTCCATAAAGAAAGAGTAAATATATTTTTTAATTCTTTTTTTTTTAAATATTCTTTTTTTTTAATTTGGAACTTGAAACTCTAAAAACAAATTAATTTACCATGTTCATTGTTCAAGTTATTTTTCCATCTGCTCATTTCCTTTTTTTTTCAATTTCTATTTTGGAGTGTGAGTTAATGGGTCAAATTGTTTGAAATTGTTTGTATGCTTCACTGTTACTGCTGTAGTGGATTTAATTTATTCAGTGTTATTTACACTTGTATTTACAATTTGTTTAATAAAGTTAACTTTAAAATATAAGTATTTTTGTCTTAATTTGTTTTTTACAATATCATCAAATGTATAATCATATCATATCACAGATGAGAGACCAAAAGATCATAATGGTTATTTGATTACTTGTTTTGCTACTTGAAAATTCATTTGAACTCATACCACAATAGTTTCTACAGGCAGCCTCTATATGCTAAAGCAATGATTTCCAAAATAATCAGCAGCAACATTCACAAAACTCTTGATATCACTTTCGTAGAAGTTGAATAGGCATTTCAATTCTGACTTTAGCAACAAGTTTAGACTGAAATTGATCTGTGTATTTAAAAAAATTAACAGTCTTTGCTCAATAAAAAAAGGCAGACTGCCCTTGACAGGACATTGAAAGGATGCCAGATTGTGGAGCCACAAAAGTGATATACAGGCAGAAGCCTAGGGGCAGACAGCTCATCGTCATCCAAGACTGAGATGGATGTGATGGATCGACGATGCAGAGAAGGATTTACTCATGGAGGTGGACAGCCATGGATCGATTGGAATGGAAGGATGTGGTGGAGCAGGCCAGGGCCCTACATTGGCTGTAGCACCACTGATGATGATGATATAAGTCTTTGCTCTGGATAAATTATAATTGAAGATAATGCGTAATATGTCACCTACAACAAGTTGTTCCCTGGCACCTCTAAGGAATATCCCGCAGGGTATCACCTGAACAGCTGGTGCAAAGATGTTAATGTTCATATATATATTTTTAAATCTTACATTTTTTTTTTAAATGAACAATTTATTAATCAAATTGAATTTTATGAGCAATGGATATGTTTCTAATTAAGCCAAGAAGGTTTGGTGAAGATAATATTTGGGATGAACAGTTAGAAGTTGCAATGTGGTAAACTTCAATAATCAATTGTTTAAGTCGATTTGATAGGGGTTGTCATTTCTAAGACTGGAAAATGTCACATCGAATTACGTAATGTTACGCAATGTTACTATTTTACACATTGTTTTCGTAAAACATATCTTCAAACTGTATTTCCGCATATATATATAGCAGTAATAAAATTTGTAGAATGCTTCACTGAATGTTTAAAATAAATAAAGAAGTCTTCAAGAATGAAGACATTTGAATTCTCAAGAGATAAGTTACTGGGTTGAATGAATTATTGTTAAAAACAATCATTGACACACATTTGCCAAAATCTTGATATGCTACTGTGGAAAAAACACTACAACCCAGATTTGAGAAAGATGTTATCAATGCCCCTGTGACAGAAAACACTATTAATCGTATTAAAGACATGTCCCATATCATTAAACTGAAAATGGAGGATATCTTTCAAGATGATAATAAGTTACTTTCATTGCTATTAAACAAATCCACAGATGTCAGTGACAGTGCAGTTACTGTTTTGTATGTTTTATTCATATGGACAGCATCAGAGAATCTTCAACGCTTGCACACATTATCTTCAAGTACCATAATCATTAATGATCACATAAATCTTGGAAATGTATGTTTTAACAAAGAAAAAGTGGATATTAAAAATAAAAATGAAAGGTTTTAATGAAATATGTTGTGTCACCATAGATTTTGCTATTACACTTCATGCTTGTGTCAATATGTTCAAATAGATTTAGTTCAAACCCTCCCCCCACTCCCCACTTTTTTCCCCCTTGATACTGGTAAAAGTAAAACTGATTTACTGTATAACAAAAATGATCAACTGGTCTTAACAGTTTGTAGCCAATATGAAAAGTTTGCACTGCCCTGAAGCCTTATGAAACACTTAATCAAATATCTGATATGTTTTTCTGTTTAAAGGCATGTTGCTACATCAAAACTTACGATATATATTCAGCTCTCAGGCAAGCAGCTTTCATTTAGCTGAAGATTTAGCAGACACACCTTGATGGTCATGATTTAGAACAATGTTTACACCATAAAAGCTCACATTTAATAAACCAAGGTCATAAAATGTTTTAAAAATGTAAAAGGGGGGTATATTATCACTCTTAAAACAAGGGCAATATGAGCTTGACAATGAAAAATGTATACCTAAAATCTAATGTCATGATACCAATTTTTAACAAAAATTTTTATTGTGACTCAAAATAAAAGGCTAGGAGTGAATATAATTAAATGGCCTATGTGCTCTTGGAGTTTGATAGCTTGTGAAGTCCATTAAGTTTAGTCCTAGATCAAGTGCCAGGTAAAGGTGTCCATAGTCCATAGCAAGAGAATAAACAGGGCTGTTGCACTTGTTACTGTAGTACACCTGCGATATAGTGGTGAGACAAATTTAAATGCACACCAAGGAACTGATTATATTGTATTAAGTGTTCAAAGTATGGTTCTATTGTATCTCATATTTATCATCAGTACTGCATGGTACAAAAGATGGTTTCAGAAAACTTCAGACTAATAAGGCAGCACATCAGCCTACATTCCGGCCTTCTCAGGTCTATAAATAGGATCCACTTCAGCCCACAGATTAAATTTTTTATATCATTTTATCAATTTAAGTTTTTTTTAAAAATCCTCTTACAAATCAAAGTAAATAAGTAAAATTTTTTTAATTAAATGCCTTAATAATAACCTGCAAAGGCTCCATTTTTCGCTTATCCCATAATCGCACCATGCCATGTCTAGCTGTCCCAACAGCCAGGGTATTGTTGTCTGTTTCAATACAGTAAAGTGCAGAATCATAAGGCTCTTCCCACTGGTTGACACTAGCAAGAAATGTAACTTACCTTAAGGCTTGTTTTTCACAAATTTAAAGATATTCAAAAATGAAGCTGATATTTTAAAAAGCCCATTAAAGTAACCAAACGAAAGTTTAAAAAAAAAAAATTAGCTAGCCAAAAAACAGTTGTACTGTAATACTGATTTCAGATGTTTTCTTTGAAGGTCAACAATAGGTAAAATTCACCTTTAACCAAAATAAATACAAAAACCATTTTCCACATTAGTTTCTCCCAGGTTGAATTGTTTTGATATTATTTTTTAAAGATAAGTATTCCTCAAAGATATATTATAATTGGTTAAAATTAAAAATAATAACTTGATTTTATTTAGGACTTTTGTTGGCTAGTTCCAATAGTCCTTATTGTAAAAATTGTAACATAAAACTTTACAAAATTAACCTGACACTAACAACGTAAGCTACTAACCATTTTTGAATACGTAAATCCCACAATCTCATAAAGGTATCATAACCGCAAGTGAGTAATTCATGTGGAGATTCAAACTTGAGATCATAGACTCCTGCACCACGCCGGTGATTAACACTTAAGTGGCCAAGACAATGAGAGCTGTGAACAGAGGCATATAATTTTACATTAGTAATTGTTAAGAACACTAATTATCCTTAAATACTATTTTTAACAATAAAAATTAATATATTCATCTGAATTAAAGAAATCTATAAAGTGAACCTTTCTAAATCCCAAAGAACAACTGGCGGATCATCCAGGCAACCTGCTAACCCAGCTGCAAAGAAGCTGCAAAAAAAAATAAAAAATTAAAGAATAACGCAAACAAGAAAAGATACTTAAATTTAATGACAAGTATAATAAAAAAACTCAAGTAAAACTAACCAATAGAAATTTTTATGTAAATTTAAAAAAAATTTTTTTAAATATTTATCTAAGGACTTATGATAACAAATGTTAAGAGTATAAATTAACTCAAACCTTTGACATGGAGATATGCTGAGACACCAAACTCTCTCTCCTGCATCATAAGTGCGCAACACTACATCATCATTTGAAGAGGAATCTAGTTGCAAAATCTAGAGAAATTTAAACAAGAAAAGTGAAAAATAATAAAAAAACTTCAAAGGCAAAGTATATATTATAAGAATTATGACTTTGATAATAGTTATTATTGCTGCACTTACCTTACATGTACCATCTCTGGATCCTGAAATAACAACATTATCGGTGAAATCTACACACTGTGTATCACTGTTGTGAACGTGCTTATAGTGGAAAAGTTGGTTTCCAGAAGTATCCCAAGAGTAGATGCTGCCATCTCTGTAAATGTTCAAAAATTCTTAAGTTGTTAATTTGTTAAAGTTGCTTTATCTAAAATATTTTGTCAGTGGCTTTGCATTTTATTTACAAAGTTTCTTGGTCAATTCAGTAAATATTATAGTGCAGGAGTCTAATTTTTTATTTTTAAAAATCCTCTATAATTATTCTTACCTACATCCACTGATAACTAAATTGTTTTTCACAGAAAATCTGGTAACATCCCCTTTCATGCCTAACAGACATCTGGCTTTCTGTTCATGAATATTACCAGAAGGATGGTATGTAAAGTTACATATTTTGCTGCCATATGAAAACCACAAACTGTCATCTGTTTTCTGAATCCATGGGATCAACCTTAAAACAATGATGGCAATAACTTGGTTATATTGTGCCTTGTTAATTCTGTTTAATGCTTTACTCTAATTTTAGTATTTCGACACCTAGCTAGGTTACTCTGCAACATAATTGGAAGCTGTAGATAAGGTGACCTTGGCCGGAGGAGGAGCCTCTTGAATGGTGGGGCATGAAGTGTTTAAGCTCAGTGCTTCCAAGATTACAAAAAACTGGTTTCTGCTACACTAGGTGATGGTGATACTGGGTGGGATCTGATTTGCAGTCCTCTTACCCCTTGCATGAGGGACTGCAATTCAAATGACCTGACCAGTAGACCTTTAAACGTTTTTGCACAAGCTTAATAAATGAGATATAAATTTAAATGAAGAAAAAGGGAAGAGAGTGAGAGTAACAGGCTTTTAAAATATTTATTTTTTTCTTTAAAAGTGAAATATTTAAACTTGAATGTAAGAAAATTCCAAATGATAGATTACATGTAATAAAAATTTTTAATACTTACTTATCTCTATAATGTGATTTAACAGCAAATACCTCTCTATATTTTCCCAGGTGCCAGTTAGTTGCTACTCGATAAAACTCTTTAACAGAAGGGTATTGCCTTTAAATAAAATTTTAAATTCTTAAAAAATAGATATTAACTTTTTATTAATACAGGTAATTATTATGAATTCTAACGCTAAAAAAATTAACATAACTATAAAAAATGTTATAAAATAATTCACTGTTACAATTAAACTTTAAGAACTCATTTCTCAAACATCAACAGACAAGGTTATTTTTAAAAAAATATTTAAAAAATTTAGATAAATAAAATAACTTGAAGTTGAAATATAATCTGAAAAAATAATTATAATGCAATTTTATAATAGCAATAGTATTTTACTGATTAAAATGCTTTAAAATATCAAATTTCGTGGACTGCCGATTCAGGAAGTGAAGTGTCCTTTTTTAAGAATTTATGAAATGTGGATAGATTATGTGGTAAAGAGGTTAAGTGTTAAGTTCACTCAATAATTAACGATAAATTTCTTAATCTATATGTATAGATACAAGCAAAGAACAAATTTTAACAAATAATAAATGTGAAAATGTATTCAATTTACCATTTAAAAGAAGACTTTTCGATATTAATTGGCACCTTCCTTGCATGATGAAGCCATACTGAATCTTTTGAGGCTAAAATAAAAAACCTCTGGCATACAGAGCATAACCTGCACAAGTCAATGGGCCTTAAATTTTTAAAAATGAGGAACAACACATCATCTGGCAATGCTATTACATTCACTATATGTCTTTTTGGCTCAAATTCCTTATGATGCAGCAAAGAATTAGAATGAGTAGACTGTACTCCAAATGTAAATTTTTTAACAGGACTGAATTTTCTTGCCACACATTGTTCCTTCTCCAAATTATGTTCATCAGCACAATTCAAAGAACTGTAGCTACTAACTTTACTATTCTGTTTCATGGTGGAGACTGATTTACACATCATTTCATTTGAAGCCTGAAATGAGAAGTCATGATGAGCACTAATTTCCCTGCTTTCACATTGAGCAGAGTGATCCTCGGGATGACTTTGTGTTTCTTCAGGTGACGTTTTTAAAATTTTAATGTTTTTGAAATGAGTTTTCGCCACTAACACTTTTTCAGTTTCAGCCTTTTCTTGTGTTTGGGTTTTGCTTAAATCCTTTTCTGAATTAGGTTTTTCTGCACTCATTGCTTGTACTTGTATTTTTTATTTAGTTTTTGCCCTGATAGATAAATAAAGTTAAAATAAAATTCATAATCTTTCTTTGGAAATTGTAAATCAATTTTTAAGACAGTGTGATGTGTGAGTGTGAGCACTAGTCAAATCATGAATCATGGTAAGTTTAACTCTATTATTATATTATATTATATTATTTTAATAAAGCAGCCCCAGCAAGTAATTTTTTAGTAATCAAGTAGCAAGTTGTGTATGTTGAAGTTTTAAACTTAATTAACTTAATTTAAAAGTATTTAAAGTCTAAAGTAAAGTAATTTTACTAATGTTTACTAATAATTTAGTAATAAGTTAATAAGTACTATCTACTAAACCAACTAAACTAATAATACAAATTCAAAAAATAAGTCTGGTCTTTAACTTTAAGTGAATTATTTATTTAAGTTTCTAAAGACTAAAGTTACTCTAAAGTTCTAGGCTTACAACTTTGAGTTGAAAGTTTGTACTTTTCTCTATATAATATATATATTATTTGATATAATTTTATATCCTTACTCATTTCGTTTAGATATGTAAATGTCTGTAGTGTTTTTATAAATAGAAATAGTCTTGTTGATTTCACAACAAGAACTCTTCCATAACCAAGAATTTTGAAGAATAACATTATTAAAAATCATTAAACTTAATTTTAAAAGAGTTGTAAAAATTATTTCATTTTCCAAAATCATATCGAAATTTTTATTGAGAGACTAAATAATTCTGCTACAATTCAAGCTATGCAATATTGTCCAAATATAGATTATTTAAATCATATAGTATAAAACAAACTTTAAAAGAATAACCAGTGGGATTGATTTCAATTTCACATAACCAAGTACTAAGTTGCCACTAGATTGAGTACATCTGTGCAAGTCATTGTAGCTTCCGGTAAAATTATAAAGCAAGTTTTGATTTGGATTACCTGAATCAGTCACTGCTCAATATATTTTTTCATTGCAGCAATGGTGAGTAATTTTACATTATTATTAGCTTTTTGCCTCACTCGCGCATTTTAGCCTTTAAAATTAAATACCAATTAAAGAGTAGTTGGTAACTAGTATTTTGATTATTTTATTGTTGTCAATAATATATTAAAATAATTAAAATACCTTTACTTTTCTTTTCATTTTCTTTTTTAATTTTAATGATTTAATGTCATGCATAATAATTAATAATAATAAGGCAATATAAATATAATAATACTAACTAAATAATAAATAGTATCACAGTGCTTAGGGTGAGACAACTCTTGGCAAAACCCATACAGCTAAAACAAAATTTACCCACACTGCTAACCCCAACTTTTTGACTGGTCCATTTAAAGACAGTCTGCATTTTTCTGCAATATTAGTATATTAATTAGTGTATAAGCTGTTATTATGTTATATATAGTTAATAAACAGTCGACCCTCCCTTATCGCGGTTAATCAGTTCCAGACTCTACCATGATAGGTGAATTTCCGCAAAGTAGGAGTCTTTAATGTCTTTATTTATTAATCCAATATTTCGTAGTTAGAGTTAGTTAGAGTTAGAACATAGGAAACCTGATTACGACCTAAATAAGTTTTTCAACATTATTAGAGATCCTAGACATGAAATAACTGACCATGCAATATCATCTGACGAAGTGGTTATGCGCAGCCGACTGCGTATAACCCTGAGAGTTATACGCAGTCGGCAAGTCACGTGACGTCTATATTCTTCCTGTGTTACACTATCGATCAATAAGGGGCCTTGCTATCGGGGTGACTGTGTGGTCGAATGGTCTAAACTGACCAAACCTCAAGTTGATGGTCTGGAGTTCAATTCCAGCCAACCGCAAGCCATGAATACGCATTAGTTGCTATGCTTTTTCTCGAGAATGAAGCAACAACTAGGCTTATTGTTTTACTTTTTTTTTGGCTAAAAAATGTTAAAACATGAGAAGAATTATTAACTTGACCAATGTAATGTTTATAATGTTATACTTATAATTATCAAATATATGTTTGAATGTTTGTGTTGCTAACTAATTTTGTGGCAGATAAAATCATGTTTCACTGGTACAGTAATAAAAATAATCATGGGTTGAGAGTAGCAGTAAAAAAATCGCTGTAGAGGCAGAGGGTTCTGTAGAGGGAGCACTGTAAGTAATACTTTCACACAGTTATAGTTTTGCATGGAACCTGAAAACTGTTACATTTAGGTCATCAAAAAAAAAATCATAAATGATAAAATTTAAAAAAAGATAAATAGAATGTATTTCCTGAATTAGTCAGTAAAACCAACCACATGGTCATAGCAACATATAAAAACCTAATCAATCAAAATACAGAACTAGACTTAGACCATGGAAATGCCTTTAAAAAAAAATCTAAGACTTAGGCTTAGACTCTAAGAAAAGTAGACTTTGACTTATACTTATAATTATAATATATAAGATACAAGCAATAATACTAATAATAGCACTAATACTAATAGTATTGCTATCATCAATTTCAATATTAATTAAAATTAATTCAATTAAAATTTTACGTTAAACACATTAAAAGTTCTAGTTCAAAACAACCCATCATGCAGCTCATTACGCATAATACTTTTTTTTAAAATTGCCTGTCAAGCGATAATAAACCTTATTTGGCTAGATTCCTAGCCGACTGCGTATAACCCTGAGAGTTATACGCAGTCGGCTGTGAATAACCCTCAGGGTTATAACCCTCAGGGTTATGCGCAGTCGACTGCGTATAACTCTCAGGGTTATACGCAGCCGACTGCGTATAACGCTTCCCATCATCTGATCTTCATAGTTTCCTCAAGATTTCTGTTGAAACTAGTGAAACTCAATAAATGATCTGACAACGCAATGAGTGTGTTTCAGTTCAGTTAGGACATATATATGGTGTTTTCTGACCTATTTGATCCCATTTGTCTGTCACATGATTTTGTGCACCAGTTCTATACTTGTGTACCATCATGTTTGAAGTAATTGACAGAAAACTTTAATTAAATGAATTTAATAATTAAATAAGGCAATGAATAATCAACATATATAGGTTTAAGGGTGACTGGCTGGCTGTGAGGTCCAATTAGTTCAATACAAAACTTGTGGACCGGAGTTCAGGGAAAACAACAATTGCACTCTGATGGATGGTAGCTCATGTAGGAGAAGAAAAAATTAAAGAAAAATCAGAAGATATAGACCTGTAGGCCGTATGACGTTAACTAAATGAAAATTCTGGCAACTCTTGTGATGTCTGTGGTGGCAAGCTGTATCACTCATCCACATGTTCCCTTGGGATCACCGATGCTTTGAGAGAAGGTTCTGCTGACATGGTACAGGGTGTTTTCTCTAAATAAAATCCTATGCCATGTGATTTAATCCTGTGAAAACCACACCATCATCTCATTGAGACTGACAGATGCCCAAAAAAAAAAAAAGTTTAGTTTAACTACAGGCAAGTTTATTTCTATCAATAGGTAGTCTGTTAGTCACAAATATATAGGATCATCAATCTTTGTTTTTTCTACAGAGTATCTTGGCCTACAATGGGGCAGCCATTATGGCTATGAAAGGTAAAAACTGTGTTGCGATTGCAGCTGACAGACGTTTTGGTGTGCAAGGTCAAACTGTGAGCATGGATTTCGACAAAGTTTTTGAAATGGGACCTAACTTGTTTTTAGGACTGCCAGGGCTTGCCACTGATGTTCAGACAGTGTAAGTTTTATACGTTTGGATGGATGTAAACGATAATCACATTTCTTAAAATTTAAAAAAATCAGATTTCTGTAGTCAAGCATTTGTTTTCCAAATAAATATAACAGGATTAACACCCATACACCTTAGAAGAAGTTTATATAGAGTACATAATGTTTTATCAATGCAATTTCCTGTTAACACTTGAGGACTTCCACAAAACATAGCAACATTAGCTAACAACAATTTGGTGTGACATTAAAAAATAATCAACATAAAATAAAAAATATACAAGTATTGTATTTCTTTTCATTTTTTTTTCTGACACAAAATAATAATATGAAGGAAATGGCTATTTTGAAGAAAAAATTGAATAAGTTATAGTCATATATTAAAATGATGATTTGTTTATTGCTATACAGGTTTCAAAGGCTTAAGTTTAGACTCAACATGTATGAACTCAGGGAGAACAGAAGGATTAAGCCCAAGACTTTTATGAGTATGGTGTCAAATTTACTTTATGAAAGAAGGTAGGGAAGAATATAGAGTCTGTTTTCTCCAATTAACTTTGATTGCTGCACAGTTACACTAAAATTTGTGAAATCAATAGTAACTTAGTATTTAATAAAATAATTAACTTACGCTTAAAAATTGGTTTGAATTAAAAACTTTTTTTTTCCTTAATAAGTAGTACTAGTAGACTGCTTTAAAAAAGCAAACAAAACTGTTCTGCTTTTCTTTAACATCTGTATGACAAAATTGTAATGAATTTTGTGGAATGGAGAAACTTGTCTGCTTTTAAAATGCATACATAAGACTTAATTTTAATGTCCAGAAATTAATAGTTATTGAGACTGCTTAATGAGGATTTTAATATTTTACTCCTAAAATGCTTTATTATTGCGACAGTTTTGAAAATATGTATGGTGGAAATTTTTGTGTGTAAAAAGTACTGACCAAAATTTCAATAGAAAGCATTTATCAAAGGATTTAAAGTACAAAGTAACACAGTAAAAGCTGTGAAATACAAGGAATACATTTTTTAAATAACTCAATGTTACCTGGTTAACATTTTAATTGCTTCTACTAAATCAAGTTAAAGTAATTTCATGAGTTAGCCTAAATTTTATGCAATGCTTATAATTTTACATGCATGACACATGAAAGTGAGGAGAAAATGCTATTAAAGCCAGTGCTCCTATAAAAATATATTTGAAAGACCTCTTAACTGTACTTAATGTACTCACCATGGTCCTAAGTTTAATTTGCTCCTTCAGACTTAGTAATCTTTTAGCAATGTGTATTTTAACACTTATTATCTTAATCAACAGATTCGGGCCTTACTTTGTGGAGCCAGTCATCGCAGGTTTGGATCCCAAAACACATGAACCGTACATTGCGTCCATGGATCTCATTGGCTGCCCAATGGAGACAAATGATTTTGTTGTCAGTGGAACTTGCTCAGAACAAATGTATGGCATGTGTGAATCTTTGTGGGAACCTGACTTGGTAAGTTATTTTAATTCAGGAGAAGATATTTAAAATTTTTAAGGCAGCAATTTATTCTAATGATAATCATAAATCTTTACGTTTTCATGAACTTGGGTTTTTATCAAACTCTCCTTATTTTGGTGTTCAAGATTCAAAGGCTTAATAAATGTTTCTAAATGGCAAAATTAATAAAATTCTCATTCTGATTTTATTCCATAATCAATAATACCTAATTTAATGGAAGTTAATATGCCTATGTTGACTATGGAGTAGAACAGTTCCCAAGTTACACTCAGTACGATCACCATACTTAATTACTTAAATTATCTGTATGTTCTAAACATATTGCTTTGCCAAAGTTTATGCTCTGGATTTTGAGTATGGTAATTAACTAATTATAAAAAGTGTTGTACTGCAATAAAACTTTAAAATAGATTAATAAGACACAAACAAATTGTGTCAATATAACAATATAAGTTACGCTTTAATAATATTATACATTTATACACAAGTAAACGTTTCGGCACATGCCTTCATCAGTACAAACAAAAAAACACATTTAAATAAGTATAAATTGAATTTACATAATATAAATATACATATCCTACCTAAAAAAGAAAAAAAATAGGAGAGGGCGCTGAAACCAGACAAAAACAAAGTAAAGAGGAGTAGAAAGGAAGTGATTTGAACATAATTGTAAAAACCATACAGGAAAAATACATGGCAGCTAGGTAAAATTGTGGATTTGGTTCATTCCATCTGGAGACAACGTACCAAATCTTGTTATTAATTTGTTCTCCATATAGATTCTATCTGTAGTGTTAAGAGTATAGAATATACCAGTAACTGCGATGTCTGAGATACCATCATGGTTAGGGCTATTGAAATGTTTGGAGACCGGTATGGTAAAATTGTTTCAGCAACTTATTTCATATTCCTTTTACTCTTCTAGGAACCTGATGACTTGTTTGAAACCATCTCTCAAGCACTGATGAATGCTTTTGATCGTGATGCAGTCTCAGGCTGGGGGGCTGTAGTATATATTATGTAAGTTCTTATAAGCTATTTGAAAAATTCAATATCTACCTGTTGCTCTGAAGTAATTATAAATTTTTTTTAAATTTTAAATAAAGGAGAAATATTTACATGTCTAAATATTATATACAGTCTATATATATATGTCTATATATCTATATATAGATATACAAGGGTATTATGTATATATTTCTTCTTGAATTAAAATAAAAAGCTATTTTAAAAATTGAAATTAACGAGTTTTAATTATTTAGTTTGTAATTGTTTTTTTTTTTTTTCAGTTAACATTTAATTTGTTCTCCTTGGGTTTTTCAATTTGGCAGGATTAATAATATAATTTTTCATTTGTTTATTTATTCATTCAGAGAAAAAGACAAAATTACCAAGAAATTTTTGAAGACAAGGCAAGATTAATGCCACTTTAATGAAGATTTCCATCATGTCAGTAGTCACTATTTACATGCCTGGTAATGTGGGGTGGGGTTTGTGTTAACATTTTTCATTGGTTTGACTTTGTTATGAAAGTTGTCATTTTGATGAATCTGAATGTGAATAATAAAAGAACAATACCATAGTTATTTTTTTAGTTGTATTTGTATGGAGAAACTAGAAGTTTGTTATATTAGTTATATATGATAAAATTAGCTGTCTTAATATAGTTGACGGAATATTATAAAATTTTAAAGATTGAACAGAAATTCAATTATGTTCTTCAAATGATTGCTAAATTCAAAATAAGCTTTGAAAATTTTAAGTACCGTTATAAAATGTTGACTAAATTGATCTGTTATAAAGAGTTATCATGCACAAACTTGATACAAATTACAGCTATGATAACAACATTTGGAAAATCAGTTCTGTTGAAGATGAAGTGACTGAAAAGGAGATTTGGACTTTCAATTTGTTAGAACTTTGTAAAAAAAAAAGATTTGTTTGGATTAAATTATTTAACACCAGTTACTTGGTACTTATTTTCAGATTTTGACCCCAGGAGCCTTAGGTCATAGCCGTATAATTATGAAAAAATATGTACCGGTACACTAGTTGCAATATAGGTATCATGTGATAGCAGCTGCCAAATTAAAAGGAGCCCTACTTTTTCTCAAATCACTATGATGTTAATGTTATGTACTGAATGAATGTTTAAAGCAGGTGTTAGCATACTATGGCCCATAGGCAACATTCGGCCAGCTATTTCAGTTTATCCATCCCGCATGGTCGTAAGGGATTTTGAAGAAATGGGAGAATTTGATATTGACATAAGAGAAGAATTATCGGCTAACCTAGAGGTGCATTGAGCAGCCAAGGGGTTAAGAGGAGTAATTTGGATTGGACAAAGTTGAATATCTTCACTAAAGTTGGTGGTAAAACATACCCAATAAGGGAAGGGTTAAAATTTACAAGGCTGCGCAATCCATTAACAGAGATTGTGTGGAAAATATCAGGATTTTCTTTTCTTCGAGCAACATGAATTTTTTTTATTTATTTGATCCCACAGTCTTGCTCATCATATTTTCCAGCAAATTTCTAACTGAGTCAATTTGTGGAATATCTTGACTTACCCTGCCTCACACAATGTTTCTTTCAGGCATCTAGAGCATTTATGGAGTAAAATGTGTACAAATTTATTTAACAAACCTCAAATAATAACCTTCATAACATTTCTTAAAAAGTATGGTTAAGTATGCCTTTCTCCATTTACAGTTAGGAAAATAGTGGAACCAATAAACCATCGCTGCAGTGGATATATTTTTATGATCCAAGTATTAAAGACAAATCTTGTTACCGTACATCATTCAATTCTAAATACTGGTATTTGAAAATGTTTTGACTGATTATTGGACATAAATTCTTTTCATAGATAGAAATCTTTTAATTAACATAAAAGTTGCATATTTTGTTAGATAAAGAGTTAAACTTCTATCTCATATAAATTTTATTTGTGTAGGATTAGTATAAGTGAGTCAAAAATCAACCTCAAAAACCCTAAAAATAGGGTAAAAGGCAGATTTTTTGTTTTGTACTACCTACTTTAAATATTTAAACTTTTGAGCAAGAACACCAATATTGAAACATCTAGGATTATTAGTTTAGTAGTTATGGTTCCACAAAAATGGGCGATTTGACAAAATGAAAAATAGCCAATTTTTATTGAATTTTTAGCAACTTTTAAAACTTCATAACTTTTTTATTTATTGAGCTATTGTTTATACATTGTAATAAAACAGGTATCAAAATTCTTATATTAAAAAGTTCTGTCAAGTGGAATCTTAAAAGAGACTAAATTTAAAAATAAATTTTGGTTAGTACTGCGTAATATTAGTTATTAATTTTTGAAATATCATCATCCTTAATTAAAAATATAGTACTCCCATAGCTTATAAATTTTAATTTAATCCATTTCATGAAGGTTGAGCCTCAGAAAAATGAAAACTTAAATAAATCGATATTTAAAAAAAATGTTTTTTATTGTGTGCATTATTAAGCACCGGCCTCATCAAGTATAATTGAGTTTCAACATTGCTATTTTCTTTGAATTTAGTGACAGCGTCAAGTTCTGTGGTTTACATGTAATGTAATAAAGTAACACCAAATTTTTCATGGATATATTATACAATTTCAAACATCCTTTCTGTTTTTGATTAAAGAAGAGTTATAAAATTCTGCTGTACCTATTGTATTTGCAAGCATTTGTATGATATCAAATAGGAAGTTAAAAAAGTTTTTGTCATCTCGTTATTCAGTTTTCAAATCAATGCAAGTTACTTTTTTGTAGGCCTAATAGTTACTAAATTTATTTCTTTTTAATGTGCAGATTAAAAAAAAAAGCTAGGGATTTTGAAACCAATTGATTTTTAAAAAAATAAATAGATCCAAGAGTGTTGAAAAAGGGTGCCATATTATTATTATTATTTATGATGCGTTTTGGGGAGTTTAATACTGCTGCATATTCCCTCAGATAAATAGGAAAAATAATTAAATATTGATACCTTTTGTAAAAATCTCCTATCATCAATAATTATGCATTCATTAAAAATTTATTTGAACATTTTCAGCTTTAAATAGTTGGAAAATATTCTAAAACTCAGTTATAATTACAAAACAGTATTTTTTTTTTTCTTTTGTACCTGGTAAAAATTTCAAAATATTTAAATTTTAAATTAATACAAAAAGAAGTGTGTAAATGCTTTTTTTTTATAACTGTCCTAGGAGACCTTAAGATTCAATTTGATTTCTAAAAATAACTGTTCACTTTTATTCAATAATTTAATTCAATTTAAAAATCAGTGGACAGAACGTTACCCACGATTTTATCGGCACGTTCCAAAATTAATATTATAAATGCGAATCACAAGTTGGATACTTTTTAAACTTTAAAGGGGAATAACTCTCGTCAACAAGTTTTACTTCTCCCAGATATGAATCGAAAAATAATAAAGTTGCAGTATTTGTTTATAATCATGTTAATGAATTTAATTAGCATTATACTAGGAATTTGTAGGTCAAGAATGAATAATTCTTTTAAAAAGTAACTTTATTTAAAAAAAAAACAAAACCCAAATAACTTTTTATTTTTTCAACAGTAAAAACGGGTAAACTTGCAAAATTAACATCTTGATTAAATCCAATCGAAATATCATTGACTAATACTGCTCATTAAAATTAGAAAAGCCTTATCTACATCCTCTATTGGATTCAGCCATCTAGTTCCAGACAATACCGTTACCTATTTCTTCTGCTAGGGAAATTGTAAAAATTGAAACACACAAAGTTGTGTCAGAAAACGAGAGTCTGTGATTCACCACACAGATCCCGGGCTTTGGAATATTAAGAACACTTGTACTGTACAGTTCAGTACTGGATTCACGGTGGGCCATCATTGTGTCAGAAATATGACTGCAACCGTTCAAACTCAGGCAGAGCTGGAGAAGAAAGAACTAAGACAAGGTATTTATCAAGAAATATGTTCAAACGTGAACTGCCGAATGGCGAGTATGTAAAACTTGAATGGCTTTTCTATTCACCATACCAAAACTGTTTGTATTGTTTTGCGTATCGTCCATTGTCTAAAAAAGTATTTCCCTTTGCTATATCAGGATTTAAGTTCTGGAAACATAACAATCTAATTGTAGAAAATTTGAATGGAGTAGTGTATCGCAAGGACATGATTGCATATTTTCTTCGACTGAAAGAAGCTAGGTGATTAGGTCCTTTATTAATCAAAGACCAGAGGTCAAAACAGAAGTACTGGCAAAAAGTTCTGACTCGTGGGGTTTATGTCGTTCGCTTTCGTGCCTCCAGAGGTTTGGGTCAAACTATTGGGTCAGTAAACAATGGAAATGGTTTAGGTATTTTAGAGCTGCTGAGTGAATTTAACTATTTTTTGGAAGAGTATCTCAAGCTGTATGGAAATGCTGGAAAGGGTAACACATCATATCTGTCGGCAAATATTTGAGAAACATTTATTGATCTAATGGGGCAACATGTCCTTTGTGCTATTCTGGAAGAAATTAAAGAGTCAAAGTACTATTCAATAAGTTATGATTCCACTTCAGACATTTCACACATTGATCAACTGACATTTACGGTCCGGTACATTCGAGGATGTAAGTCTGTGGAACGTTTTATCAAGTTAATTTCCAAATTTTCCCATGGAGCAAAGCATCTAACAGACGCTGTTTTGTACCAAAGGATCTAGCAGACAATGTTTTGGATTTCCTGAATGAGAACGAAATTCCGCCTTTAATTTGCCGCGGTTAGTCGTATGACAAAGCTTAAAATTTTATATGTCTTGACGCTACACTGGATTGCAAGCACGGCTGCGTCAATTGAACGAGTTTGCCGTGAATGTCCCTTCTGCTTGACACAGTGTGATCTTAGTGGCCTTAAAAGCAGCAGAATTTTGTCTACAAGTTGGAAAATTCTTTGACTTTGTTCAGCGCCTATATACCCTTTTCTCAGCTTCCAAACATCGATGGAATGTTCTGGTATCTTCCTTAGGAAAATCTCTCGTTGTCGTAAAGCATCTGTCTGACACAAGATGATCGGCACATTTTGATGCCGTCAACGTTTCGAAAAAAATTCAAGATGCTCTGGACTCTGTATCAGCTGACATTGATCAGGAAAAGAAAAAAACGAAGCGTGAGGCAGAACGACTAAGTAATAAAATGGAGACTCTGATAATTTATCATCATCTGGGATGAATTATAATGTATTTTTGATAATGTTTTAAAACCATTATTGCACTGGAATGAATTTTTTTGGGTATAGATAAGTTAAGATAACCTATTTTTTAACTGTATTGAATGTTTATTCTTATTTTACAATGTTATTCCTCTTGGTCAGTTGGTTTGGGAGAAACAACTGTTTGCGCCCCGGCCCCCACTGTTTTAGCATGGGGCGAGTGCCCCACTTCACCCAACCCCCTTCTAACGACCCTGGCGTGTTGTTTTGCTGGGTCCCCAGTTCATTGCTGTGCCCAGGGCCCCCTATGTTCTTCAGACGGCCCTGGCCCGATTATGGGCATTCATTGATAAACTTAATTTCTTGTACCACGTGTAACTAAATAATAGTTAGGAAATGCAAATATGTGAAAACTTGTTGAAGGTTCAATAATTTATTGTTAAAAATAGGTCGCAGTAAAGCAAAACTAGGATTTTGACAAATGAATCTTTACCCCCCTCCCCTCCCCCCTCCCCCCCTTACCATCTTTCTCGACCAGAACGTCATTGAGGACAACAATTGTACCTTCACCTTTATTTCTAAGATTAATGGGAGCATCCCTCCCTTTTTTTAAATGAAATTCTTCTGTTCTTGTTTAAGTTTAACAGTCAATATAACCCCTCCGCAGCTCCTTCCTACGCAACCGCCCATGACACAATTTATAACACGTTTTTTTGTACCCCCAAATCTACCTGCTCACCCAAAAATGTTTCACCCCCACCCCGTAAAAAAAATGGTGAGGAAAAAAAATGTCTTCTTGCTGCGGTAAAGAAGATTTAATTTCAATTTTGCTGCCATTTTAGGCCTAAAGATTCACAAATGTAGGATACAACGTACAAAAAAAAAAAAAAAAAAATGAAATATATTTATATTACAATGCGAGATATCAATAATATCAGAATAAAAACATTAACAGGTAGTTAGCTTACAAAATAAAATAAATCATGATTTAATAGTGCAGTGTAGGGGGTGGGAGTGCACCAAAAATGTGAATGAACCAAGGGGGAGGGGAGGGGTATACAAATTAGTCTTTTTGTGTACATAATAATGGATGCCCCTAAATTTAAATCATTCAAATTAAATTTAAACAGAGAACAAAGTCACGAGTACATTTATAATAGAGGGATCTCCCTTATGAAGTTTATTAAAATAAATATTTCTCAAATACATCAGCCATATAGCCTACCATATACACGCATTGAAAGCAACGTACAACAACAACAAAAGCTAGCTTTTCTGAGGAATGATAGAAAGAATTATTCACTGTAATTTTTTTATCGTTTATTTCCAGCTTTAAAAGTTTTGTTTAAAATTACCGGTATAAAGTAAACACTGAAATAAAAATGATAAAACAACATTACTGTTTAGTAACGACAAAAAAATATAGGACTTTTATAGACTCAACAAGTTAAAGGGATGTATGCATTTCAATTAGTATTATAGGACTTTTATTGACTCAACAAGTTAAAGGGATGTATGCATTTCAATTAGTATTATAGGACTTTTATAGACTCAACAAGTTAAAGGGATGTATGCATTTCAATTAGTATTATAGGACTTTTATAGACTCAACAAGTTAAAGGGATGTATGCATTTCAATTAGTATTATAGGACTTTTATAGACTCAACAAGTTAAAGGGATGTATGCATTTCAATTAGTATTATAGGACTTTTATAGACTCAACAAGTTAAAGGGATGTATGCATTTCAATTAGTATTATAGGACTTTTATAGACTCAACAAGTTAAAGGTATGTATGCATTTCAATTAGTATCTAATCTGTTGTTGCTGTCCCTATAATTTAAAGCGCAGAAAACTGCGCAATGCGGAACAAAATTCAGGTGTGCGCCCATATATATTATGCTTCCGGGCATTTTAATTTTATCAATTATTTTCTAGGAGAAGTCCATTAATTACGTCATAAAAATAAGGGGGGGGGAAGGGGGTTTGAAAATGTTTGACAGTTGTTGACAAGGGGGAGGGAGGGGGTTAGATTATTTGACGTCAATAATATGTTTTCTCTATTAAAATTTTAATCTTAAAAATTGACTGTTTAAAAAAAAAATTTAAGTGTAAATGAGTGTAAATAGTCATATAATTTTTTAGGCTTTTAACTACATAAGATTTATTTAATGTGTGTCTATCTGTGCACTGCATATGGCTGGTCATAATGTTAGCACACCTACTTTGTTAGTGCAAGAGAAGTCAAAAGTTGTCCTCTCTTCACCTGTAGATTCTGTTGCAGGTATGAAACAAGGACAAGGTTCAAGTTTCATGTTCATTCAAGATTAATGATATTGATAGAGTAGGAATACGATATTTTAAAAATTAGGTGAATGTAAAGTGAGTAACAATAATGACATCGCTGCTTGAATGGATTTGGACAATCTGTAACATATGTCTTACATCACTGGTTGGCTGGTTGG